TATATAAATAAAATGTAGACAGAAGTGGAATTAGAGGTAGACCTAAGAAGAATGTTAAAAAAAATAAAGATGTACACAGTACATGTGGAGTAAGTATAAAAATGGTGACATGTAGAAATTTGTGGAGAAATTATTAGAGAGGTTATTTAACGGCCGACCCCATTTGTATACGTCTTATATAGAAAAAAAAAACAAAGACACATCATTGTATAAACAGTATTTTAGCTTACCGTTAAAGCATTGAATAAGCTTAAAACTTCTTGACACTGAGGAAATTATAGATGATACAAAATATATTTATAAATCGCTAGATATGTGCGTGAGTCGTGACGTTTTGGAACGTAGCAGATGTAAGCCACAAGTGACGAAGTATTGTAATAAGATTAATTTTATGCCATAATTTTGTTGTTATCATCATCATCATCATCATCGAGCAGTGAGCTGTGCAGGAAGTAACAATCGCAATGTATACTGGCAGGGGGGGGGGACACTATTGATCTGACGGAGTATTCAGCTCTCATTCGTCTTCTTCGCTGTCGTCATTGTCCGTTACATTATCTCAGAAACTACATACGCTTTGGTCTGGACGACATAAAACAGGTACTTTTGATTTTTGGGCGAGATAAAAAGAGAGTGGTACACCCGAAATCCTACTGGCCTCTCCGCCTCTGCCGCCCAGCCTAAAAACAACGGGGACATTTCTGGCAAAACTAAAATAATAAATTTCAAGCTAAATAATAAAAGCAACGAATGTTTTCTTCTCAACCCGACAACAATGGACCGAGCAGGGAGCAAATCTTACGACCAAATCGTTTGGCTTGACAACGTCTCCACGGTGAAAAACTTTGAAAAAGCCTCGATTCCAAAGTTTTGTGAAATGTGGCACGTCCAAAGCACTCTAAATATTATATCTACGTGGGATCAATATTTTGTGTGATGACCGAAAAAACACATGTTTTTTAAAATTACACTTTACGTCAAACAATAAATTATGTTTATGAATTTAGTAAAATTACAATATTTGAGTTTATTTTTATTTTATTTTGCGTTAAAAACTCATAACCTTTTAACAAATTTTGTCAGTTATAAATTATTCTACAAAATATACATTCACAAATTTAATATTTTTAAGTAATTATACATTTTTTTTTATTTCAGGAAATTATAAAAGACAGCATTTATTATGATTTATTATGATGCCAGTCTACGTGTGTTAAACACTTCAACTATTATAAAGAACAAACAAGTAAGAAAACGCATCTTTATCTTGCTTACTTTTGTATACCAACCAGCAATTACCAATTAATAAATATTCCAACCAAAATCATAAAAATTAATTTGATTTGTAATAATATGATATCAGATTAGTGTAGTTGTGACTACCAATTTTGAAAAATAACAATCGACCTGGCCATCTTTAGTAAAAATGTTTTCTAGTTTGATGATTGAAATTTAACAATTAACAATTAAAATTTCATAGTTTCTTAATTAAAGAATAAAACTATTAAAGAGGGACAATCCCCCTCCCACTGGGTACGCTACTACACGATCCACGGAAAAGATTTAAATCGAAATTCTGATATTTAAGATTTTACGGGACCTTGGGATATGTATTAACTGTTACCTTTGGTGCTACTACTAAAAATCGGTTGCTGCGAAAAGTCGATAAAGCTTAAGCAAACAATTCGTGCTTTTTGTATTATTTGAAAAGAATTTGTAAGTGAACCAAAATATGCTATAGATTTTGCACACTCATGGTTTCTTGATTTACCACGAACATAATGCCATTGTACTGTGAACGCAATTTTATAGTACATTCTACAGACTACAAGACATAATGACGACCCTAAAGTTATGAATATGATACTATTATTTATTACTAAATTCGTAATAAAAACTCGTATTCGGGTTCGAATATGACCACAGTGATAATAAAAGGATGTTAATACTTTATTTTCTGCGAAAAAAACATCTGTTGACAAGATAATTTTATATTTGAAAAATCACACGGTTAGAGCAAAATTAATGCATTTTATTCTGCTAATGTATTTTACAATATTATAGTCATAGCTCTTCTATTTTCTACGCATAGACTTAATGAGCCATAATCACCTGTAATAGATTTACAATAAAAACAAATTTAATTTATATGCCTATACTTACAAATAAACCGTGGAGTTTTAGTTTTAAATGGTTAGGGTGGCTCCAAGAAGTGCCCATGCACTCATTACACTATTACACAAATAAATACATTTTAATTTTTTAAATCTTGGGTTCCTTCTAAAAGTTAAATGACACACTAGTATTTTTGTCTGAAAAAGTAAAATGTGAATATTAAAATATTCCTCCCCTCCTTTTGCTTTCGTTAACCATCAGTCTTTCGCTTGTCAGTTCCAAACAATAATTTGTAAATTGTAATTTAGATAATTTCTTATAATAATAATATTTTATATCCTTACCATTTCACAACGGCAAGCTTTCATTTTTCGTATACCGTATCTGCCTCCGGTCGTTTGTATGCTTGTTCCGTTACTTTTGTATTCCTCTTTTAGACCAGTTAAGCGTTCCGATTTGAACTCCCTCCGAATTTAAGCTCAAAAAAAAATATATGTATATAATAATAAAACGTTCTTTAGATAAAAGTATGATAAATTGTGTCTACTAAAATTTGGTTTCATAAAAGTTTGCGTATTTCGTGGTCGATTTATATTTTTTTTAATCAGTTTATATAAAATGTATAAGGAATTAAGTAAAAAAAAACTTTTTTTAAATAAAATGTTTCCCATTCGAGTGTCAGTTTACCTATATTTTGTTTTCGCCCGACTACCATTTATAAAAAAATACTCTGTTTTTGGCGGGGCAAGTATATTACTCTGAGGTTTACATTCAACGCTAACGGCGGTTGATCTCAGTTGTGTTTTTAATATAGTGATGTAATTTACCGAGGATATATGTATTGCTATACAACACCAATAAAACAATCTTCTTATTATTAATAGGAAACTTGTGCATTTCAAAACATTTTACAAGCGAGCATGCAACAAAAGTCAACCAACTAGTGAATTTTGACTGCTGCGTTGCGGTTTAACCACTTGCATGGTAAATGTATTTAAGTTATATGGATAAATAGCGTGGCAAGGTTAATACGGTTGATTGTCTTATAGCTATCATTGCTTCATTAGCACGGCCCTCGCTCCGGTTTGAATATTGGTTTTTTGAGCCAAAGTGCTTAAACGCCGCCTATACGCCGATATCTGTTTAATCAAACCCCTTGGCCCTTAACCTCTTGTGTAAGTTATTCGGATTGCGTCATCACATTACCCCGAAATCCATATAATCGACGGGCATTCATTATTCATCACAATACAAACATTATTTACTCTAGTGCCTTTCTGGAACTGTTCCTTTTTTGAAAATCAGATTGCTCACTAGACTAACGTAGGTATTATAAAATCGTTCCTTTAGACGTAAACAAAGTCCTTATAGGTTGCAATAAATTTAAAAAGCCAAAACAACCGTCTACAAAATGAGTTTTTATTTTTGAATTGCTTTTACTATTGAGTACAGTATTAAAAAAAAAAGATTTAATTATATTGGAGCAAAAATCAATATTTGTATGGTTAAGTATTCTAATAAAAGGAATACTTATTACGTAATAACTAAGACGTGCATCTTGAACTTTTATTTGAAATAATCGATATCGATTAATTGTTACCACTTTCGATAAAGCCAATGTTCTTTTCTATGTTTTGCTTAGCTATATTTAAGTTATTAAACATTATTTGTGCAATATGATTATCCGATAAAATAATTATTTATCAATAAAAACTCCTTATTTTTGTACTAATCAATATGTATCTACATTATAATTTTAGCTTAAAACTAAGATTTTTGAGAAAAATTGTCTATACCGAATCCCTCAATAAAAAGGGGAAGGCGTTGTTTAAAGAGAAAGAAATTCAGTTGTATACATAAATTAGCATTAAAATGGCTATGGCAAAAATGACACATGTAACATTTTTCTGATTTTGAGAAAAATACAAGAAACTGTATTTACTACTTGAATTTTCTGCTTTATGGAATTTTCGAATCTTTTTTTAAATATATTTTAATGTTACATGTGTCGTTTCTGAATTTATCAATTTATTTTTTTTATTATACTTTAATTTATCTCATTATCATTTATTTTATTTATGAAATCAAAAGATGATGACATTTTGGTAACTATGCCGTGTTTACGCTTGTTCTATAAATTCATTAATTCGCTTGAAACTTGATGTTGAAATTTAAAAAGTAAATTATTAAAACGTTAATATCCTTTTTAGGAAATATTTAAAAAAAAAAAAGGTTACGACATTGCCCTCAAAATATTGTTATCTTTCATTTTTATCGCAGGTGTTTTGGCTCGAAAACTAACTAGCCCGGGTGCAATGTCTTTTGCGTAGTCAGGCTCCTACGTTAGACAATTTACAATGTGGGCGCTCTTTTTATTGTTACCACTTTCGCACCACGACCGCGGGGACTCGTTTGTTTTTTTTTTTTTACACTTTGTCTTGATGTGCGGCCAAGATATTGTTCATAATATTATATCGTATTGTTTTTATTCTTTTTTATTTGTACGGCGTATAACCGACGTGGACGTAGACCATGTGTTCGCCATCGCCGCCACCGTGTCTACCGCCGACTCATCGTCGGTAGAAACATTGTCAGAGCGTCCGACGACTCCCGTTTTTGCGTGGCTGCGGTTTGATGGAAGGGAAATGGGGAGGGACGAGAGTTGGCCGCCGAACGGGGTTGCGAGGTACCCAAACCACCGCGGGAGACTATGGGCTTAAGGGATGCGCGCGCTAGCGGCGGCGGCGGCGGCTGAGTTTTAGCGCGCGCCCGGCAACCGAAAGGGGCGCTCGGGTTCGAAGAATAAGCAACGCGCACACACACACACACACACTTACACGCAGACACGCGCACTCACCGACAGAGAAACGGTCTGTTGCGCTATTCTGCTTAACCCAGACGACCACGGCCGCCGCTGACGTTGAGTAGCCGTTCGATTCCCCGTCGCTGGTGCTCGTCCCGTCCGGCAACCTGTAGTCATACTTGCGGCGTCTGTTTGTTGGCGGTGATCGCGTTGACCTCCGAAATCACCGGCAAACACAAAGGGCTGTTACAATCACCGTATACACATCACTACACGGATCATGTGAGAACGCCGGCACCTGGCGCCCTTAACCGTGACTCCCGACCAAATATTCGTTTACACGCGTTAAGAAAATAAAGAGCTGTCAAGCCACAGTTTTGAAAACCATTTGTAACGGTGAATAAAATTAAAAAAATTGTAGTTTAAACATCTAACAATGCCGGCCATCGTATCCAACGAACTGCAAGACCTGCAATTGCGATCGGCTCACGTGACCGATGAGGTAATAGAGACAATTTAGCCAATTAAATTATGGGATTTTTGAAGTTTTGATTTATTTTGTTTTGTTTACTCTCCGCAGTCTTTGGAAAGCACCCGCCGGATGATAGAACTGTGCGAGGGGGTGAGTATTCTTACAAAGTAAATACAATGCATAATAATTATAAATGTCAAAATATATTGCTTTTTCTTAAGTACACGACGCTCTTGTTGAAGCAAAGGACTACTTAATATAAAAATAAATAACAACTGAAGAATATACCTAATGGGGTTGCATGCGGTCTGTTTTTAAAGAGTCTTGTACAGGCAATATTTAAGAAAAAAAGAGGTTTTAATAAATTTCGACCATGTCAATTAATTTACCGGTTAATTTGCATAAGCTCGAGGTATTATTTGTAATTTAAATAATTTTTTCTTTGAGCAGAAGCTATTTCGGTTTATTTTAGATCAAAAAGTCAGACAAAATAGAATGGTCCAATTTCCGTTCTGTAAAGAGACTCGAGTTCTTTGGCTATTTTACTATTTTATAATATAGAAAGCTGATTTTCATTTAAAAATTTCAGTTCTTTGTAACTAAATAAATTAGATTTGCAATTTTTTCAATATTAAAACTAAAAATTTTTTCGTAAAAAAAGCAAATAATCTAAAATCTGTTTTCTAAATAACTTAGTTTAGCTGTCAAAGAACTCGTACAACTTTACTGAATTAAAATCGGAACATCCTAAGTAGTAAAAATTGTGGCTGGCTTTTTGGTCTTAAACGTCAAAAAACAGACCGCATGCAATCCCGTTAAAATAGGTTATTGACCGGTCAATGTACTTGTTAGTTTCATAAAATTCCAAAATCTATAGAAAAAAAAACCCATCCAAATCAACATTAAAATCAATAAATGTATAAAAGTTGTATGAAAATGTATGGAATACAATCTATTTACGGCAATCGCTGACTCGTTAATAAAAATGAATAAATATAGGTATAGTACATCGTCTCATGCAAGAGGGAGTTAAGTTTCTCGAGACATATTTCAAAAGAAAAACACAAAACTTAAGATACGTTTTTACACGAAACACAAAAACGAGATCGATTTTTCTGGCCTGACTGCTTTTGGAAAGAAGTCCTTTCTTGCATTAAATGCAAATAAAGATGCTTAAAAATGGTTTTGTATATCTCTTTTTGCATGAGACGATTGACCGTTATTATATGATGTATATTAATATTTAACACTTAAAGGTTGTAAATATTTTAAGAAAAGGCATTATTAAAGTGACCCAAAAGTCCCAAGGAAGGGATTATTTCGGTTTTCCATATTATTTCCGTTTTTAGAATTTTCATCCTATTGTTCCACTTCACACAAAATGATGGCGCTATTCTAAGATAACTATCATATAATATGTAATTCGGTTATACACATTTTTAAAAGAAATTTCGTTACATCATAACTCATAGTAGCTAACAATAGACAACAATACTGCGTATTATACAACACCATTGCGAAAAAAACCCATTTGTAGAAGTGCAAAATATGGTACTCATGTTCCGTGCAATGGTTCTGAATATTCTAAAGTATAATCAATCTATCCAACTAAAATTATTAATCTTGTATTTTGATAGTTACAGATGCTAGGGTGTCCTCAAAGGGTGATAGAATATTGGAAGTGGCCCCATAGCTTTTAAAATCTCGATTACAATACTAAACAAATGTCAAATGTTAAAATAACAAAACTTCCATATTTTAGTACTTCCTTTTTTTACTCAAGCTTCTATTAGAGTATCATTGATAACTCCAAAACTCTTAATGCCCCAACAAATTACGTCACTTACCCAAAGAACATAAAATTGTTCTTCGGTAATTTAAAGTAAAAATGTAGCTTCAAAACAAAATTTAAGCAATTTTCAAGGATGTCCAAATCTTCCCATTGCATTTTTACCACAACCGTAAACAAAGTCCAATGTAACACAAATACAATAATTTTGTTGTCACATTTAACTCTCCCTTAAAAATTGATCTAGGGACGCCAGTGAATCAGTGTTAACAGTTTACATTTTAACTTTAAAACGATTTCGATAGAAGACATTTTGTATAAGAAAAAAAATTATAGGTAGGTATTATATCTAGTATAATGTCAGTAATAACGAGACATTTTTAAAGTGAGCTCTGTACATTAGTTTTCTTATGTGTTTAAAATATTTCTCACTTATTGTATTAAATGGCATAGTGACATAAATTCTTATTATCGAGTCACACGTAATTCCCATTGGCTGTCACTCAAACAATTCTTGTTATGAGAAATGCGGCTACTTTTTCAAGAACGTTTAGTTTTGCGTCACTTGCGTTTGAGGTTATGACATTTATTGAGAATAAAAACTTTTCCATCTCGTAACACTGTCAATCAACTTAAAGAGTCTTCGGTTCAACTTCTCTTTTCTCATTATTGAGGAAATGTAATTTTGTTGGTAAGAAAATTATTTTTTTCCCGGAAAAGCAAAAAACCATTTTAATAAAAGTAAAAAGTCATAATAAACGAACTATTTGCGTTTTTTTATGTAACGATTTCCATATGAAAATAATTTTAAAAAGTGTTTTTGTCAAATGGATTGTTTTCTTTATGTAGCCTAGGTGTACATTTGATTATTATTATTTATCGAGTGCCAAGAATTAGTCCAAGAGAACATATCGCCGCCCCGGTAGAACGATGACACAGCTGCAAAATTTGATAAAATGGACTAAATGCTTCAATGTGTTTAGATATAGCAAACGCATAAGGTAGAAAAACGATGTAACTATAGTTGTGTTCTGGCCAAGCCCCAATTTCACATAATTGATTGGGCATTCATGAATTATTGATATGAAAACAATTTAGTTTTTTGGTTCTCCTGTACAATTTCAATTATTGCAGTTGTGTCATTGTTCTGCCGGGGCGGCGATATTTTATTATTTTGACATGATTACAAATATATAGTTGTACACAAATATTAAAAAAAATAATTTTTTTTTTAATTTCTCCGTAATTAGATTGAGTTGAAAGCTAAGTCAGTTTGTGAAATGCATGAGAAAAAAGAATAAGAAAATTTGACTAATGTCACAAGTGTCACAATGAATAATATAATGAGCAGCCTAATATAATTTTGTAATTTTTAGGCATTTTCACAATTATGGGTGTCTAGAAAGAAACAGTAGCTTTCCGATTGAAAGGTATATACGTAATGAATGATATTTTTAGGAAAATGTATTGACGTTTATTTAAAACTCAATAGCATTTTTGTTTTATACATGAACTGGTAAACACAAAATCACCTTTATTTGAGAAATTATCGAAATACATTGATTTAACCGTTGTAGTCAAAATACAATATTTATAAATGTTAAATTCATTCTAAAATAAATTCATAAATGTCCATTAAATTGATTCCATTGAAAGTTGAAACCCATAAATACATTTTGTTTATTTTGTTTATCACTACTAGTTACTAACTACTATCATTACCGTACAGGCGATAAGCCAAATTTGTATTTACAATAATTTTAAAGCTATTAATACAAATTACATTATCTTACATTTCAAAGAACTTTATATATGTTGACTGAATTTTATAAACGAATTTCTATATAAAAGTTTTATATACGTGTTTAACTAGCTGTCAATTAAATTCTATTATTTTACCTACAAAAAAATATAAGCACAACATTAAGGCCTAGTACAGTCCCTGTTAAGTATTTACAGGGGGTACTATTAGGTGTTTCTTAAAACTATCAGTAATTTTCAAAGTTTTCGTTAAATATAAAGAAAAGACTTTTCTTTTAATTAGTAAGTTAAACTTACTTCCTCAGTTGTTTAATTAAAATTTAATAAACAGTAACCGTCGCTTAAAGAAACTTATAATAATTAATAGTTACCTACAGTTTTTTGTAACCCGTAAAGACTGTATTGTTTTACAACACTAAAAATCCTAAATATTTCTTTTAAAAATACTAATACATTCGTTTAGAATTATTTTAGATTTTATATTAGTTTTTAATTTTTTTTTAGTAGTATTAATCATAGTTCATTACAATAAGTTAAATGGTAACTTTTTAAAAAAAAGCCTAATGAAGACTACAAAAGTGTGTAAAAATAACAAAATTATTACAACGATATATTACATCAAAATTAAAATTAAATATTTTATAAAAAATAACACATCTATTACATACAAATTTTACAAATGTCGATTAAAAAAAAAATAGAGTAAAATTTTAGGCGATTTTACCAAAAAAGTTTAATGGACAAATAGTCCATATTAAAGTACTATAAAATACACAAATCGCGATCACGTTTCACGAAGACTATTTGTGCATGAATGAGAAAATGTCAAAGAAATACTGTTTGTCTATTAGTTTTGAACGTTAGATCGAGTTAATGTTTCGTAGAAAACGAATGAAAAAGCAGAGTAAATGTCTTTAGAAAATCGTTTGTTGTATGTAAGATTTAGATTGCACAAAGGCTTTTTTCTCTCACGTTCTGTAAATTCCCCTAACGATTTCCCGTCCAAATTACTCGAGAGAAAAGCTCGTAAACATTATTACATAACATCAGTCGCATTCGCAACTCCACTCAAAGGATATAACAACCCAGTCTAGTTTATAAGAAAAAAAGCAAGTTTTTTCTTGTAACTCTTTATAGTAGGTGACGCTCGGCGATATTTTTTAATGTCGTTTTCACTTCAATGCTAACCTTATGTAAGCACGTTTACAAAAACCAATATGATATTAACGCGTTATGATTTTCTTTTACAGACAAAAGAAGCGGCCATTAAAGCTCTAGTCGAATTGGACGACCAAGGCGGTAAGGACAAGAATAATTTCATATAACATATGCGCGATGGTTTGAAAGTTTGAACATAATATTATATTCAAAGTTGTACCACACCGTTCATTTATCATTAAAATTAACCGCAAGCCATCTAGACAGGATGCGCGTAAACGAAAAAAATTAAAAACTTTGCCGACGACGATCCAGCTGTGTGGAAATAACAAGAATACTAAAAAAAAACCTCTGTTCGTGATGTTTTTTTACACAATTAATGATATTGCGTTTGTTATATTTTCAGAAAAAATGGACAGGATTGAAGAGGGAATGGACCAGATAAACGCCGACATGAAGGAAGCCGAAAAAAACCTGACCGGCATGGAAAAGTGTTGTGGCATTTGCGTGCTCCCTTGCAACAAGTAGGTACTTTTGTCGTTTAATATGTTTGGCACGTGTATAATAATAAACCGAAGAAACGACCCTTAGCCTATGTCGAGTGGGTAGACTGTGATGAATATGCATTTTCTTCTTGTGACATAAATAAATACTTCGTCCGTCAGAGAAGCTTTACGTTTTTCAAAAAATACTGTAACAATGTACTGTACCAATAAGTAAATTAAGACAATAAGTCCAAGTGACGTTCGTTTACGTGTAAAAAGACATAAAAAAAATCAACATTAAAAATATTAACCAATAAAATGTGTATAATTACATTTCAAGGAGAATCGTGTAGGCAAAATAGGTACATAGATGTGTCCGACTTAAATATTGCATATCTCCATTATTTTAATACCATAAGTATGTTTCCGCAATAGATAAAAATATTATATAATCACGGATTAAAAGCGATACTATAGGGAAATAATAATTGTTCCCTTTTCAGCCAACAATGGAAAAATCGTTTCCGTTGCAGAACAAAATATAAAAACGTATTCAAATCAGAGACGTTAAATCATAGTCTTACGGCTTACCAATAAAGCATTTGAGCCGTCGAGAGCAAACATAGTGTAAGTCACCAAAGTTTACATTTGAGAAACGAAAAGTTTAAAAGAAAATTATGTGTACGTTTTTACGAGAACGTAAAAGTTCTTTTGCCATTAAGCCGAAAACAAGCAAAGCCGGACTCACACCACTTTAAACTGAAGGTAGAATAGATTATGTAAAAACGTGACACACCACTTTTGCTCTCGATGACTCACATAATGCATATTACATTACCTTTAATGCGGGACTGAAAAGATATTGGTTTTAAAATGATATATACTCCATTCCCTCTGTGCCTTTTTTTTCGTTATCCTTACAATACTCACCAATAAATATTAATTTTTGGCAAAAAATGGCGACAGTAATTCTAAATTCATTACTTATCGAAGCCCTTTAAATGTATGTACACACTAATCATTTTTAATAAAATACATATACATTATCAATATTGTGTAGTCAAATAAAGTACAATAACTTTAAGGACAGCTCAAGAAAATAGCATAAAATTGAATAATGGAAAAGAAGTTTTATATAATAGTGCCTCATCCATAATTTAACGCTCAAATAAAAAAAATCGATAATACCATTCTGCACTTCCATGAGTCATGAACATTTAATAACGTTTACATCAGACATTTAAAACATTAGAATTTATTACTACGACTTTATCGTGTAATATTAAATGAAATATATTTAAAATGTCCTGCGAACTATATTTTATTTTGAAAGGCTTATGTTTACTAATCCCTTATCAGTAATAAGTTATTAAAAACAATAAAAGGTACAATATATTCAAATATATATGGTCGAACAAAGTTAGACATTGTGGTTAGTAATATAATACATTGAAACGACAATTTGTTTCAGAATATACCGGATGATATATTTCCTTTTTTGAACAAAAATATGTTATATTTCAACCGGTGTAATCCAATATTTCACACTCCGTTTCCCCTTGCCGATAATAATATGAATCGCTGACGTAGGTAAACCCCTTTGGTTAACAAATTTCAATTCTTAAGTATTTTTTTTTCTTTCTCTCCAAAATCCATTCCACCGTCTGGTAAGATGGGTAAATTTAACTAGACAAACTATAATACATAGTCCCATTGTGCTTGTAGATCGACGTCTTTCAAAGAGGACGAGGATACGTGGAAAGGAAACGAAGATGGTAAAGTGATAAACAAACAGCCTCAGCGCGTGATCGAAGGACCTACCGCTTCGCCACAAAGTGGTTATGTTGTCAGGTAAATGCCCTTTGCTTGTTTATGCATGTCCCATTTAAACATATAATATATTAGTACGTTTATGCGAATAAAACCTTAAATAGCGTTTCATTTTTTGCATCCTATATGTTCCTATACCTGTTCGGTTTGTATAATGATGGGGTTGAATGAAGTATTATAAGGAAAACAATGCATTCTATTATCAACTAAAAGATACAGTAAAAAAAAAAAAAAAGTATTTAAAGTATTGGGTTGTTTAATGTTAATGTTTAGATTTTGCATCATAATAAAGAATGACACATGGCGCTATTGAATACTAAATACACCCTATATGTGCTATTATAAACACAGCGTATGCAGTAATAATTAAATGTATCTTGCACTGTACCAACTGGAACTATAATTTTTGTAGGATTACCAACGACGCCCGTGAAGTAGAAATGGACGAGAACTTAGGGCAAGTCAATACAATGATCGGAAATCTGAGAAACATGGCACTGGACATGGGATCCGAGCTCGAAAATCAAAATCAACAAATCGAAACCATCAGTACCAAAGTAATAATTATTATTTTGATATTACTAAAATACATATAAAATGTAAACAACCAAAAGTCCGCAAACGAAAAAAATAACTAAACGTGAAAAAATTCACGTTTATTTAATAACAATATTAAACAAATATATAAAATAATAAAATACTGGTATGTATAAATCGACAAACATTCTTACCGCTTCTGTAAGCTATGGTACAACTAAAAGTCTTAAATTCAAAGTTTATGTTCTCGCATAACGCCTCCGGTTTCATTAAAAGGCTTGGTTTCAAGCGGACAGTAATAAATTGCTGTTACTCTCAACCCTTATCATCACTAATAAAACCGGAAACCCTATACTGCGATATTTGTTGTCCCAATAAAAATAATAACTATAACTGTATAGAAGAGATGCCTACTTATCGCACTACATTCAAAATAATACATATACTAACTCTATTTCTATCTTACAATAGTCAATACGTACCAGTATAAAGTCGAGTATGAATGTTTTTTAAAATTATTTATTCAAATTTGTATATGTACACGTCTTTAAATGCAGCTAATAACTATATTTTATTTCTAATAATCACAATTAAGTTCTTTTAATTTATAATACATGTATTACAGTTATTATAACGATTGTTTGAATGTGATTTGAAACTACGTTAATATAATAAAACTACTAATAATATAATAATATAACTACTAATATAATATGTGCACTAATATTATATAATTAGTGCGCATATACCACGTTTTTAATACTATATTTGTCTACATTTTCAGACAAAATCAAACGAAGTGCGAATTTCAATGGCCAATCAGAGGACTAGAAATCTCCTCAAATAAACTAGTGGTAGAACAGAATAAAACGCAGTAGGCTTGTTGTTGTTACTTGCTATCCCTAAAATAAGAGTAGCTTGAATATTATAATATCTATGTATTCAAATCGTTAATTGAAAAATTGTGTCTTCCCTGTTATTTTGTGCAACGTGCAATTCAGTTATATAGTAGGCAAATAACATGCTTAAAATTTTCAAAATGTTAGATTTACATAATATTTAGTTGTTTTCGCAGAACAGATGCATATGTGGCTTTTTTTCTGACGATTCAAATAATCACTTTTTACGATACATTTCTAAACACAGTACGTCAAGAGCGACATATTGGAAATTTCGTTAAAAGTTTAATCGTTAAATTGCAAATGGTATCTTTATCGTATTATTCTATTTCCATTAAAGTTTTTTTTTTAAGTAACCCGTCCGTACACCACGAGCGCGTTTGTGCAAAAACAATACCGCGTTGACTGTCTAAGTGATGTTTTCTACTATCAGTACTAAACTATACCTATACTATTTTTGCACCAAACCCTCGGCTAGTCAATTATACAAATTTCGAAACGTCTAAAAAATGTTCTCCGGGTATTTTATGTGATTTTTATATATATATATATATTATATTTTTTTTTTTTAGCTCAATATCAATTATTCGAAAATGTTTTTCGTGCCGACGTGCGCTTGTAACTTTTTAACTTTTGCAGCTCAAATCCTATGATTTAAAGTACCTATAGTCAATTTAGTAACGCTAAGACCGTGGCCGCGTTATAATATTTCCGGCAAAAAGTTTTGGTACCCTCCTCACATTGTTCGAGGAATAATGTTTATTAGACAATGCCCAAAACCTCTGATGATGAATTCAATCACTATCAATTTTAAAATAGTACACATCACACGTTGTTGTGATTTTTATAAATTTAACGTTTATACTTTGTATTACTTGCTAAGGAAATAATTCGTGTTGGCCGTGCTTAGTTTACACAGACTAAGCACGGTTAACACGAATTATTGATTCAAGACAATTAATTAGGCCCAAATCGCAAAACCGCATTAGTTATATTACCAACTACGTATAAGTACATAAGTCGGAATAAATCAATTAGTTACCACTTACACAGGGTTAATGCAAGTAAAGAAATCACACAGTACCTATACACTGTATTATGTACATCTATTATATTCTTATTACTATACAGTACAGTAGAGTACCCCTTATTTTTCGAAGTTGAACAGTTTTTTTCTTCCTCTCAATTTTCTCCAAGTGACAGAAAAAAAAACTGGTATAACAACTACGCTGTATGATGAGTGCAAGTCGTGCCAGTGAATGTATATATATATATACTTAGATATAATTTATATATTATATATCTTCACTGGTTAGATTTTTTTGTCATTTTGAGACAATTGGGAGGTAGAAAACATAAAAATTCGAAAAATATAAAAATAAGGGACACTACCGTCATATTATATTCTGTTATTTTTTTAATAATATCACGTTTTTCAATGAAATTAATATATTCAAATAGGGTGCTCTTTTATTTATTTCTTAAGAATCGTGGTTTGTTTTTATTCATTCGACTCTATAACTGAAGCTATTCTACATGCTATAGGTACTCATTAATATCTATTTATAATATTTAATGTCACCGGTTCTGAATGGTTATTCAGATATCGCTACAATTTGGTAATTGAATATCCAACACTTGTGTGTAATTCCGTTTGTTTTAGAATTTCTCTATTGTAATAACCCGCGGCCATAGCGTATATCAGGCGTACTTAATTGTAATAAAAAAATAAAATCATATCCAGAAAAATATAGACAATACCAAACGTATATAATATATAAGTATAGGTAATTTATTAATAATAAATGATACCTAATTTATAATAATTAATTTATAAATATAAATGTCTATTCATTATCTCTGTTAAGTTTATAGATTTAACTAATTGCTTAACATATACTTAACCCTTTGACGATCATTGATGGCGTTTATGTACGATTTTAAAAGTGTTTCCAGGGGAAGCGTTGAAGTACGTTTTATAAGTTTATACGTGTTTTTTTTTTATAGGTTGTTATCTATTAAATCGACGTTATAAAACCCAGGACGACTTATGTGCTTCTGTTGGCTATAATTTGAACTAAAATATGATGTTTAAAGTAAGACATATGTTACATAAGGAAGTCGTCCTTGCTTTGAAATTTAAAATCTTTTTTTTCCATTCCTAATGGCTAATCCGCTCTCTGAATAGCATCTGTGTATTCTTAATTCGCTCCTCAAAGGGTTAAAAGTATTTCGAAAGCATTAAAACTGTTTAGTTAAAATATGAAATAATTTTTGGAACTCTCTTAGCCTGTAAACTGTGATGTTTTGTATCATAATGTTGGTGAAAATGTCTATTCACTTGCATTCGGGTACTTTAAACGAAAATATTAATTATGTAAACCGAACTCGGTGAAGGCTCGCTGTAATATTTTAACATAATATGTATAAGCTTTACCTAATTTGTATGTATTTTTCATATTAAGCTATTAATTAAAAAATCATCCTTGAAGTGAATAAAGTCAATTAGAAAAATCAATGTTTTATGTGTATTGTTTTAAAGCTTTTAAAAAAAATGTAATACCTACAAGTAGTTGTAGAAACTCTATTAATTATTATCCTAATGAAAGCAGATTACTTTAGGTTCCTCATACACAGTTATACTATAATCATTATACTCCGGAAACGACATAGCTAACAGCTAGTACATCCCACCACAAACCTTCATTCCTTACAAAAGCGCTTACCTCTTTACTATACTCCACAAATGTAGAATGCTTGACAACCTAGATGGGACATCTGTAAGTGTTAAAACAAGTTATTTGTTTATTAAATATTAAAGAATCTTTTCTCAATTTGTCAAAAATCTGTTAAGGGGCCCCTCTACACTAGCATTTATTAAGGCGCATTGTATAGGCAATTTTTCGCTAAAACAACATTAAACTAAAATGTACTTTAAAAATACGTCTTATTAGTTATTACCATAGAAAAGAAGTATCTAATTAATCTTTTTTCTAACTATTATAGCGCATATAGGATCTATTTTTGTACAAGAACATAATATGTTTCTACTTCAAACGTACTGTTCCTAAGAATTCTTCGATTTAAGTTTTGAAAAAAATTTGAACTCAACATTTTCAAGGAGATGAGTGTGGCACAATTTAAAATTATGTTTAGTTAATTAAATTTAAAATTGTGCCACAGTCGTTGTCTTGAAAATGTTATGAAGAATTTTCAAATGTTTTTTCAAAACTTAAATCGGAGTATTCTTAAGACAGTACGTTTGAAGTAGAATGAGTCGTTCTGCTCTCGAACAAAATATATTATATTATACTTCTTCATTATGATAGGTGATATTTTGCTCTTAAACTAACCTAAAAATCCAGCAAAATGGGATTAAATGCTTAATCAAGCAATTGAAGGGGTCCGTGCAAAAACGAGACAACTCCATTTTTTTAAACTTTTCAAGAAACAAAAAAAACTATTTTAAAAATATTGAGTTTAAGGTAAAACTAATGTTAATATCAATTAATATATATTAGACCATGATGAAAAAGATGACGTAGTACGTGATTTGATCAAGGTTTTTGATTTGAGATGTGAGCTAAAATTAACCAAAATTTGTTGGAGCTATCTTGTTTTTTGACCCGAACTTTGTATTTATTATTTCAATTTTTTTTTTATCAAAAAATTATTAATATTATTTATTTTTACTTTAAGACAACTGATTTTATTTATTTAAATATAACTACAGTGTAGACAACATTCGGCGCAAAAACCAGATAACTCCGGAGCTATCTGGTTTTTCAATGGAAAAAAAAAACCAGACAGCTCCAGTTCCATTATATTTCCTATACCGGTGGTCGGATTTGTCTCGTTCTTACACAGATATACTCGTCAAATTTTTCTTAATTGGAAACGGCCAAAAACCCATTTTCGCCAAAATTGGAGTTGTCTCGTTTTTGCACGGACCCCTTCAATTATCGAAAAACGTTAGTTGGAACTTGGGAGTTGGACAAGGACACCTTATTATGATAAAAAAGCCTGGACAAACTGACAAGTTGTCAGTGACAACTGTTGATAACATATTATCCTTATTATCGCATAATATAGTAGTAAACTATACTATAATACACTAACCTTGTTATCTACAAATTAAATAATAATATTATCATAATTCATACGAATTACGATTAACTGCTATTACCTATACACGTAACTTTTACATGGCTAGTAAAAATAGTTAGCATGGGTTGCTTTTTTACTATAATGTTCTTAGAGTTGGTAATGACTTTTCTAAAAGTGCCAAGTAGTAACAACTATTTGAAATGTTGTGGTAAATAATTCCCTAGTCAGAAAATCCTATAATCTATTTTAGTAAAATAAAAACGCATCAAATCAATTAGAAATGGATTTAATATACAAGGTAAAAAATATACTTTTCAACTATATTGTATTATGTTATTATTATTACTTTAATAATGTATTAAAAAAATATGTCATTTACATTTTACAGTCTGTCGTTAAAGTAGAATGTGGCAGTAACGAGGGTTCAGCAGTTTGTGTTCATACTTCAAACTCCGTTGGTCATGTATTCTTGACTTGTTCTCATGTTGTACGATATGTTAGTATAAAAAATTTATAAAATTTAAAGTTCTATTATGCATTTGTTTTTCTATAATTATGTAGGTATTCTAATTTCGTAATTTAATTGATATAGAAAACTGGACCTGTCATTTTACGACACAACGATAACGTAATAAAAGGGAAAGTAATTTTTGCAGTGCGCAAAGGTGTTCCATTCGATATAGCTATAATTTTAAGCGAAAAGACTATCAATATTGTCGCTTGTCAAATTTCTGATGAAAATCCAGTCATAAGTACGTGAAACAGTAATTTGATATTCCAACTTAGTTATGCAATTTTTATATTATTATTTTGCAAACCTACAGATCAAGAGGTATTTGCAGTGGGCTATCCTTCTATAGAAAAAAAACTCAAAATATCTTTTGGACACATACACGCAACACCTCTTAGTAGTATATTAACAACTAATTGTCAAGTATACCTTGGATTTAGCGGAGGTCCAGTTTTTGGAAAAGATAATAAGCTTTTGGGGCTAACAATTGGCATGCTAAATGTTGGTACAGTTAATTTTATACTACCTTCTTCAGTATTTAAACAAGTTATCAAAAACTATATTACTAAAAATGGTTAGCCTTTTTTTTTAATATAATAGTGCGTAGTACTCCTTGTTAATAAAATTGTATTTAAACTAATGTTTTCTCTTGCAGATATTATTGTATTAGAAAATCTGGAATCAAAGTGTCCAAAAACCAAAATGATATGGAATAATGGGGTACCAAATTTAAATTTGTGTCATTTTTGATAAGTGACACGTGGAGAAATTAATAGACTGAAACTTAACCATGCAAGCAAGAAAGGAGACTGTGTTTGATCTATACCTAATGAGCCAACATCTTATTTTTATTGAATTCTTTTTGAAAAATGATCTTTTATGATTTAAACTAGCAAAACAAATTTGTATTTTGATTTATATAGTTATTATGTTTTAATTACAGGTGATATTTTAGACAATGCTAAAAAAAGTTATAACTTCATTAGTTGTTTGAATTGTGATACCAAAAAGTCAATATATTTGTATATAACATATTTGATTAAATTTATCAGGTATATGATATTTAAATTAAAAATACATAATAATTATATAAGAAATTTGTATTAAAGTATATTTGATAAATAGTATCGTAAGTACATAGAATATAGTGACGGATAAGTTGATATTTTCTGTAAGCGATATGAGCTATTTAAGACTGAGTGGTATTCTGTGGCATCGATTCGTAGTTGAAATTTATAAATACAATTATTTTACTATGTTCTATCAATGTAATTAATTATTTTGTAAAGGTTCATTTTATATTGATAAAATGGAAATTCTCTGATCATAATTTTACAAATATTATATATATTTTAATCATATAATATGTCATAAAACATAAGTGATTCGCTGAATCAAAGTGATGAATTTAGCAACTGCTGCTTTGAATAAACACTAGTTTGTGTAAAAATTAAAACTATTAAACAGTGTTTTTAGTTAATAATCACAAATTTTGGTTAGGGAGGTAAAAATGTTAGGGTGCAAGTATATAAAAATTGGTCTTATTAATTAATGTCTAATCAAATATAAGGATAGTATAATTATTTAACATAATACAATTTTAATTTTAATATTCTACTTTAATCATGTTGACTAAGTTTCTTAGACTTGAAAAAATTTCAAATATCTAAAGGTTAAATATTTTACATTTTACTACAAGTAAAACAAGTAGGTAAAAAAGTTATCAGAATTTTCAAGTATATCACTTATCTTTTATCCTATTGTTACACACATAAAATTTTAAATTTTAAATGGAAACATGTTAATTTGGCTTAAGAGCCGTAAATTACAAGGGTACTAGTTTCTAATTTAATTCTTAAATCGTGTCCGGATGTTTGAATTTTGAGATACTCCAGCAACAATGTTCGAAGAATTGTTTGCTTTATGTTAAAATTGTAGTGCCCAATTGTTATTTATTAAATCAAAATCTTTGTGAAAGCTCCTTTCACTGCATTCTTTAGTCAGTATCTAACGGTATATTACACGACTGGAAATATTTTTTTTATTAGTAGGTACATTATTGTTTCACACTCAAATAATACAATAATATTGCAAAAATTATGCCTTTATTCATTCTCGATGATTATTAGAAAGACATTAAACTTGTTAAACGACAATTCAATAATATTGTGATGTAGATTTAAATTAAGTATAACTTCATGCATTTTAATTAGTGGTCTGATAACTTAATTGTTTTGAATAAAATCATCACATCAGAATTAATAAAATTTAGGACGGTATATAGTTTGTGACTAATAATACATAAAGAGTAAAATTCAATTTTTTTTAATAACATAAATTATAACATTTTATTTAAAACATACATAAAATAAAAATAAACCAATAAATAAAAGCGATGGGAATGAGAAGGAGTATTCATTCAATATTCATATTATACAAGACATATCTAACCAAGTAAATAAAAATTGCAAATGTAACCATAACAATGACATTATACAACACTGTTTGGACAATGTTATTTTCTGGTTCGCTGATATCTGGGTCCGGTGTGTTGATTTCATTTGCTCTGGCCAAGTTGCGTTTTTCAATTTCGTTCTTTATAGTCTGTACAAATGCAAACAAATAAAATAAAATAGTATAATTACAATTTTAGGTATAAATGCACTTTACCGGACACCCTTTTTTTGTAGTATTTTTTACGCCGATTACGAATCGCAAGTTGAAAAATCGGCGGACTCCTCTTTCCAAAGTTATAGTTACTTTAAATTTGCATATTTCTGCGTGTATAACAATAGGCGGTGGCGACAGGGGCGGACGCAGCCACGTACCGCCGTACCATATATTTGTCAGCAATACAACGATAGGATAGGTTAGGTTTGGATTCATTAGGTCACTGACACTTCCAGAACAGCAGCTTAGGTTAGTTTAGTCCTTTAAGCTATTTTGTTCGCTTGGGGGTTTGGGTGTGTGAGCCCCCATTTAACGAAGAGTCCCGAAATTGGCAGGCGTAGTTGTTTTATATAGTTCATGAATTACTAACTTAAAACTTTAATACTTAAGGAAATTATATTGTTGTTCAATACAATATTGATATTACATCATTGATAATATTATAATAATAATAATAAAAATAAATAATTCAACTAATAATATTGTAGCAGCGCACTTGCGTCGCTGCCAAATGTATGTTGCGGCAACAAGCGTCTGTGGCCGCAGTCACCAGCTGCTGCCACCTATTGTTATACACGCAAAAATATGCAAATTTCAAGAAGCTATTAAAGAAATTTGGGATTAGAGGTGTCCGCCGATTTTTGACTTGCGATTCGTAATCAGTGTAAAAATACACAAGATGGTAAAAAAAAAAGGGTGGCTGGTAAATTGCACTTATTCCCAATTTCATTTTATTGACAAAAAATGCATTATCATTAATCACCGTTGTAAGCTCAGGAAATAATTCACAAAAATTTTCATCACGTATGTTAGTTTCCAAACTTTGAGCAGCCAGTTGACGCCTTTCGTAATCTGTCATATCTATACTGCCCATTGTAGGACTATTTTCCAGCTTAAATGAAGAAATTAAAATTGTGTATAAACTTCAAGTGAATACAATAATTTATTCAATTACCATGAAGCTGAGCAATCCAGTGAGTATTGTAGATACACTCCAAGCGGGATTCCATGTATCCGGATGATAATCACTGATAGATAAGCAGAGTCGAGTGTTTGTCTTAAACCTCCCATTAGGAGTAATCATGTAAATGCTTGGCGGCTTAAATGGAAAATCTCTAGGAAAAACAAGTCGACCCAAGTAATATCCTCCAGCATATGGCGAATCGTCTGGTCCGCTTACAACATAGTACCTGTAAATTCATTGCTACTTTAAAATACTTAACTAATAATTTATTTGAACAATTATAAAATACCATTCCAATATATTTGACGGAACGGGTTCAGCTACTACATATGGTACTGGGTCATTTTTAAGACGAGCATAATCTTGTTTCAATCGAAGCGTAGCAGATGATGTCTTAGGTGGCATAATTCTATTTTGTTCGTATAGTTGTTTACAATAACTTGTGGAAAATAATTAATTCCCAAATAGATGCATGAACATACTGGGGAGCACAATAAAATATAATATTTATCTCGTTTCTACAATATCTGAAAACGTAATAACATAAGCTAATGAATTATTGAACTTCACTTCAACTAAGTAGGCAATAATTTCCACAAACACGCTTTAAAAATCTGTAATTTATTTAATATTATAATTCTTTTATCGGAAATTTAAACATAAATTGATTTTACGTACTTTAATATTCAACATAGTAATTTATAATGAAAAATGTATGAACTATGATACAAATAAATTGGAGAAATATTGATAAAAAAGAAAAGACCTGGAATAGAAAATAACAAGTTGATCATCAGCTGTTCTGGAGGAGGCAAAGTTGGGACTTGGAAATATTTTGTGGACAATATATTATACAATAAATTATATTATTCAGACAATGTAATTGTCCACAGTTTTTGGGAGACAATAATTATTAAATTTAAAACAATCAGATTGTACAGAAAACTTATCATAATACCTAGTGGCTATAGTTGTATTAAATTGTAATACCTATCCGTTTAACAGTTACATAATCTTAAAGAGAAATATTATACTATGTGTTATTTTTTTACCAATTAACAGTGGTCAAACTTTAGACTAATACTCGGTCTGTAAATTCTTTAGAAAAAAATGTAATTATTAGTTTGGGCTAACTGTTTTTTATTTGTACCTGATAAAAAATCAGTATTATTTTTAAATAACATCGACATTTTTAAGTACCAATATATTATAAAAACACTTATAATTATATTTTGAGATATAATATAATCGATGGTTTATACCAAAATATCTATAATTTAATTCATGTAGGCATCAAGTCCGTGCACAGAGGGGGATAAGGTTCAAACCAACTCCCCTAATAGTTTCAACCAGTAAATAATATTGTATTGCAAGTTAAATAATTATAATAATATTGTGATTATGATTTATTATTTATTTAATTGTAAAAATAATATAAAATCAATATATGAAGTATTGATCAAATGTGATAGAGATTCGAGATCATTATGAACATATATAAAAAGTATACTTAAAGAACTATAAGTTATTCATAACATTGTTAGCCATATGTAAGCAACTGGAAAGATACCGGCTTGTGGTTCAACCCAAGCTTCATAATTTCTATTGGACATTTTACTAAAGCATTTTGGATTACTCAAATAACGTAAATACTTTTATATCAAGCAGTCCACAGACAACATTAAGTATAATACGATATATAGTTTGTACTCTTTTTTTTACTTCATACGATATGTATTATGTAATTTTTTATAATACTTGCCTTATTTTTAAAATAATATGTATTTATGTCTTTTACTAGTCACTCTATAGAAATTATCATTATACTCGTTTCAGTACACTATAATCATTGTACTATAAGGACCAATTTTCAAGTATAGAAACTGTCTTAACACATTTTCTTATACCTCCATAATCAAGAGGGAAATGTGATCATAATTTATCATTCAGTATTTAATATTATTGTGAAATATTACAAATAGCAGAATAATACATATACTATATACAGCAGAAAAATTGTGACTGGAGGTAAAAAACCATTATGCTCAAATGAGTCAAGCTGAAAATACATTAAAATATTTGTTAAACAAACTATGGCCGTATTAACCATGTAATAAGAACTTTACCTTTAAATTACAGCCATAAGTTCCAGAATTTACATAATTAATATTGCAGTTAGTTCATGTAATTATTTTAAGATATTCTTATTATATTTATCTATGTTAGTAAAGAAATCATTGGGAAAAAGGAGATACAAAATAAAAATAGACAGATTTAAAATGTAGTGAATAATATTTTATTTTGAATTCTTAAAATTGTGTACCAATATTTTATTGTTTATTTACGGATATTACATTATTAATGAGTATAGAAAGTTATCATTTGGAATATTAAAAATTATGAGTTGGAATAAATCCATTAATTATTTGCACCACCACGAAGACGGAGTACCAAATGAAGGGTGGATTCTTTTTGTATATTGTAGTCGGAAAGTGTACGTCCATCTTCCAATTGTTTACCGGCGAAAATCAGACGTTGTTGATCGGGAGGAATACCTTCTTTGTCTTGGATCTTAGACTTGACATTTTCAATGGAGTCTGATGATTCCACTTCCAAGGTAATTGTCTTGCCGGTGAGGGTTTTCACAAAAATTTGCATTCCTCCACGTAGACGGAGTACCAAATGAAGGGTGGATTCTTTCTGGATATTGTAGTCGGAAAGTGTACGTCCATCTTCCAATTGTTTACCGGCAAAAATCAGACGTTGTTGATCGGGAGGAATACCTTCTTTGTCTTGGATCTTAGACTTGACATTTTCAATGGAGTCTGATGATTCCACTTCCAAGGTAATTGTCTTGCCGGTGAGGGTTTTCACAAAAATTTGCATTCCTCCACGAAGACGGAGTACCAAATGAAGGGTGGATTCTTTCTGGATATTGTAGTCGGAAAGTGTACGTCCATCTTCCAATTGTTTACCGGCAAAAATCAGACGCTGTTGATCGGGAGGAATACCTTCTTTGTCTTGGATCTTAGACTTGACATTTTCAATGGAGTCTGATGATTCCACTTCCAAGGTAATTGTCTTGCCGGTGAGGGTTTTCACAAAAATTTGCATTCCTCCACGTAGACGGAGTACCAAATGAAGGGTGGATTCTTTCTGGATATTGTAGTCGGAAAGTGTACGTCCATCTTCCAATTGTTTACCGGCAAAAATCAGACGCTGTTGATCGGGAGGAATACCTTCTTTGTCTTGGATCTTGGACTTGACATTTTCAATGGAGTCTGATGATTCCACTTCCAAGGTAATTGTCTTGCCGGTGAGGGTTTTCACAAAAATTTGCATTCCTCCACGTAGACGGAGTACCAAATGAAGGGTGGATTCTTTCTGGATATTGTAGTCGGAAAGTGTACGTCCATCTTCCAATTGTTTACCGGCAAAAATCAGACGTTGTTGATCGGGAGGAATACCTTCTTTGTCTTGGATCTTAGACTTGACATTTTCAATGGAGTCTGATGATTCCACTTCCAAGGTAATTGTCTTGCCGGTGAGGGTTTTCACAAAAATTTGCATTCCTCCACGAAGACGGAGTACCAAATGAAGGGTGGATTCTTTCTGGATATTGTAGTCGGAAAGTGTACGTCCATCTTCCAATTGTTTACCGGCAAAAATCAGACGTTGTTGATCGGGAGGAATACCTTCTTTGTCTTGGATCTTAGACTTGACATTTTCAATGGAGTCTGATGATTCCACTTCCAAGGTAATTGTCTTGCCGGTGAGGGTTTTCACAAAAATTTGCATTCCTCCACGTAGACGGAGTACCAAATGAAGGGTGGATTCTTTCTGGATATTGTAGTCGGAAAGTGTACGTCCATCTTCCAATTGTTTACCGGCAAAAATCAGACGTTGTTGATCGGGAGGAATACCTTCTTTGTCTTGGATCTTAGACTTGACATTTTCAATGGAGTCTGATGATTCCACTTCCAAGGTAATTGTCTTGCCGGTGAGGGTTTTCACAAAAATTTGCATTCCTCCACGAAGACGGAGTACCAAATGAAGGGTGGATTCTTTCTGGATATTGTAGTCGGAAAGTGTACGTCCATCTTCCAATTGTTTACCGGCAAAAATCAGACGCTGTTGATCGGGAGGAATACCTTCTTTGTCTTGGATTTTGGACTTGACATTTTCAATGGAGTCTGATGATTCCACTTCCAAGGTAATTGTCTTGCCGGTGAGGGTTTTCACAAAAATTTGCATTCCTCCACGTAGACGGAGTACCAAATGAAGGGTGGATTCTTTCTGGATATTGTAGTCGGAAAGTGTACGTCCATCTTCCAATTGTTTACCGGCAAAAATCAGACGTTGTTGATCGGGAGGAATACCTTCTTTGTCTTGGATCTTGGACTTGACATTTTCAATGGAGTCTGATGATTCCACTTCCAAGGTAATTGTCTTGCCGGTGAGGGTTTTCACAAAAATTTGCATTTTAGTCTGGAAAACAATAAAAATTATACTAATAATTTAATTTTTTAATTTTTGCTCTATGGTTTAGATATTATATAAACTTTAATGATGACTATTCTCAAATAGTTTTATGAAATAAATCAAATACACATCTTACAAATATAAAATAATAGTTGTACCTATTAAAATGTATTCAATTTGTTTATTTTGTAAACATTTTATTCTGAATTTTAAATGATTGAAGACTATTTGAAATGAACCTATGTAGTATTCCAGTTAAAATAAAAGTTAACTATTCATATAAGTAATAGTCAAATAAAACTTTGTTTTATATTATGCTGATATTAAAAAATAGTATTAGTTTTAAGTATGTAGTAACTATAATACATTTATTTTATTTTATTCATTTTATAAGATAACTTAAGAATTTAATTCAAAGTAAAATAGTATGAAATTATATGTATACAGTATTAGTCTTAAATATTAAAATGAGCAAAAGATCGACTACATAAAATATTACATTGTTAGTTGTTATAACAACTGTACTTTGCAATGTACTTTTGTCATTATTCAAGATCCAATACCATTAAAAAAAATTAAATAATAGAAACTTGGCAAAAAGAGAGTATTGAATGATTTGTTTTATTTTTGATGGCATAATTATTGACAACTGAAATATTACAAAGGATTCTAAGTTTAAAATAATTGTTTTGAAACTTGATAATAATTAAAAGTAATTATAAATGAATTATTATATTAATACTTTTAAACAGGAAGTGTAAACACAAAGTTCAAAAGTTTCCATTAATTAACTTTACTTAGGTATTCATTTAGTCAGAACATCATTTTTTTAGTAAAAATAATACTTTTAACCAATGTTTAACATTTAATGTATTCAGTGACGTAACCATTTTAATTTGAAGTTATTTGCATCTTTTAAGATGAAGAATGAAATAGATTTGATATACAATTTATAACTAGAGTCCACTGATATCAGACTTTAAATTCGTAATCAGCACAAAAAACAACAAAGATTATAATAAAAGGTGCGAAGTAATAATTTATACTCAAACCACATAGACATCAAGTGATTTTTTATAATAATATTCCATTACCCGATTACAAATTAAGATTCCATAATTGTTTTTTTTTGGTAATAATATTAATTAAAATTAAATAATAAGAGATTAATAAAAGACTTCACCACTGGCCACTGCTTTTTGTTAACGTCGTAAAAAATACGACAAAGACATTCAATGACGTCATTCGTCAACAAAGAGTTTTAGTCATTTTCATATACAATTGATTTCAAATGGATTAAAGTATTATTTCGGTCCAAAAGGGTTTAAAATCTTAGTTATCAATCATTTTAGCAATTAATAGAAAAATATACTTTCAATACGAAATAATTCTACGGAAATCGTTCAACTTCACAATCGCGGTTTGTCACACGAGCCACGTCGCCATTTTGCGATATTGAACAAAAATCGAAATACAAATATCTGGGCCCCATAATGTTAAAACATTATCAGATATAAAAAGAATAATAAACTTACAACGAAAGAATTTATCGTTTATTAACGCAACTTAACAATTATTGCTTTGTGTCACTCGAGGCCATTTTGTGACGTTCAACGGAAATCACGATAAAGTCCAAGCAGACTAATTCTATCCTAACAATAATGAAATAACGTATATTACCTTTTCGACGTTCGCTCACGCTTGAATTTATTGAATTTGTTTATTTGATTTGTTTATAAGAAAGGTGTAACGTTTATGCTTTGTCTTTCCGTTGCTTAGAGTTGAAAAAACTATGGAAACTCGTCAAATGCAAAACGCGACCAACTCAACGAATGCTCTACGAAGGTAATAACAATTTTCACTTATGTGAATTGCGCTGTAGCCTGTAGCGAGCAACCTTTGTAATTTGGCTGATGCAATCGATATTGTTTTGGAACAAAGGACAGCTGGACACGTACGCGGATTTTGTAGAGGAAAAACAACGGCTGGCCAATCGGAACACGGGTGACGTCTGTAGTCGACGTGCGCATGCCCGAAAACGAGCAGAGTCAGGGATTTCTTGTCAACAATCAGCTGTTTTTTGTTTTGCTTATCAGTGATTACAATCAATGTTTACACTTTGCACAGTTCATGTTTTTTAGCAGAACAGAAATTGAAAATCGCGCATGCACGTATTCAGAAAAATATTGTAATACACAAACTTGAACAACATGTAAACATTGTCATCGTCCAACTCGGTCTATTTTTAAAAAAAGAAAATCATCTGAATGTCTGTTACTCTTGACCGTCTAGTGGTAGGTCTACCGCCGCCGAGCTTAACCGATTTTTGAATGTCTGTCCATTTAGTGGTCAACGCGTTTTACAAAAATGGTACAGCGTTGTTGCGCGCTCGCTGTACCAAAAACATTTTATTCGTCCGCACAAGATTGGCATCGAGATCAGCACACACCCAAGCGCTGAATCCCTCTACCAGCCATCGTAGCCCACTAAACTCTAGTTGCCAATCCAGATGGCAGCTTACTCGAAGAGCATTTGTCGACAGTTTGCTAAATCGTGTGACAAATTCACTGTCGGCCGATTTACGTAAACGAACTGCCCGGCAGCTAATGTTTGGCAACTCGAGACCATTTTTCGCACTTGTCGGAATGAGTCTGGCGTCTGGTAATGGTGTGATAACTAATGACAATCAACTAGATGGTGTATGCTGGGAAATTAGGGTTTGTACATAATCAATAACTGATATATGAACCTATATCATTTATTATGTTCATATATATATATATATATATATATATATATATATATATATATATATATATATATATGCATAACTATTATTATAATTATTCAATTAGTTCATTTGTTATTTTAGGAGGCTGTTGGTAGAATGCAGAAGAATTTAGCTGTTGCCGAGTGTTTAAATTTAAATCCATCTTTGGGTTTAAAGCAGTTTGAATTAGGAGTTGCTATTGCTAAAGGAAATAACGCAGTCGTGTATGAAGCAAGAAAAAAGGATGAAAAAGGTATTTTTTAAATAAAATTAAAGCATTAAGAAATAATTGTTAAGAATATTTTACACTCTAATGCATCAATAATAGTTAGTTCCATTATAATTTTAGTATCTAAATATCATTTTCTTTCATATATCTGTGTAAATCGTAATTTTGGATATATTATAATAATATAATTTGACCTTGTAGGATCTAAAGCTATTTAAATGTTGGCAACATAATTATTATTCATAAGTTAAACTATTCGAATAACTCATATTTTCTTGGTATTGTACATGTTTTTGAACAGTAGTACTATTCATTTAATTTGGAATATTTAAAATTTATTTGAAATTTATTCCTAAGAATAGAGGAAATAATATAAAATTGGGTGTTTACTAAATGTTGGATTTATTTGTCATTAGATAATTGTAATTTATTATTGAAGCAAGAATCATCTTCTCAAAATTTTCCTTTGGCTATTAAAATGATGTTCAACTATGATGCAGAAAGTAATGCTATGGCTATACTTCGAGCTATGAATAGAGAAACCGTGCCATCTAGACGAATACAGAGTAGCTCTTCTAAATCAGACCAGCACTGGCTTATGGGGTTAAGTTTACGACTTATTTTTATTTAAAAATAATGTATCTTTTTTAAAAAACTTTTATTTTGTTGTAGATAATTAACTTTTTAGCTACAATAATTTAGCCATTTCAATTACATATGTCTATCACTCTATTTCTTTAAATTAATATTGTTTTGAAATTTTTTTTTCAGTTTGGACAAGGGTTTAATTAGGTTACCACCTCACCCCAATATTGTTGTAATGCATTTGTGTTTTGCGGACTACGTTCCAGAGTTAACAGACTCGCACTCACTATATCCACAAGCTCTACCACAAAGAATAAATCCTGATGGTTATGGACGAAACATGAGCCTATTTCTTGTTATGAAGAAGTAGGCAGTTACACTATTTTTTGTAAATGTTTTTGTTTTATTTCATTGTTTAAATACATACATATATGTATTCAGATATGATATGAGCTTAAAGCAGTATTTGTCTCAATCGTCACCTAAAGTCAGAGATAAAATTCTTTTGCTTGCACAATTATTGGAAGCTGTTACACATATGTGTAATCATAATATTGCACATAGGTAATATTACTTGGCTAAATAATGACTTTATAATATGTTAAAACAGTACATTTATATAGGGATTTGAAAACTGACAATGTCCTTTTAGACATCTCTGAAGGCAATAATGTTTGCCCTACACTAGTTGTCACAGATTTTGGTTGCTGTTTAGCTGATAAAGATAATGAACTTAATCTGCCTTATAAAACTGCTGACACAGATCGCGGAGGAAATATATCGTTAATGGCTCCGGAGGTAGTTTATTCTTCTACTATATATTTAATGAGTTATCTAAATTGTTTGCTCTGCATAATTTTAGGTTGTTACTGCACAACCAGGAACTTTTGGACAGATCAATTATTCTAAAGCTGATGTCTGGGCAGTTGGTGCAATGGCATATGAAATATTTTCTAGCAGCAACCCATTTTATAGTTATGAAAAGGGTAAACCCCCTTTATTACGTAATTCAACGTACGAAGAAAAAAATTTGCCAGAACTTAACACTGAAGTACCCCTTGTTATTCGAACATTAGTTCATTCCCTCTTGCAAAGATCAACATCAAAAGTAAATATGTATTATTTTTTTAGCTAATTAAAAATAGGTGTGCCCTCAAATTGATAAAAGTATATAAATATGTGATGTTTTATGTTAATTTTGTTATTTAGAGACTTGATGCTTCATTTGCTGCAACTGTTTGTCAGTTATATTTATGGGCTCCATCTTCTTGGTATACAAAATATGTATTACCAACTAGTAATGAGGTATTAACTATACTTATAAACATATACGTGTATATAGATTTTTTTAAACAATAAATTAAAAAAAATTATGTTATTCAAATTTTAATTTTAATTTTAGGGATTTTTTATTTGAATAGGCTACTATCGATTCAAAGAGTAAGCCATATGAAAAAAACATACATATACATAGATACCTAGTTAAAAGACTATTAGGCATAAACACTAAATTAAATTTAAATCACTTTTCACTTTTACAGCAAAATAAAAAAAAAAATTGTTTGTCAGCTGACTACTTTAAATAACGGGTATAAAATAAATAAACATGGAATAAAAATAAACTTATTTTGTGAGTTAAAAAAAAAAAAAAGTATTCAAGTATTTATTAACATACATGTAAAAAAAAAAAGGTCAATCGTATTCTGATAATAAAATATGATTATTCATTTATATATATATATATATATATATAATAAGCTCTACATTTAATTGATGGTATCTTGAAACATATTACGTACTTGAAATTACTAATTTTTAAATCTAAAAATTATTATATGGAGACATTTGTAAAATTAAAATTATTATTATTTAGAATAATGCATTTAATAATTATTTTAGGTGGTACAATGGTTGTTGTGTTTAACTACAAAAGTATTGTGTGAAGGCGGAGTAATGGCAAATATGAACACTAAACGACGTACTTTTACAGAATATCAATTGATTACTTCATTTTTACACAGAGCCAAATTATATGAAATAAAAAATGCACTGCAATGGATGCAATCAATTCAACATGAATAATGTTTAAAAAACAAGTGTATTTATTTGAAATGGTTCAATGCATAATAACATTATATTTTTATATCAAAGTATTGTCCCATACGTTTACAACATTACAGTAAACTCATTAAATGTGATATTTAGTTTTAGATAATTACAGTTTTTATTATATTTGTTGTGTACCTTAGTACAGTATTACCAAACTTGTTAATCGAATAGTATACGTTAATAGTTAATAAAATAAGTATACATACACCATATAAATTTCTACTCAGAAACTTTTTGCAATACATGAATGCATGGTTATTTTATTATTGAATTTACGATTAAAGACATTTTTCATGGTAAATACTTGTTATCATAATTGTTTATTGTAATTTATTATATTTACGGATGTTTGAATGTTAAAATGAACTGGAACCTAGAGGAGTTTGGTTTGTTTGAAAACTGGCCTTATTATTATTATATATTTTCAGACCAAACTAGGTATCTTGTAAAATTTGGTTTGGATATCAAACACGAAACTAGATAAAAATCATTCATCGTATAAATTGAACTAGTAATCAATAAATTGCCATCTACCTCGTTTTTACATCTCAATTAGTTGTACAAAAATAAATAATACTATTATTGGTGTTATGTTTGTTTTTAATATCCCATATGGTTTTAAATACCTAATAAGTATTTCTAGTTTGGGAAAATGTAATAATAAGTTCGATTTGATGTTAAAAGTTAGCAGATTGATCACATCACTAAATTATTTATTTTATCATGGGGGAAATAGCAGTAGCCTAAACTTGAAAAGAAGAGAGCTAATATAAGTCAGATATACCTAATATTTAGTTAAAACATTTGAACTGTGCGAGTATGTACAATCGCACAGTTTTCGTAATCTGTAATCGAATATCGTGACATTAGAATTAGAACTGAACAAAAAGTCTTAACAATTTATCGTTCTTCAAGCGAAGGAATGAGGATCATTTATGCTTCCTACGCTTTTAAGTATTAAAAATACTCGAGGTCTAATATGTAGTTTTATTTTACAAATAACTAATTGTACGGGAATGGGCTTGGTAATCGACAAGAAAGGTTTGTGACGAGAAATACAATTTATAATTTTCCGTCGACATGTCTAGTAAACACTGCGTCGATACACAGATTATGTCGTAGAAATGGAGAGGTTATATTAAAGCAAAACTTATTTTCAAAGGTAATCTTACTCATAATATCTAGTAACGCGAAAGTGGTATAAAAAATTCCCCCCTCCTTCCCAAAAACTACCCCCTAGGGATAAGATATGTACATAAAAAGTAAAACGCTAAATGTGTAAGTGCTAAATAATTTAATCAGTTCATTTGCATAAACTAACTGCACAGAAACACCATAGATTAGTTTGCGCAGTTAACTGGACGGTTAAAGCGTAAACCTACCTTAATAACGATTAGTATTTAAATCTTTATACCGCTATAAGTGATTGATGAAGCTACGAAACATTATTGTATGAGATTTTTATAAAAAAAAAATCACCTCACGGTCAAACATAATATTTTTGAGTAGGTATACATTTCGAATAAACCCAGGCTATCCTAGACACCAATATATACCTATTAAGTCATTTAAAACAAAATTATTTTCTGTTATTATGAACTATGAAGAGAAAAGGATATCTATTACTCTAGAGTCAAGTCTATCTCACGCCTAATATAGATTTAGACGTATAACGGTCGATATACTGATGCGATAATAAATCTAAAACCAGATTATAATTTGCCATATAGTTGAGGAGATCGGTTTTCATATTGTTTCAATTTTGAATTCTAACGCTTTCTTAATTCGATTTTAAAATTTCAATTTTTTTTAGAATTTTTTATCTGTCTAGTAGGAGTTGTAACATCTGTGTGCTATGCCATCGACATAAAATTGAATTCGCAATTTTAAAAAAAATATGTATTTTCATCATACTAATGAGTAATATATAGATTTATATATATTTTTATTTTTATTTTTATCACACACACACACACACACACACACACACATACCTTCATACCATACGATTTATGTTGTGTCGCATTAAAATACTAAATAATAATAATAATAAATGAACAAATCACTAACATCTGTCAAGACGACAATATTCCCACAGAGGGTCGTGAGACCGCAGACCTCTTTTCAGTTCAGAGGGGACACATCTTTCACTCACAACATAATTTTTATGTCATCGTCGATCCGTTGCAAAAAAAAGTGTAAATGATTTTATTTTATTTTATGGGCAATTGTTATTCATATAGTATACTCGTATAGTAGCTCACACTTATATTTAACGAGATAGGGTTCTCTACAAGTTAATAGTAATAGATTAACTCTTGATCAGAATATTTATTTTTTATAAAAGTGTATGAGTCAATGTAACATGACTAATCTGGACTCGTAGGCAACACAATGGTTAAAAAAAATATGTACCCTAACACATGCACATATATCTGTTATATTTTATAACTTATAATACATTTATTATAATATTTAAATATCTTTTCTATACACTGTGTTAAAAAAATCTACATTTTATTCGTCAAAATACTAATCTTGTATTTAAATATAACACTTATTCGTCATCATTCAAATCAATATCAATACAATTGTATTTAATAATAGTAATCGTAAAGTTTTAAATTATTAACTAAAAGATAAAAAGGAATGGGGAAACATAATTGTCTAATTTTTTTTTTTTTGTACAAAACGCCAAGTTAATAAAATAGTTATTAGATAATTAATAAAATAAATGCGAATTGTATACAAATGAGCTTACATTATAATTTATACATGTTTAGGTGTGAATTGTGTTTTCTTGGTAAGTACTACTATTTTTTTGTACGGTAAACTGTATAATGTAAGGTTATACTTAGGTAGTTTTTTTTGTGTCTAATATAAAAGTAATTTTTATATCGTAAATAAGTCTTAATAGGATAGTACCTCTACACATCTTAAATATTTATTAAAAGTTTATTAGCAATTTCTTGTAAAATCTTAATTTTAAACAAAAAAGATTGTTTTACTTTATTAGTACGACAATGAAGTGCTTTATAGATCGATAATTTGTTTTTTTTTACGAGAATTTTTTTCCAATTATGACATTGCTACACAAAACCAGGTTCGCTCAGTTTATAATGGTTTTAGATCAAAAACACCTCTAATTAATTAAAAGAACATAATATTCCTATTGGTTGTTTGAAGTACGTTGACAAATTATTAATTAACTTTAAGAATTCTTAAATATTTCATTTTTAAAGCAACTGTAACTTGATTACCTACTAAATTCAATTTTAAAAAATCCGCCAACATATTGCCCTTTAAAATATGAAATTCGTTCGCTTTATTCTTTAATAAGTGTTAAAACTATATATACTAATATCAATAAAACATTTATCAAAAACAAATTGGATATTCTCATGGAAGTTATGCACCTGTACCTAACATAGTATCTACAGATATACTATTTTTAAGTTTCTTATTACAGCTCATTATTTATTTAGTATGATAACCAGCAGAGGTAAAGTAAGATGATAAATTAGAAATCTTTCTAAACGATGCGCAATCGTCGTCCATTCCTGCTTCCAATTTCTTGTACAGATCCATTTGCTTATAAACTCGTGGCGGCCTGATTGACACACGTTTATATCGTTCACTACCATACAGGGATCACAATCCGACCGTAAAGCCTACCGGAGCCCGGAAGATTTGCTTTGGTGTCTAATTAGAACCAAATGCCAGTCCGTGTATCCATTGCTCTGCAGTTATGGAGGCTTACACATTAACGTACATTTCGGTTCGTTTTAACTCATTAAATTATTTTAACGATTTTTCGAAAGGCAAACTGTTTTTTTTTTTTTAATGATCATTCAATATTTTTTTGTTACACAATCATGCGTCTGCCCCGACTTTAATTAAGGGACTCTGCATTAAATAGCGCCTATTAGGATAGGATGCGTTTTAAATATATTTTACTGTAGTCTTATACTATAGTTTTATGTTAGTTTCCCAGTACTATTATTACTACAATTATGGTACTATTATTATTATACTATTTGATACTATTATTATTACAATTATTTACATACGTTATTAATCATTATAAAATATCAATAATTTATATTACACGTTTCAAAGAAGAGGAGGGTAAAAAAGAGAATCTGAAGGGCAGATTCAGATGATGAAAATATGGTACAAGTAGGTAAATAAAATTACATAAATATTAAATTTATAGATTTATTGACGCGCCATACATTTTTCTCTTTTTAATTTAGTAGGTATACTTGTTAGACATTTTAGATTTAAAAATACTTTTTTATAATTGCTAGCTATAAGCATGAAATAATCAGTTTCATTAGATGTACCTATGTTCAAGTTGGAAATACATTTTCATTACAGATAAGCATGTAAAAAAAAATGGAATTATGTATATATTTAAAGTAATTGAATAATTAATTAAAATAATAAAATAGTTTACTATTTCTTCTTGTTTTAAAAAAACCTGAAAGTTTCAGGATAGACCACACATACCTTTTTCTATTTATGCTCAACAACTACATAGTTTTATGAAAAAATTGTATTGCACTTCGTACAGTTATTAATTATTATTTATATTAAACTATATATTAAACCATTGTATAAATTAATGGGTTTAATTAATTAAACTAAATTAATTACAATTTTTCTATATCTCCGCCTATGACTATGACTAAATAAATAGGCCTAGTCGCTAGATAATATTGCGCAGGATATTTCTCTCAGACTTAAAAATATAAAATTATCGAGGTGATTTTTTAATTTAGCATCTTCCACGACTTGTTTGGTGGTACCTAATGGTCATCATAAAGATTGTCGTACAACGTATTTCGTATGCTCAATGCTAATGCATATTATATTTTAATATTTAATCAATACCTACACATGATACCAGATTTTGCATCATTGAGATTTTATGATCAGTATTCGAAATTCAAAATTCAAGACTTTCAAATTTAGTCCATAATATCCTAAACTAAGTGTTCTGTGAGAAAAATCCCAACATCGATTTTTTAGTTTTTTATGTTGGTATTAAATAATAATTGTATATATTTAGACCGTTACTATATTATACCTACGTATATTGTCCGTTATGAATTATTGCCAATTTTTAATCGCCATTATTTAGTCGTTAACGAAGTTTTTTTTTCTATTCCCTATTATTTTACTTATTAACTATACTTTGTTTTCAATTTACTCGCCCCTAGGTTTGCTTTCAGTAGATACATTTCTCAGCCACAAGGGACGTTGGTCGGCGTCACGAACAAAGTAATGGGCCGGTGATAAATTTAGCGCTGCCGCTTTTCTGGATCGTAAAAGGCCCACAGGAAGTCGACATCATCGACCGCGTCCGGTGTGATTTCTTTCCCTCTTTCTTTGGTGGTTCAATGTGTATTATTATAATATTTTAAGTCGTGTGCACGCGCAAAATGTAATCGATTGATCTGCCTGCCCCGGGGAACGCGTACGATATGATGCGAATGATTATTTTTAGAATCTATACACTACTATTAATGTGATGGCATGTGAGCAGCCTACTCCCACCGCGGTCTCAAATGTTCCGTACTACACAGCCGGCTGATGAAATACACAAGGGTAAAATTAAAAAAAAAAAATCCCGACTTTCTTGAAAAAATAAACTTAATAAGAACTATAATATAATATTTACAACAGATTGGTCTCGTTTTTTTTTTAAATAGCAAAAATTAACTAATAACTTAAAATCGGTACAAAAAAAATTAACTTAATGTAAAAAAATATATGTATATATATATATATCGATACAATATAATTATATATAATAGTAATAAATATACGTAAATGGAAATACTTAGTTTCAAAACAATACTTGACGATGATCAAACGCTTCATTCAACAAAAATTCGCACAATAATAATTATTCTTGATTCACATTGTTCCATTCTCCTTCCATTCTCCAAACACTGAACGCATAACTAAGCTGTTCGTGAGCCACATAGCTACACGAACCTGCTCCAGTGGACCCTTGTTCTGTAAAATAACAATTACAAATTTAAAGTTACTGTTTTGAAATAGCTTTGGGTTTATGATTTATGCACAAGTATATAATACGCTAAGTGTTAACACAAAATAATAATGATTTTTCAGTAATAAATTAGTTCATCGTAATAAATAAATTCCATGAGTCTTGTTTGGTCATCATTATTTTTAAAATCTATATACCTAAATTGTTTGCAGCTGTACGTCATAATTCTATTTGCATACAGCCTCTTTACAGAGTTTTCAGGTCTTGCGATTTTTAAACAACTTTTACCTATAATATTATGCGACTTATTGGATACATTAATAGTTAAAACTTAAACTTCTATTGTGCAAAACATCATTTATTTCTATTCTTGTGATTACATTGCTGATGAAGTTATACTTCAAAAAACAAGTTTCGCGGTTATTTTACACTTAATTATTGCATAAAGATATTCCTTTCACTTAAAATGTATTTTCGTTATATGGAATAATATACCAATACGGAAAGGTATTACAAATTAAATAATTCATGTATATATTTTTACATTTATATTTATTTGTGTATTTTGTATCAAATAAAATGTATAAGGGCAGTTGACGGTTCTTCCGAAATCCCAAATCGTGTCAGACGTGACTTTTTCTATTTTACAACAATATAATGGACTGCATGCGGTATTTTTCTTTACAACCCCGAAAAAAGGACGTGTGCCGAAACAGATAGTTCTATTGAATAACAACCACGTTCTTAACGTAATCCTTAAGGTTTACATGTTGAAAAAGACATTAAAGAAAATAATAGCGTTTAACAGTTGAATCCTATACAATATACAAATAGACTTCCGCATTACGACAACTATATAATCTCTATGATTTGTGACTTTTCGGGTCTTATGCTAAAATTATATACATTTAAATCTTTTATTACTAATTTATTTTATAATAATCCAATTTTTAAACATCAATATTTTTTTAGACCAAATTATTTTATAGTGAAATGCAATTATTAAATAATGTTATAGCTAAAGAATAAGCTAGTATTAAATGATAGCCAACAACTTGTTTTCTATTTACACTTCATCCTGCTTACACCTATAGTTTTTATGTATTCTTTGAAATGTACTCAGTGGTACATAATAATTCTGATTACCTTTAAAATTTAGTTTAATTTTTCTTTTCTTAACGTGTTCAATCTCTCGTCCTACTAAAGCTTCAATGTTTTTAAATTTCACTTGCTCATTGCGTTATTTTTATTCATTAAATATCCCTTAACTATAGGCGATAGAATAGGGTATCGGACACCGATAAGTGAATTACACTTTAGAACATGCAGATTACTAATTAATAATTACGTAATATTAAGGAATTAATAAACTATCTTACCCATGTATACGGTAACTATTTTTTGTAAATAATATTTTGAGCTATAAATTAAAATTGGCTTACCGATTGAATGTTGAGAATCTGAATCTGTGTGTATGCCAGGCATTGCAATGTCGTCTGAATTGGCTTTGTGCAATACTTGGTATAGGAAGTCAATATATCGTGTTGCTAACTTAAGTGTCTGGATTTTTGACAGTTTGTCAGAGGGAAGAGTTGGTATGATTTTCCGAAGTGACGCGAAGGCTTCGTTAAGACTTTGTGTTCGTTGCCGTTCTCGTACGTTAGCCATAACCCGTTGACTCTGCATCTCTTCTGGTGTCTGAGGCGACCGCCTTCTTGATTTGTTTGGTGCTTGGAACTCTTTTGACCGCGAAGTTCGTTTTCTACCTAAATCAAACAATTTTGTTTACGATCAAATCAATAAATTATCCCCATATTTATTGGGAGATGATTAGTATTCAAATATCCAGTATTAAGATATACTATATTTATTACAAATATTTTCCATTTGATACAATTATACCTTCAGCTATTCAATTACATTTATACATATTAACACCTGTTTTTGCGCACCATGATATTGGTGACAATAAATTTGAATTAATGTTGATGCGAGAACTTTATATTCCCAACTAAATTGGTTACTTAAAAACTTACTCTAGATATTATTACTAGGTATAATCAAATATAATAACTGAATTATAGTAAATGTACTCTGTTATACTATTAGGAAATATAAAGAATAACGGTTAATCACTTCATTGAAAATTGCGTTTTCATTTTTAAATACCTAGTACATAATATTAGAACATAATTATTTAGGTATGAAGCGTTTAAATGTACATTAAACGTGTATGTCCATGAGGCTGTGAACATATAGTTCTATAATACGAGTACCATTAGAATAAAGCTTTACATTTTAGCTATCTAAATCCGTTTTTATTGACTTCTATACATTCTTTCAGCACTGTGTTATATCAAAAATTATTTATTTAATAAAATAGACTATAATTTCAAAATAAAAAATAAATATTTGTACGTTTTATGTTGTTGGGTATATGTTATTGTTCCACATAAAACAGGTAGTTACTAGAAAACATCGAACTCCAAAGTAAGACCAAATTAATCAAGTAGGTGTATAGAAGTGTATAATACCTTTTTTTGTTTCTACAGAGTCGGGTTCCTGACCGGGTGAACTACCGCCGCCGCTACATTCATCGTACTCCGACTTGACCACTATACCGTAGTCGTAAGGGTAGGTATTGGGCAAGTTGGTAAATTGCAAGTCTTGAGGCGTGTGCCAACTGTAAGGTGACATGAGGTAATCGCCGTTGGGCTTGTACGGAGAATCCGAGTCCATCATCATAGTTGCAGCGGTGATGTTTACAACGGTGTACGGTTTTTTAAACTGTAATTGTCACAATACGAATATCGTCCGTTGGCGGCGGGGCGTTGGGTTATCTACTGGAATATATTTTTTCCTTTCAGAAAGGGACTGCGATCGCCACTGACGGTATACAAACCAAGATAATATGGCGGGTCCTTGAACATGATCTAAATTAAGAACGGCGCAGCGGGTGGGGGGGTTTGGTAGTCTCCCACTCCGCCGCACAAATCTCTGTTGGGTACATCTACACTCTTTTGGAACAGAGCATAGTCGAAATTTTGTACATCTGCGCGGGAGGAGCCTCCTGGACCTCGCCATGATTGATGGCCACGAGACACCCGGTTTCTCATATCTTGTCTGAATGCTACCCTTAAATACATATATATATATATATATATAACACACACATACATCGCATAAAAACACATATCTCGGCAGTCACCACCATTCCCCGTACGACCGTTATAAGTCAACTTCCTTTTTGTTGTTGCATTCAGAAATATAATTGGTTCCTAAATAAAGCGAACAACTGCATTGAAGGTGGATAGCTGAAAAAATGTACTGAAACTAGAATGTTATTTTTTTTACTCAAAGGATCCGTATAAAGGCTAGAATAAATGTAATTCGTAGAATAATACTAATAAGTATAAATAGGTAGTTTAACTTCACTATAATTTATAATATTATTAAGAGATTAGGTGGAACAACAAACAAATAGAAATATAAAAACTGATTGTCTATATTACCTATAACTATATTACCAACTATGTTTCGATGTACTGATAAATAAGTTAAAAGGAATGTGTAATACATTTATATGTACCTATGACTTAGGTTTATAAATAGATAATATGACGTATTAATGTAATAGTTAAAATGTATTAATGGACGAATACATAAGTAAAAATAAAATTCATAATGATGTAATACCTATATTTCTCACTATGACCATTCAGGTAAAACCAGGTGACCACTGACCAATAAGATTACTTTTTGAAGCCATTTCCACCTCTTCGACGCAGGTGTTTTTATTACTATTCACCTGGTTCAGCCAATGGAGCGTGTTTTTGAACCCCTTAATGAACATGGAGTCTGTTGGAATTTTCAATCACAAAAGAAACCCCCGTGGACCGTGTCGAGGGTTTTATATATAATAATAAAAGATCTTGCATTGTGTCCCTCGAGTGTATATTTATTTGCTTTCCTTCTCTCACAAATATTCTCACTCTAGCTCCTTATAAGAAAAAATATTAAAGCAGGTCAAAAATACCCCTAGGGCCGACCCTCGTATTAAATTGTCCAAGTGGTAGAAAAAAAAATAGAATATATGTTATAAGCCTTTTACAATGTATATTTAACTTTACTTAGGTTGAGTATGCATTTTAATGGTCCCAAATAAATAGTTAATAAAAAGCTAATAATTTAATATTTTTTAATAAGCTTAACATATAGTACTAATATTAAAATCTAGTAATCACTTACAATTAGTGTTTGAAATTGTCATTTTAAAAATGTGCTAAACCACAAGATAATAACTGATATAATTTGTAATAATGATGATTACGACAAAAAAAATCGCAATTAGTAAAATATTGTACATGATGCAACAGATATTACCTATCAGTGTTATTATTTAACAACTAGGTATACGTGTAGTTAAAACAATGACTTAATACCAAAACAAAAATTGTAACTTTTTTTCAATTATCTACACGCATTATTTTTTTTAGATTATCTTACCTGTATAATTTTAAATGCAATAATGTATGTTTTACAAAATATAAACCTTCTACATAATTAATAATTTTTTCATAATGTATATTGTATACATATATAGGTACCAACATATTGTATATAAATAAATAAATTATATATTCCATATATATTTTGTACTATTGTTATGTTATGATTGTTATTACTGTGTAGAGTTGTAGGTATATTTTAAAATCACATCACATAATAATTTAAATTTTCATAATGTATATTTATCAATTATGATTTGTATATGGGATGTGTGGTGGTATTATAAAAACAATTTTTATACTTAATCTTTAATAATTGTGAGTTGTTCTCTTTTATTACCGATAGAGAAAATATATAAGTAATCTTAAATATTGTACTTTATAATATGCTACTATATACTATTTGGCTTTTAATCTAAAAAAACATTATTGGCTTCACACTCTAAATATTGATTTTGGGAGGAAAAAACGTAAATTAAAAAATCTGATCTTTAAAACGCTTATGCATGCTGTTGTTTTTATTTTATAGTTTAAGCTACTATGGTTTATAGTAGTACTAAATATTTTTCTCACTTTAGCTGCTGTCGCTAAAATAAACTAATAGAATGTTTTTATTGGCTCATATGAGAATAACGACATTTTGAAAATAACTTGTATAAAATTTAGTGTAAACCAGAACACTGATAAAAATTAGTATTTCTTAACATAAGTCATAAAGTATTAGGCATTGACCAGGAAACACTTTTTGGATTACATGTTTACTTAATCCGAAACCGATTATGTTTATAAACTATCAACCATGCAACTATTTAAGGGAAGTTTGAAGAGCGATTTAGATTTCATTCTTGTTATTTAATTTAATACAACTATTTTACTTTGTATCTGTATAGTAAATGATGGAGTATAGTAAGAAAAATCTTTTAAAATAAGTAAAATAATTAATTTGAAATTAAAATTTTTTTTTAAATCACATTTTTAATTTATATTTATTGTTTAGTAGTGTAATTTTTATCTTATCACATTTCTATTTTAGTGTGTTATTATGAATTCTTAGTTAATAATAACTAATAAGTATTAACTAAAATTTAACAATCTAAAATACTTTTTTAACATTTCAATCATTAAATATTTGTGTAATCTATTGCTCACGACTACTTTTTATTGTGATTTTACATCAGCTAGCTTAGCGTCTTCATTTTCTTCGCTAATTTCTCAGGATTTTTCTTTGACATTATAAAAGTTAACAAGTGTTCTTTATTTGATTGATTGATATTTAAGTTCATATGACTATCATGCCTAACTTTGAGTATTCAGTGAATTAATATTTGTGTACAAATCAACTAATCTGTTGAATCTTTAAAGTAGTATGAATTTCTGTTTTATTGTTCCTTCGCCTTTCTTTCTCTTGAAGATCATTAACTATATTCCTCCAAGCTGCACTCCTACTAGGAGTTGATTTATTTAAATAATTAAAAATATATTCCCAAGTCAAGTGTTCAGGATCTAGACTAACGAACCATAACAGCCCATCAAGTAAATCAGGTTTTTGTGTTAATTCTTTTTTCAGATCATTCAGGTCGTCATCAATTAACATAAATTTGTTTTTAACAATATTCAATATAGAATCCCATGTGCCCTAGACGTACAATTTGGAAAAGTAAAAAAAAATATATTTAACTACAAAATGTATAGCTAACTTAGGGTCTATCAACTGAATACCTGATTAAAGTGGTTTATTTTCGGCAAACTCCCAACGTCTCTTTGGCTTGTTAATTTAAGCTGATCCACCTATGACACGTATTAATGATATAATGTAAAAGTTAATTTTTGGCTGATAATTGATAACAGCATCATTGAAAGTGATTTTAAACATTTTTTTAATCTAAACGTAGCTACGCAGAGGAAATTTTACTCGGTACATGCCACATGGTGATTTAGAGCAAAATACCTATAATGAAACTGAATGATTATGACGATTTGGAAAGAATGGCATAACCGTTTTTTATTTTGTTAATTATTTAGCTTAATATTTAGTGCCGAAAAAAGTGATTTTTACTGTTTTAAAATAGTTACCTCTAGGACATATTAAAATAAAAAATGAATTGAAAATTTCATCCTGTTTTGATTTTATAATAGTTGTTTTTGCTCTAAAATCATCAATGTATGAGTGAAATACATCCTGCATAAGGAAATTTTTACGCATTAAAATTAGAATTATACCGTATAATGTCCTCCTTACATTATAAAATATTATACTATACTATTAAGGAATATGGATTAACCCTTGTCACAAGTTTTGCCGACTCGTGTAAATATGACTCATCCAAATCGGCTCCTAATCCATCATAGACAAAAATCTTTTGATGATTGCATTCACATTGACTATTTAAACAAACTTCTTTTCCTATTCCATCTTGCATATTTCGCCTGCATTTTGCCGAACAACCTACAATTATTTAAAGAAAAAATTATCTACTCTTATTGGTATTTTGACGTTGAAAACTTACTGGTTATGCTGATACAACAAGTTACACAGATAATGTTTAATATTAACACATTCATTGTCTTTCGAGTTTCTGGTAGTATTTACCGATAAGTATTAAGTACTTGGGACTTGATGCTGTAGTTTAACAAAACTACATTTCATTTGATAATAAAAAAATACAGAAACTAAAACACAAAAAATTTAGTACTAAGCCTGCTATGCTAACCTTGACAATTTTTTAATTATTTAAAAATTATCATACAACAATAATAAAATTACTATTATCTATTATTTCAACATTTGTCGCTTAGAATAATAAATATACATCACAACGAATGAAATTACTATAATTGCGGTATGTGTACACCTATTATAGGTATACATTATTTCTTTCTATACAAATTAGATAATGAGGTAGCGCACAGCTTAAATTCAATATACCTAGTATACTGTATAGATTATATTAGTAACAAATGTTTGGAATAACTAATGTATTATATTCATAATTAATACAAAATTAACACATGCCATTTGGTCATTTGGAGACTTAGAAAAGAAGGCCATACACTGTCATGACTCAAAAGTCTCATATTATTGTTTGCATGCAATTTACAAACATTAAAAAAATCATATTATATTCTAGAAACAAACTTATCGTAATACAACGCAGAAAGTATTAGTTTTTTTTTGTTAAACAATAATTATTAAATTTGGTTGTAAAAATTTAAAAAAATTTATATTATGTTAACTTTTGTTTATAGTTTGCCCGGTATCCCAATTCCCAGTTTGCCTATTCGCCTATTCGGAAACCCCAATTTTAAGTAATTAAATAAAATAACGCCGCACTGTAACGAAACTTACATAATATGAATAATTTCTTTTTACAATTAACAACCAAATTAATAAGACCACTTTTCATCAAGCCTATATGGAGCTGGCGCGACGTATCTGGAAACGATCGGTACGTTAGAAGATAGTCTTTGTAAAAATAAAAAATAAAATATTTTAAATTAATATCATTATTATGTTAATAATCGTGTATTATTAGTTTTTCCATATAAAAATGGATGTATACATCAACCAGAATTAAGTTTAAAAAATAGGGAAATTAAGAAAAAGTTTATTTTTGTTTTGTTTTTAGTTAAAACAAATTTGGAATTATTATACAAAATATTAAAAACATGATACTCGAAGCCAATATCGGATATCCTAACCAAATTTTCCAACCTATATTTAAGGAAAATTGAAGAACGAATTAAAAAATTAATAATAGATCGATATAAGAATTTAAGGCCTTATAATATGTCAATGGCTGTTGTAATAACCATTGTGGAACAATTGTATTAAACTGTATACTATGTAATCAACAGGATATTATAAAAAATGTACAAAATACACTAAATATTTGCAGTAAATTATAAATTTAATATGTAAAACCGACAATGTTCAGCGTATTGTAAATAGGCAACTTGCCAAAAGATGGCATCACCATCAGACAGAGACAAACGAACTGGATTCACACACGGACTGGAAAATTTCACAAGAATCGAAAAGGTCAAACCACTTTCGAAGTGTCCTTGGGAGCCAGCCACTACAGATCCGCCTTCATTGGCATAAAAGGGAGAGCCACATCGCCATTTGCGAGCAGATTCATTTGGTCCGTACTCAGAAGTGCGCCCTATGTTTATCATACCTGGACGGAACATTTTATTAATTTTGTGTATCAATTACTTAGTGTGTTTAAAATACAAAACTTACATTTTTACTGTTGTTTTAAAGTATTCTTTCTTTATTTATAACAAATTCATCTTCAGCTACAACAACTTCGTGTTTTGGTATCTGCAAAGGCCGCAGACGTAACAAGATATTCACTAGACGCCTACTTATGAAAAATTGTAGTATTCTGGAAAAAACTGTTAGCAAACTTATGGTTAAATATATAGTAAAGATATAAAATCTACTTCAGTCTGTTGTTAGTGCTGAAGATGACAACATCTGTACGCAAGAAGTGTATAATTTTTATGGTTTAGGGTTCAAGTAGATTTTATATCTTTACTATAATTATGGTATTGTCTATTGAGTATTATGATTTATGCATATTTTGGGGTGTGACTTGCACCTCATAGACTTCAGTGGTTAGTATAATATAATGTTTATACTGTCTATGGGGTTGCGGGTCTTTTAAACGGATATGCGACAATTGGACGCAGCTCACAGGTACGGTTCAAACTTCAAGGTACACTTTTTACTTAATATATTTTAAATCGTGAACGCGAGTAAAATTAATCATCATGTACTTCATAAGTGTTTAGAGCGTTACCAATTTTTGGATTGCTAAAAACAAAAAGGATATATATTCCATAGACCTACAGGTCTATGATGTAGGTAGTTACTAAAATAATAATTAAATACACAATTACACGATTATTACTTATTACTGCCTTTTATTTATACATTTTTAAAATGAAATCGAATACATACTTAAAACACTCATATATTTTATACGCCTTAATGACTGATCAATTACTAATATGATCGTTGTCCCCTACGTTTTGCCCCAATTACTCGATACTGGTTAAAATTTCCAAATTTCGATGATGGATGTTCAAAATTTGTTTTAAATAATAAATTCATGTTTTGCATTTCGATACTAAAATTTTTAAAACAAAATTGTGATATTAGTTTTAAAACTACGTCATTATCTTTTAGAATAATGGAAAACATGGAAATGTAGAAAAATACACAGAAGCGTAACTAGAGACTAAAGCGCCTAGGAGCAAGAAAATTGTTTTGCGTCCTATATTACATATTGTTAATCTGTATAGTTAACCGTACGAAAACACCTTAAATAGAATGCGCCCAGGGGCAGCTGCCCCCCTGCACCCACGGTTGCTACGCCACTGACTGAATGCAAAGTAGAGCAGTTTTAAATCTTTTATACTTCCGACATTTGCAGTCAGGTCCCGGGCACTTGTAAAAATTAACACGGGTGACGGTAACAATACTTATCATACAAAAACGTAGCGGCCATGTTCTCGTTTGTGAATTAGTAAATGTTATGTCCATGATATAACTGATTTAATTAGACTAACTCAACAGGTATGATTGTAGGATAATACCGCGCAGGAAAATTGCCCCAGACTTGGAAACGGAACTATGGAAGTATTTTGCCGTGTTAAGTTCTCATTATAAGTTTTAATATTATCTTCATGACCCGAGGCAAAACGTGTGAAAATGCGCAGATAGGAAACGTTCGTAATATAGCAAGTTTATTAAGTCATGATCTACATATTATTATTATTAGTTGTATATTACATTTATAATTGATTATTTATTATGAATACAACTAATAGGAAAATGGCTGCACGTTTTTGTTTACATTGGAAGTGGGTCTTCTGCTTTAATCAATTCTGTGGTTAGACATTGTTCCTACTTCCCGCCAAATAGTCAAATTCTATTGTTGTCAGGTTGCTTATCGTGCAACAAGGTTAGGTGTTCTGAATTCTGATTATTATAAACGATCATAAAACGGTTGGTATTCATTATTAACGAGAGATAGGAATAATCGAAACATATGATCGATAATCGATTATTCATAATCGAAATGTTGCAATAATTTTTTCAAAATTAAAATTTTAGCTCTCGAATAGTAAAATTGTACAAATAAAATTACAAAAAATATATGTATTGTTATATAAAATAAAATTCAATCAAAAGTAATTGGGATGCCGTTGAAATTAATTCATTGCTAAATATTATTATCGAATTATGTCGACTACTACCTGTTGTGGGGATAATGTTTAACGACGCTTTGACTACACTGATTGCTACCAAGACGGTAATCGCACGTATATTTGATTGAGACTCTTGGCCAATAGTGGTGGCCTTTATATTTAATGTTTATTTTGTATTATATTTCATATTTTCATTTGATATTTACCGTTTACTGTAATAGTGTAATGCATTATGCTATTTCCTAACATTCATTTTTCTATGTCAATTGTCAACCTATATTCAGATCCTCGCTAGTGTTAAAAAACTTGTCGTTTTATGTCTTATCAACTACACATGCCATACTTATGATGTTATTACTTTTAAATTTTAAAGTTATGACCCACTCACACTTTGCAATGTGACATTAAAATTGGTTAGAAAGTTATCCTCATCATGCCGCCATTGAGAAGGAGAAGTAAGTTCTCAGTTTTTACCTTTAATTCCAAGTGATGGGTGTTGAGCACATTTAATGTTTGGAACATATACAGTTTGCCTGGTACCTTTTATTTAGCGATTTTGTTTTTGTTATCGTGAAGTTTATTTACGCTAATTACATATCGGAAGTCAGAAATTCGATTACTTTTTTTGTTCTATAGCTATTTGAACTTTAAAAATTATTCTTGCAAGAGACACCCTCTTTACGATCCCGTCGTAGCTAACTGCGGTGATCAGTCATCAGCGACACAATAGAAGCATATGCGTGCTACTACAGTATGTTCATTATATTATGGAAAACCCTACGAGACTCTTGTTAGGACAGAGGCTCACGTTTTCAGAGGAAAAAATAGTTTACTAAAGGGAATAAAAAAGCCAACTCGGCAAGCGCAACTAACCAAAACTTCAAGCTTACCCTTCAAATTATCAACAAAAAAAAAAAACACAAGAAAGACACATAAATGAGCGATAGACACAGAAAATAATTTATTGAGATACACTGATTAATATACTATGTTATTAAGTAACTGTTATTGTTTTTACTCGTATCGCTGAGCGCTGTAGCTTGCTGCAACTGGGTGGTGATACAATCTAAGCGGCGTTTTTCCCAACAATAGTTCTTAAAGTATTTAAAACTTTTAAATTATAAGAGTCTGCAGATCTCTGATTTAAGATTTGTAATCAGGTTAAAAAAACATTAAAAGATTGCAATAAAAAAGGTGCCAGTAAATTGTATTTAGATATACAAATTTTTTTTTGTCTGTGATTTTTGACACATTGCAAACTAAATGCTTGATGATTTTTTTGAATTGTAGGTTCCCGCCCCCTAGTCCGCAGACAATCTGCTCGTCAACCTATGCCTAAAGATCAGATGGTCGAACTTGGCCTTAGACATGGTAAAGCATGTATGTTTTGTGGAAGAAAAGAGATTAGCGAAAAGCTTTATGGTTTCTTGTATCAGCTGAATGATATAGTCGTTCATTATTTTTGCATAGTAAGAATGTGACCGCAATATATAACTGTTATTCTAAATTAAAACATATTACTTTTTATTTTCAGCTTCTTTCATCTCGAGCTGTACAAAGAGGTAGGGATAATGATGGAATATGGGGGTTTCTAGCAAAAGATATCAGATCTGAACTTGAACGAGGATCAAAAGTTGTATGTATATAAGTTTTAAATAAGTATTTATTAGTTTGTAATAATTTTGCACACTCATTACAGGTATGCATTTATTGTAAAAAAGAAGGAGCAACAATATCTTGTTGTGCTCCTAAATGTAGGAAAGTGTTTCATCTTCCATGTGGAATTGAAAATGGGTCAATGCATCAGTTTTATCAGACTTTCAAGTGAGTTCTTGCTAATTATATCTTCATGGGTTATTAACATCAGTTACATCAAAATTGATTTCAGGTCATTTTGTTCGCAACATAGAATAACACAAACAGTTGAACTACAAGAATTACAAGACTCTGTGAATGTTCAATGTGCAATTTGTAAAGACGAAGTAAAAGCAACACCTATGCCGACGTCTTTATGGGCCCCTTGTTGTAAACGCAATGCATGGTTTCACCGAAAATGTATTCAGGATTTAGCGTTAAGTGCTGGATACTTTTTCAAGTGTCCATTATGCAACAATGTCGAAACATTCAAAGCTAGAATGTTAACTCTTGGAATATACATACCATCACGGTAAATTTAACAAATTTTATTTTATAAGTAACAAAAGTATAAATAACTTTACAAACATACCCTTATCAACTGAAATTATTGAAGGCATTTTTTTTAATATATGTCAATAATTTACACAGTGTTCAAAATTATATTACAATTTTTAAAACAACAGAATAGACAAATGTAAATGGAATAATGTCTCGTTTATTTCTGTCTTTTGGATGTAAGGACAATTTAATGTAAAAATTAACTAGTAACTTTTAAAAATACTTTTCTAATTTATTATTATTTAAACATATTGTGTTCAATACCTAATTAAACTATTATATGCAATTCATCCTAAACATTTTTTTATGTATTTGTAATATTGACTAATTAAAATATTTTCCATTTTCATTAAGTTTTCATTGTCCAAAACCCAAATGTCTTAATATCCAATTGACGGTGTCCTATTTATAGTAGATTGAATAGAATAGTCTGTACTATTTTATTAAATAGTATAGTATAGTATAATATACATCTATTTTTTTAGATAATTAAAATTAAAAATATTTATAATATTTTTTTTAATAATTAAAAGTTAAAAATATAATAACATGATTTCATCAAGCACAGTTAAACATTAAACCAAATTTTTAAAAATAAAATGACATTTATTAAGAATTGATTTATAAAAAAGCCTGGTGAAATCAAGTGGGGAGATAATATGGTGTCCTGAGCAGCGTTGACCAAGTTCTCATGTTAAAAATAGTGTGTTTTATATAAGAACCTATTATAATATCTTGGCCTTCAGAAATGTTCTCTTATAATTGGTTAGCGGTAGATGAATATTTCTATTTATCCATTTGACTCCCAAGATACTTGTAATAAATACCATATTTTAATTTAGCTAAAACTTTTGGAAGCCAATTATTATTAAGAAATAACTTCTATATAAATAAAATTACGGGAGAAAATTATTTCACTATGTTAAGATGTTTTTTACTGATTTTTTAACATCTTGAATATGTTTAATAATAATGTGCACATTGGGGTTACGGACTGAAATCATACACCATTTGATTTGGTTGAAATTTTTTTTTTTTTTTACTTTCAATACCTATAGTTTTTTTATATAGAACTTTTTTTCAATACTTTTATTTATAAATAAATAAATAAAAAAAAAGGAAACTTATAGCATTTAAAATTTTGATAAGTTGTAGGACCTAGAAGTTCATTTATTTGCATGTTTTTACTGAATGGTCTAAGAAATAACTAAATAAACTACTAATTTGAGTTATGTTTTGTTGATAATTCAACTCCAACAATTTATTTTGCATACTTAAGCATATTTATTTTTTCACATTTAAAAAAAAAAAAAATTATTAATTATTAATTCTAAAATTATAATGAAAATTTGTTAATACTGGTGAAAAATGTCAAATATGGAATAACAGCTAAAATGGTTTTTTTTTCTGTTTTTAAATACAATTATTATTTGCTTAACTTAAGTTTACTTTATAGGAATTCTAAAGTAATGTTATAAAAAAAAAAGTTAGAAGGGTTTAACAAAATGTGTGACAAGTAACTTATTTTCAATTAAAATCTCTAAAAGATTGATGTACATACCATATTATTTTATTTTGATTATTATTTTCACAATTTATAAGGGATTTACTTTTTATTTATTGTGAATTTTGTTTTATAGATAAAAGTTCTTGGGTTGCAGGTATATTATTCACACTTTGTAATATAACAGAGTTTAAGGTTAATGGGTTGTTATGTGTCTGATTTGGCTATTCCCCAGAGCATCATTAAATCGTAAGGAAAAAGATATATAACACTTAGGTTTATTTTAACTGCGAAAGAAGAAGACAAAGATTACACCCGTTTTACTATAACACAGCTAATTATTAATTACGGCTATTGACTACTGACCACCGACTATTACACAGCATAATATGTAGTACATACACGTGTGATTTTATATTTACAATTTTACAACTAATACTTGTCTTCCTATTCCTTATTTACACTAACTTGACTTTCTTATTACACAATCATAATGGGGTTATATAGGTGGAAATGTCTAACTATAAAATATAGTAATTAATAGTGCACTAAGTTTTTATTTAATTACATAATTTATTTGTTGATTGTTTGTGGTTTCATATTAGGCCAATCATTTTGATTTCAGTTACTTAATCTATTTTTAAAAATAATACCTTTTATTATAAAGATATTCATCTACCACTCACATGACCTACTTATTTGAGAAGTTTTAAAGAGAGCAAATTTCATAATAAAACATACATAATAATATAAACATAAAATCATAATTAAATTCAAGCAATAAAGAAATATGTATTTATTTCTTTGAGAATAGTAAATTGCGCTCAAATTGTGACGCCACAAATAAAAAAAACTACAATAAAGACAGTCGTTACCTGAAAAAATATAATCACAGGGACGCTTCATGGGAAAGGGTGCCGAACGCTTATGCTGAATTGTTAGAAAGACACTCTGAATGTGATGCAGAAAATTGTTTGTGTCCACATCCTCAAAAAAGAAAATTTCAACAAGATTCGTAAGTAACACAATTTCACTTGCTCTTTCTTTGCTTCTTTTGCAATTCACATAATAATGTTGTTTTAGTGGACCATGGGAAATAAAACTATGTTACTCTTGTGGCTCAAGTGGAACTCATCTGCTTTGTGGTCAAATTAAGTTGTGTGAAGAAAGATGGTATTGTGGACAATGCCAAACTATTACAGGAGGTACGATTCATTATTAGACATTACGTCATGTATTAGCTTTATATGATTAGCTAGACAAAATGAATTCGTATAAATAAATAATGTTATCATAATAAATAGTCTTCTTCTTCGGCATATCCTTTTCAAATGGGATCAGCCAGCTAAACATTCTCTCCATAAATCTCTATACTGTTTTATTTCTATTAATAGGTTTATCTTTATTTCTTAATATACGACACAATGAAATATGATTTGAGTTTCAAGATATGATAGACAACTGGGAACCTTATATATCTATTCAGTGACGATGACAGCATTATTGACGGGGTCAATGTTATTATTTAATAGGCCACTGTTGCAAAAACCGAACGAATTTTGATCCTAAATTCAAATCTTTACAATACCAAAAGAGATTGATGAAAGTTAAAAATTCAAACCCTAACCTTTTTTTTATTTTTCTTAGTCTACATATTTATGGAATTGATAAAAACATACATTTCCATTTGAAAAAACAAAGTTCATACTTCTTAAACGTATAATCAATCAATGACAGTGAACATTTTTTGAGTATTGAAAAATATACAACAAAAAGTACAGGAAAATTATAATTTTCGAATTATTCATATTTTCTATAAAAATGAGTGTCTTACATCAAATGGATCACTCCGTAGACCTATTTATAACTATTTATTTCTTACCCACAACTTACTCTTTTATACTACAAGCTTTTCTTCATATAATAAATGTAATCATTTCAAAGAATAAATTATTATACTAAAAAAAATAATAATAAATAAATAATGATGAATTGTAATTGTTTAGAAGGGCCTGTAGATCGAAAGAGAAGACGTTTAAATGATAGTGTGGTGTCAACTAATAGCAATGCGTCTACTGCGCAATGTGACGATGTAACACCCACTAAAGAACTGAAGAAACCTTGTAGTGCCACTGTTCAGTCAAATAGTAATGTTACAGAAAATATTAACGGCAATGCATCTCAATCAAATGAGACATTGGCGTTGACACAACAAGGTGAAGATGCGATAATTGTTTTAGACAGTAGTGATAGTGATGACGATGACGTAAAAGTAAGTATAATTTTAAACATTTTTAATTGCGAACAAAAGTTATTTATTTACAGTTGGATATTTAAGCAGTGACCCATAGTTTAAGAGTTGAAAACTATTTGTTGTTTTTTCCAGGGTTGGCCAAATAGAATACGTGTTGTACTTTCTATGTATTTCAAACGTTTTCTAAATTTTGTACGTATAAATAGCATGAATTTTAGGGATTTATGTATGCTTTAACATTAACATTATTGTCTTTGTTCTTTGCTTGAGGCTTATTGTTCATTTTCAACAAACAATAAAATTGATAAAAATCATAACTGTTTCAATTTAAATTCTTTAATATTTCCTATTTGGCTAATATAACAACACCATTTGCAATATCTATACAATTTATCCTATTCTATTTTTAATATTAAGAATTTAACTAACAAATAATAGTGGTAATAATATAAGTGGTGGTAAGCTTATTTTTTTATTGACTTCTTTGATCCAATCTTTTCTGTTTTTAATTACTTCAATAAAATATAAAAATAAGTTAGAAATTCGAATCACTTTTTAGAAATAGTAACTCATACTTATCACACTCATTCTCATGTTAGCTTAACGACACTCCAGCCCAACGTTGCCATCTTGAGATGATAATCACTATCATAATAGTATTCTATTTTTTTTTAGATATCACCAAAATTATTTGATTCTACTACTGTTGTAGACAAAGTAATATAGTTTGTAACTGATGATAAGTTAATACAGTGAAAAAAAATTGTAATGGTGTTAGGACAGTTTAATAAAATAAACAAACTCATTACTGAATAATTTCATTACCTACAAAAATGTAAAATAAAATGTTAGCTTTAAAATGCGTTTATTTTTTATAATTAAACAAAACTATAAATGTATATTTACACTAAATACTCATATTATTAATACAAGTAAAATTGTAGGAAATACACCAATTAACAATAATACTCAGGCTTTATTATATTTTGGAATTATATTTAATAAATTATTTTTTATTTTTAATTAAGACTTCAGGAAACTTTTTTATAAATAGGCTGTATGGCCACTTTCTCAAGAAAAATATCCAATTTTTAAATATATACTTCCAATGAGCTAGATGTGTAAATAGATAAATATTGTAATGCTTTTCCATAGGTTTTTCACTGTATTGTATTTAAAAAGGACGAGTACTAATCGTTAGTCTTTAAATCTGTAAATGAGTCAAACATGTCAGTGTGTTTATAACCTTAACTTAACCACAATTTTTTAATTTTTACTACTTATAAAATTATTTTATTTCTACTTAATAAAATATTTTTACACTAAATTTTAAAACATATTAGAGGTTACAAAATATGAAGACCGGGTATTTTTGACAGATAACTGGAGGGGTTACCAGGATATTTATTAAATATTTTTTGTTTTATTTTTATTTTTTCAATACCCGAGTAACAAACAAGGATACTTTTACCTGTTCATAACCGTAACCCCTAGTTTCTAATTTAAAATTATTTTTATTAAATTAAAGTATTGTTTACTTCAAAGTACAAGGGTATTTCATTGTGGATTGGGCATTGCTTAAATTACCAATCTAGTATTGTGTAGTTTTTTTTTGTATTGTTTTGATAATTTGTTAATTAAACAATTAATATTTCAGCTTGTTGCATATGTTGATCCACCAAAAATTGCCATCCACCCACCCTCTAGCCAATTACCTATAATATCGGGTTATAAATCTATGAGTAGTACTCCAGGGTTTAATGGCTTTGAGAATAGATATTCTTCGTCTGGTGATTTGAAAACTTATAACTATGTAGTTACTGAGAGTGAGTATTGTAGTAAATTAATAGTATATAGTTAAATGAAATTAAGTATCGTGTTAAAAGTATAAACAATTAACCAAACGTTCAAAATGTTTCATAAGTATACCACAATTATTAGTAATAATACTTAATTTACATTTATTTTACCTGTTAAAAAACTGGGTTCGTAGAGATGACAGGTTTTTAGTAATTATTCTCACTGAAAGTAGTCACTTTCCAGTAAAGACACTTAAGTGATGTACTCAGTGTACCTAAGACTTGAGTTTTAATGGTAAAACTTGCACTCGCTATATTTTTAGTATGAGGCAAGTTACGATTAGGGTTGATAGTACTTTTTCTAATAATTTGGTGGCTGAGTGCCGATTCATTTACGTAAATCAATTTTGAAAATAATACAGTCTAAAAAGGGTGATTATTTTTTTTTACAAAAACAGTGACTAAAGATTTTTGAGAAAATACCTACTAGATATACCTTCAGTTTAATTTTCAGGCTGAGTCCTAAAGCTATGTTTGAACTAGTGAAATAAAGAAAAAGTTTGCACCCCTTTTAGAATAAATGGTTTTTGATATTTTTTTAGTTATTCAACATATATTGATAATACTATCAATAAAGCACAATCCAAACATATTTGGAATTAATTCAAGTTGAAAAATATGTAAATTTATTGGTTGTTTTTTCTTTTATTTTGAAGTGGAAGAGGAAATTTTTATAATTTTTGGCCCAATAAAGTACTTAAAAGGTACTTTATTTACTTAAATACTCCCTAATCTATTGACTGATTTAAACTTTTTGTGTGCATTATACTGAATTACACATAATACCAAAAAAATTGAATACAAAATTTGCAATTTTACACTAACTAAAAAAAAAAGGTAATTTTAGTTTTAGAAAAATGTTTTCTAGGTTCACTACATAACATTGATTTTATGTGACACTATCTGAACCACTAATCAATCCATATAATAACTATTTAAATTTGTTTGTTTTAGGTATTGATTTAACTTTAGATGATGATGACTGAGAAATTATTTCATTTTATTATGTTATTCAAACGAGAATTGAGAGCCAATACAATAATTATGATTTTAAGACTGAAAATTTCCATTATAATTTATGTTCTCGATTATTATTATTATTTAAATACGATGTATATAATTTTTTTTTTATAAGTAATGAGCTTGAATAAAAGTAACATTTGTGCTTGTGTAATATTTTGATGTATCCATAATTTTTTTTTTAAATAAAGTAACAGTTATAATTCATAACTTAAAACAAAAAAGGTTGATACCTAGTCTTTGTGTCATTATAAAAATAAAATAACATTTGTGTCATCAAGTATTATTATTACATGTGTCATGTTGTAAAAATATTTATATTATATGTAAACGTTACAGTGTAAAAATATGTGAATTCAGTAATTATTCTTAATGCTGACTCAGCATTAACAATGAAAAATGAGGTAAATTAAAATAATTTATATTTTTTATAATGAATATGGTAGTAAATTGACATAGTTTACTTAATTAAAGTTGCTTAAAACTATACTACCTGGATCAGTAATGTAATGTACTTTTAACATTTAATTTTTTAGTGAGAAACTAAACTCTTAAAGAAATTAAGCGGATTTCAATTCACAAATTATATTTATAAATACAGTACATATTTTGTCTATAATTGTTATAAATAAAAAGCCTCCCATACAAAAATATATTAGTTGGTTGATCCGTTGCCATTCAAATTGATGAACAAATCGAAAACCAACGCTTCACCATACACAGGTTGATTGTGATGTTGTTCGAACAATTGCGAATTGGGCAAAGTTGATAGTATTTGCTCAATATTTAGTTTTCTTTTAGATTAATTTTTTTTTGTTATTATCTGTTAAAAAAAAAAAATACTCACAAGGGGAGGTCACAGTGATGGCGTGACGGATTTTCTTCAAATTGCGAATAAATGTTATTTATGAGAAATTAAAAGACCCTTATTCGAGCGTTTGTGCCAATGCGTCCTAATTCCAGAGATAATCAACTTTGAAATTTACATATTTTTGGTGTATCTTAAATAGACCTATTTTACGACCGTCAGTTAAAATTAAATGTGGTGCGGTCAAGCGTGATCGGTGCTCCAGAGTGCGCGGTACCAGGGTTCCAACCCTGGCTACCGCCGGCAGCACTTTTTGCATTTTTTTTAACTTTTAAGGTAATTTATATTGCAAGAAGTCTAAAAACTTATAAAATATTCCTGTATGGGAGGGTTCATAAAAATTTTTCTTATAAACCATAATACTTTATTGTAATTAACTGAAATATGTACGAATCTTAGTATGTGAAAGGCATCATGTTAAATGTAAATATAAAACAAAATTATGCTTAAATAATATCTGTATTATAAAAAAATGTGTTGCACATAGTAAATTTAAAAAATATTAAATAATATAAATCACTTTTTTTAATTGGTAAAATAATTGTACATTAATGTATGTATATATATATATATGTATAAATTTTTACTATAATAATAATAATGACATAAAAACTAGGAATAGAGTATTGTAAACAATGAAATGTGTATTAACACACTTATGCTGTTTACTAAGAATTTTTAAGTTTTTGTTTCAAGTTTTGATGATCTATATCTAATTGTTTTCGAATGTTGCCCAAATTGGATAATAAATCTTTATCACTAAAATCAAGATCGGACAATGTTACAATTCGTTCAGGGACCTGTAACAAATAAATATCAACTATAATAAAGTATAGTGAGTAAGCATAAATACTACAATATATCAGACATGCACATTTAAGAATAGCTAATTTGAACATCAGCACTAGCTAACCTATGTTTTAAATATAATTAAAAATTCTATAATTAACCTGAGTGAGAATAGTAAAATTTGTGTTATCAGATACAAGTTAGTATTAGCTACAATATTTTAGATTAACTAAAATGACTATTTTTATTAAATTTGATTTTCAGTAAGTAGCAAGTTATTTTTGTTTAAAAATAACTATTACAAATAAAAAAATTAAAAATTAGGGTAATAACATTTATTGACAATTTTTATTTTAGGAAATTTTGTTTTCACTAAATAAATTGTTGGAATACAATAATTTTGCAAGCTAAAATCTTAAATTACAATAAGAAATAATAAAAAAGAACACTACTGTGACATTACTGAATTAGGTTTTAAATAATTAAAAATTAAAAACCAGCTTTATAAATTAATTTGAATCAAAATTAGATAACATTTACTTTTACATGCCGACACTTATTTATATGTAGATAAATACATCTATTATTATATAAGCCTACTCACTTTTTTATAAGTGCCATAATAAAATGTGACTCATCCTGTGAGTGCATAATTCAGTCAAATAAAGATATTTTTTTATTATAGTATAGATTTTGTTGAGTACAAGTTATACGGTAACATATATAATGTTTTTTTAGCCACGAATAATTTGCTGAAACTTTTGACTGAGTCATTAGAGTTTTAAATTGATGACAGGAAGTGGAGTGCGGCTGAGTAATGCACACAGATAAAATTTTAAATTACTGTTTTACTTAATGGCGCATTAACGACACAAGTTCCACCTAGTATTGAATTTTTAAATTTAACTTGGGTCGTTTATTCAGAAAATTTAATTTAAAAAAATATATGCTACATTTCTCTAAACAACTCGAAAAATAAGAATTTTGAGTTGTAGCAGTTATTGCCACAAACAGGCGAAGAGTACCAACTACTTGCATACATATATATTTCTTTTATAAAAAATATATTATTACCGAATGGTTGTAAGAGGTTTTGATTGGTTTGTTAATGGCTTTACTTGTAGTATCTTCATCAATATTTTTACCAACCAACGCCAGAGTAAGTGGTGAATCTATAATAACGGACTTAGTGTCAGGTAGTATAGCAGCAGGGTTATAAATGTCTCTTTTTATAGGTGGGTCTGTTGCAAAAGTCACATGGGCTGGCGGCTCTATTGGTTGTCTTACAGCATTTTTTCCAACTCGCATTTTTGGTCTCATTATTGGAGGAGAAATACGATGATTCATGCATGGGTTTATATACGTGTCAATGTTATTTATTGAAAAATTATCAGGTTCATTTATACTTGACTCTTTCAATTCTTCAACAGTATCATTATACATTATCTAAACAAAAAAATATGTACACTCATTATCAAAACAAATACAAAATTATTTCATACTAATTAAATGAAATACTTTTCTAGGTGGTCTAACGATTGTTGTTGGTAGTGGAACATCATCAAATGCATTCTGTGGTGGACATTCTAACTGTTCAAATTTGTAATTATTTGGAAATTCACAATGGGTTGGTATTTGTTTTTTTTCTGGCTTTGAGAATGTTGTTATAGGCAATTTCCATGATTTCGTTTCAATGGATTTTTGTTTTTCTAATAATTCATCTTTCAATTTTTCTTGTATTAACCTTTTCTGTAAATAGGTACAAAACAATTTTAGTAAATAGGTCAATTCAATTTTTTTTGGCATTAGTATCAGAGAAGCTCAACCCACAAATCTATTATCTCAAGGAAGTTTAATTCGTTTGGTTTTAAAATAATATATAATACTAAAAAGTATAATGTAATAGTTAGAAATTTAATTTTTTGTAGGTTAAGCTTTTCTGGTGCATTTAAAACAATTGTTTTTTTGTCGATCCAGCAAGTGTGTGTTTCTGTATAGATAATGGATTTTAAATTCACGTCTGCTTATCAAGTTATAGCCAAAAACATCAAATATTCTTCACTCCCTCTTTTCAAAGTTAATTTTCTTTAAAAGGCAATAAAAAAAAAACCTGAAGCTGAAGCAAAGCTCGTTCTTCAATTTCTCTTTCATACTCTTTTCTTAATTTTTCATCTCTTTCTTTTGCTGCTCTTTCAATCTCTTCATCTGTAATTTGTTCTTTACGTTTTCTTTCTTCGTCTAGTAATTTCTTTTCTTCTATCTGTTTCATTAACTCATGTCTGTATAGTTCTTGTTTCATCTTGTTATGTTCTTTAAATTGATCATCATCTACTAAAAAAATAATTGACAAAATATTATTTTATATTATTATTTATAGCTATTATTTTAAGATGGCAGCAATGGGCTTTAAAGCTATATGATAATGTTAGTATATTTTAAAGAGATCTGTTAGTTCATTGGTTTAAATTATCTATTGTGGGTTCATTAAAAAAATAATAAAAAGAAAAAATTGTCTATCGTGTTTAACATAATTGTTTATTATTAAAAAGAACCTATTTAAATATTGTAGCTAACTTACTTGCACAAGTTTTTGAATTATCTATGAATGGAGCATGTTTAGTCATGTCTATTAAGTCATCAACTAAAAAAAATATAAGTAGATAGCTATTATTATTATTTTTTTTTTGTCATATATAATTTTTAAATACCTAGCATATAGTACTGTACATATTAAATTTTAGAAAAAAACATATTCTATTATATAATTGGCTGTGTGTATGTATATCACACAATCAAACCGATTTTTGTAAATCGCTACCACATAAGCAGCTGAGTAAGTATGAGGCTTGATCATACTCAATTGGATGTACTATATTTTTTTTCAATTTATATATTACATTAGAAACTATGTTAAGCTACTATAATATTTTTAAATTGGAAGACTAGTGGTAATAATGATTGGTATCAATAAAAATAGGTCTAGCACAATTTGGTACTAATCTGATACACGATTGTATGCAGCTCTGTTTACTAAGTGAAAAATTGTTCAGCGAATAGAAACAGCATATTACGAGCTAAGGAACCTCATTTTGGAGAAGACGTTTTTACTAGGGTCTTGCGTTTAAAAAAAAAATTATTTACCTTATCCTTGTATTTTCTTATATATTACTTATTAGTAAATTTCAGATTTAGTTTCACTTAAGTCATTGTCAAATTAAATTTAATGGAATGTTGGTGTTAAGGGGAACGGAAAAGGCTATTTATTAAGGAGCAAAGGATAGGCAATATTTGACAAAAGTTGATCTAATAGCCATTTTTCATATGTCTACTAATTTCAAGGTGAACACATATTACAATTTTCTAATTATAATACTTCTAAAGTTATTTTTCTCCAAGTTATGAAGTAAGTTTGATAAAGAATGACTTTCATAGAAGTCATTTTCTAGGCATATCTATTGGACGGATTTCAAGTTTTTTTTATTTCTATGCGAACCTTACTATTTTTTTTTATGGGGGCTAAAAGGCCTATTTTTAATTTAGCGATTGAAAAAGTAGTTAGATGTATTAGAAAAAACTATATAAAAGTAGAAATAAAAATGCTTATAAATATAAAAAAAAAAAAAAAATCGGCCTCCATAAAGAAGGTGTAAATATATAAAAAAAAAAAAAAAAATTATTGAAATTGGTACGGTAGACACTTCAGAAAGTGACTCCACGTTTTAGTCTTTATTTGTAAAAAAATTGACGCTTCCTGTTCCCCTGAAATGTATACGCAAACTGATTAAGATTGATTAGGAATGTCAACATATGATTGTTATTATTATTATCATAAAAAAATGGTTAAATCAAAAGTAAATTAATTAAGTAAACACATACTTGTTTTGTTATAGTTTTCCACTTTTTCAGATCGGTTATTCCCTTCCTAAAACGTAAATTGTGCACATAAATACAAAATATCACTAACATATTTTTCAATTTACAATTATTATAAATTTTTTTTCTCACAGTAAAGATAAATACAATAAAGATAGTTACAAGGACTTACATTGTATGTTTGGGTATTCACTCTTTCCTTTAACAATGCTTGATTGTGTTTTGAATCAATACTATAGTTATTATTATTGTTTGAAGTGAAAAAGCTGGGTGATTGTGTAAATATGTTTGCTAACCGTTCAATTTCATTATCTCTTTCATATAAATGACTTTGTTTAGGTGAATAACTTTGGTCATTTTTAGAAACTGATAATTTTAATGAATTCAAACATTCGCTTTGATTTTCACTTTGTAAGTGATGTATCTAAAACAAACATTATATTGTTATGGTTTATTTAATATTCCCTAAATCATTGATTTATAAATCAATGAACATACATAGATGTCCACTGAGTGTGCCCAAAAATTGTGTGGTTTAGTATGAATTATGTTTAGTTCATGCTTAAATTTAATTAAATGTATATTAATTGTTACAAAACTTTATTTAACATTTATTGTTGTTTAATATTCAAATTACCTTCAAATTATATTTGCAACATTTTTTATTTGTTTTGAATAATTTTCAAATTAAGGTAATAATGTGTGATGTAAATTATGTAATAGATAATGGTACAATTTACAAACTACATTTTTTAGTTTACACTAGTAACACATGTATTCTGATGACATACAGAATTTTGATAGAATCTTATATTCAATCCAAATGCATGCTCCTTGGATCGTCAAAAGTTGGACTATACAAAATGGGACTAACCGAAATTAGAATTAGATTAAAAATAACCAAAACTATGTGTCACTAAAGTCTTGGAACCTTCTGATAAGAGATTTTAATATGAAAACAATAGGGGTGGGTCTATTGGCGAACTAAGTGTTTACACTGGGGTGGTAATATACGAGGTGAGCTAACAATTGTAAATTTTGAATTTCCATGCTTACAAATAATAATATTATAAAACATACCTATTAAACAAACAATTGTTACAACATATAAATAGGTATTAAAAATAAAATAGGTGGTAGGTAGTAGATGGTATAGAACTAGTTTTATTAGCAGCAGATTTTAATTCTTATAAAAACTCAATACTTAAATAAACCGAAAATAATAAAACAGAACAACATTATTAATTATGAAGAGTATACAGTCAGAAATGTTAAGTTACCTGAGAAGAATCTATACTTTTGCCCAAAAGTCCTGTAGTCTTATCCTTTTTTAATTTTTGACTTTCTTGATGAATTATTATATCTAAATAATCAATGAATGCGGCATTGCTAATTTCGTGAACATTCATTTTAATACTCGTATTTCAATACAAAATACAAATATTGTACAAGTAGGTATTTAGTGATGATAGTTAATTAAATTTAGAATTTGAAAAATAAACATTTCATTTTGAAATTTAACCACTTTCAACTGCTTTTTGATAAGTGTGACTTGATAATGTGATTCGCAAATCGCAACTCACAACTGATAACAAAAAATTAACCGAATTATTATGCGGTTGTTTTTAAAATGAGTTTAATACCAAATATCACAGTCAAATTACTAAATATTAGAGATCGAGCTCGACATTTTTGTTCCGAGAATCTTTTCTCAATAGGTATTTTTTTTACATTTGAAACAAAATATGTCCTTAGCTTAGTCTATACTCTATTCCACACCTGCCCCGAACTTGACGATATTATGCTTGTTTTCCTATGTGCTATCGATATACGGCGATAAAGCTCCCAACTCCAGATTTAAATCCACAAATATCGCTATCTGGGTTTAACGGTAGTTATTTTTACTTTATTAGTATATTTTATTATATGATAGCGTTGACATAAAGTAATTTCTATGCAGTCTGCAGTGAACTGAGTTTTGTTTAGTGGATTTGGGATTACGTCCCAAACGACGTTTGTCTGTACTTGATCAACATAAATATAGCTACGCATAACAGATTTTTGTTAGGATGGATTTAGAGGAAAATATCTGATATGTAACCGAAAAATATTTTATATTATGTCGACGGTGTTTTGTAAAAATGGCGTATACTATAAAAATCGAAAAATTTGTTTTGGCATTAATATTTTCCGAAAAAATGGGCGCATAATCTGTAAAAAGGGCGGCTACAAATATTGATGTTAAGTGTTAACTCTATGTGCAGCGTTGGATTTCTCATCCAAATGCCCAAATACTGTTATGTAAAAAGTACGTTAACACAGACAAGAGAAAAAATAAAAGCGACAGGCGTTCGAATCACTGAACTTAGTATTGAGATATTCAACATTATCATTCGTTATATTGACTATTGAGTCATAGATAAGTATATAAATGTATTGAGTTCAGTGTGTGAGAGTGAGATAGGCTATAAAGAGGATTTTTTTATGGAGCCTACTAATTAATAGTTTGTTGTTCCGTGACAAAATAAATTATTGATAACCCTATGATAAAACAGAGTAAACTATGTGATAAAATATTGAATAAGCTAAATTTAAACAAGCATTGTTTTTTTAGCGGCAGGTAGTTTAAAACATTAAAATTTTAAATTGTCGTGTCATTCTTCTAGTGTTTTTTTGTTAAGTAGATATTTGAATTTTAAATAAAATGGTTCACATATGCTGTAGTTGTGGTTCAGATAAAACTTCTTCCATAAAACTACATGGGTAAATAATTATTAATATTCTTAATTTTTACAAGCATCATAATATATTGAATTATTATAAGACATAAATTATTTTATCATATTTTACTACTTTATAATTTAGAAATGTAATTTCACAGATTTTCCAAAGAAAGTGATTTAAGGCAAAAATGGATTTCTGCTATGAATAAAGGTCTTACAGCGGTAACTCAGCATAGACTTTGTAGCCTTCATTTTAAAGATAATTATTATTCACCATCATATGGAAACCTTATTTTAAAACTAGTTTCTGTGCCATCACTATTTGTTAACATAAAAAAATCATTAACATCAAGTAATGTGTGACTATTAGTTAAATCATTTTTTTAGTTTTTAATGTAATAATATTATGTTGTTTCAAAAAATTATTACAGAGTTATAAATAGTTGACAAAAGTCCTGTTCAAAGGATTGATTTTTCTACGGGAGAAAATTCATAAGTCAAGAGACCATGTTGTATGATTTTTTGACAGCACTGTTTTTGACCCAACGCTATAATAAACAACACAATTTTTGGGTCCACTCCATTTTCTTAATGGGTTGCCATAAAAGTTATGCAGTGGGCATCTCTGTATGTTTATTCAATTATTTAGGGAATACAAAATAAACCTCAACAATATAATATTTGTTTTAGATACATCACTAACCAAGTGGAAATCAAAGCAAATGTTTGAATTCCTTATAATTATCAGTTTCTAAAAATGACAAAAGTTATTCACCTAAACAAAGTCATTTATATAAACGAGATAATGAAATTGAACTGTTAGCAAACCTATTTACATAGTCACCCGGCTTTTTAACTTCAAAGACTAACAATAACTATAGTATTGATTCAAAACACAATTGAGCATTGTTAAAGGAAGAGTGAATACCCGAACAGACAATGTAAGTCCTTGTAGCTATCGTTAATTGTGATGTGTGATTTGATTTATTGTATTATATGTCTTACAACATTTATTGGATTTATACTAGCTACTGGTAATGAAGTATTAAAATGATAGTTTTATTTTATAATTCCTGCAACATTTCATGGTTATTAACTGTTGGCATTATTCAAAGGCTTGAAGTTTGTTAGATAGACGTAAAGTTTATATCTTTAAAATATTAAAAATAACAGAATTCTTATTTCTCCTGACGCTAAAGTAACTTTTTCATTTTGATAACTTAAAATGATATTGAACATTTTACATACATTTTAGGTGAAGAGAAATGTACGAATTGGAGAGTTCTCGCCACTTAATCCTGCCAATCAAGTAAATTCCAAGCCATTTTTAGGAATTGGAGAATACGATGATAAAAGAAAAAAATTATTGGCATTACAAAAAAAAGATTATATAGACTACTTATCTAGAGTATATATTTCTAACAAATAAAAATATAAAACATATAATATTGTAAGTAAGTTTAAAAACCTTTTTTTTTTAAGGCTAAACAAGATAAAGCTGTATCAAAATTGCCCAAACTTCAAGATTTTTCTTGTGAAGAAGCATTTAAAACTGCTATGGTAAGATTTCTCAAAATTCAGCGTAAGAAAAAAAAAATGTTTAATAATTATAAATAATAATAATTATTATTGTAAATAAAAAAAAATAATTTAATTGATATTTTATATTAATGTAAAAAATGTACATTTTAGGAGGGGAACAAAAGATGTGAAAAAATTGAAAACTATAACAAAACAAGTATGTGTTTACTTAATTAATTTTTGTATTATAATTGTGACACATATACACACTGCTATCAGCCAATAATATGTTTTTTTCTTAAATTTGCTTTATAAAGTACTATGATATGTATATATAAATTATATATGACAAAAAAATAAAATAATAATAATAATAGCTATCTACTTATATTTATTTTAGTTGATGACTTAAAAGACATGACTAAACGTGCTCCATTCATAGATGGTTCTGAAACTTGTGCAAGTAAGTCAGCTACAATATTTATACAATAGAATATTTTAACCAACAGATTTCATTGTAATGTGCAATACAATTTATTAATTAAAAATCATTCACCGAATGTACTATGTAGGGCCAAAAGTTATAAGGATATAGGTTTAGTGTTTACCTATATTGATTATTAGTATTTTAAACACGAGCTATGATATTTTGTCACAATTACATACAGATAAAAAAAAAATTCTATTTACTTTTTTTTTTAAAATTAAGAAACCCCTATATTAACTAATAAAAACCACAAAAGCATAATTTTCGCAAATATATTTAATTAAATTTTATAAGTAATAAAATATATCATTGTATGCTGTTTCACATTGGATATCATTTTTGAGAGTAATTTGATCACTTAAGCATTGGTTACATTATTAATAGATTGAATAGATTATAATATAATTTGTGATATCTTAAGAAAAAAAATGTTGTAACTTGGGATCAATTTAATTCTGTATAAATCACATCAATCTTAGAGCTGCGTGATATTTAATTCACAATAAATTGGGGATAATCAATAAAATTTGTTTGTGGATCTCTATGGACATAATATTAGGTTGAAAAAATTGTACATAGTGCTTTTTTTCAAATTTGAATGGAAATACTTTTGTACCTTTTGATATGATTACTTAACTATAAAAATTAATATAATTATTATTATTATTATTATATAATTGTCAATTGGAAAAAAAAATAGTATGTATACAAGTTAATTAACTGTTTTTATTAATTATTAGTATTTTAAACAGAAACTATGATAGTTTGTCAATTATTTTTTTAGTAGATGATGATCAATTTAAAAACCATAACAAGATGAAACAAGAACTATACAGACTTGAGTTAACGAAACAGATAGAAGAAAAGAAATTACTAGACGAAGAAAGAAAACGTAAAGAACAAATTAAAGATGAAGCGATTGAAAAAGCAGCAAAAGAAAGAGATGAAAAATTAAGAAAAGAGTATGAAAGAGAAATTGAAGAACGAGCTTTGCTTCAGCTTCAGGTTTTTTTTTATTGCCTTTTTAAGAAATTTAACTTAGCTCAGAAAAGAGGGACTTTGAAAAGAGGGAGTGAAGAATATTTGATGTATTTGATGTTTTTGGCTATTACTTGATAAGTATACGTGTATTTCATATCCATTATCTATACAGAAACACATACTTGCCAGATCGACAAAAAAACAATTGTTTTAAATGCACCAGAAAGCTTATCCTACAAAAAATTTAAATTCTTACTATAACATTAAACTTTTTAGAATTATATATTATTTCTAAACCAAATAAATAAACCTAAAAAAAAAAGAATCCACCAAAAGGCACAACATAATTTGTTTTAGAATGAAATGTAATATATTATATTTGACTTCCCTTAAAATAATGGATTTGTGGATTAGGCTTCTCTGATGCTAATGCCAAAAAAAATTGAATTGACCTATTTACTAAAATTGTTTTGTATTTACAGAAAAGGTTAATGCAAGAAAAAATGAAAGATGAATTATTAGAAAATCAAAAATCCATTGAAACTAAATCATGGAAATCGCCTATAACAACATTTTCAAAGCCAGAAAAAAAACAAATACAAACCCATTATGAATTTCCAAATAATTACAAATTTGAACAGTTAGAATGTCCACCACAGAATGCATTTGATGATGTTCCTCTACCAACAACAATCGTTAGGCCACCTAGAAAAGTATTTCATTTAATTAGTATGAAATAATTTTGTATTTATTTTGATAATGAGTGTACATATATTTTTGTTTAGATAATGTATAATGATACTGATGAAGAATTGAAAGAGTCAAGTATAAATGAACCTGATAATTTTTCAACAAATATCATTGACACGTATATAAACCCATGCATGAATCATCGTATTTCTTCTCCAATAATGAGACCAAAAATGCGAGTTGGAAAAAATGCTGTAAGACAACCAAAAGAGCCACCAGCCCATGTGACTTTTGCAACAGACCCACCTATAAAAAGAGACATTTATAACCCTGCTGCTATACTACCTGACACTAAGTCCGTTATTATAGATTCACCACTTACTCTGGCGTTGGTTGGTAAAAATATTGATGAAGATAAAAGCTAAAGCCAAAGCTATTAACAAACCTATCTAAACCTCTTACAAACATTTGGTAATAATATATATATTATTTATAAAAAAATATATAATTTTGTAATTACTTGGTACACTAAGACTGTTTGCTAAAATAATGCTACAACTTAAAATTTCCATTTTTCGAGTTAAGTGAAATGGATAAAATATTTACGTATGGCGTATTGTCCAGAATTAGGCATTATAGCTAACATTTCTGCCATGTATAGCAGGGGTTAATGGTATGGGTCACCGCTAAAAATCCTGGGTGGTCACCCATCTGGGATCAAGTAGTAACAGACACAACTTTTGGCACTCAGGTGCCACGCGGCAGCTGAGGTGTCCACTGCGCCACACCACACCTGTAGTGAAATGGACTGTGTATTAATTAAAAATAAATTTACTGATTAAATAACCCAAGTTAAATTTTAAAATTCATTGCTAGGTGGAACTATTTCCCCGTCAAGTATTAAAGTAATTCAAAAATCTTAAACTGTTTTCATGAAAAATCATGTTTTTTGAGTTATGTTGTTACTTGTTGTTGTAACAAACAAGCGAATCTATAACTACAATACAAATTAACAATGAATGTTATTCTAAAAAAAAGTCATGGCTTAAGTCATTGCTAAGTCTAAGTAAAAAGGAAAAGGTGAAATTTAGTTTGAAAAAAATGTATTACTACAGATTGAAAAAACCTATTTGTTAAAAATAGTCACATTAGAAAATCTAAAATATTATAGCAAATAATAACTTGTATCTAGATAACAACAGTTTTACTTTTCTTAATTGTTGGGTTGATTATAGAATCTTTAAATATATTTAAGACAAAGGTTAGTTTGTGCTGATAATCAGATTTGCTTAAATGTGCATGTCTTATATTTTATAGTAATAATGCTTATTTACTATACTTTATTATAGTTGATATTTACTTGTTACAGGTCCCTGAAAGAATTTTTACATTGTCTGATCTTGAATTTTTCGATAAAGATTTATTATCCAGTTTTGGCATCATTAGAAAACAATTAAATCATCAAAAATTTAATCAAATCTTAAAAATGTCTAGTAAACAGCATACATGCATTTTATTGTTTTCAATACTCTATTCCTATTTTTTTTTGTCTTTATAATTATTAATATTGTAGTAAATATGTACACACACACAGAGGGTGTGTTTATTAGGGTGGTTGGTTCAACATAAAACCTCACTTTAGAATTTTGTTTGCAGCTTCCCCCCTCCCCCAAAAAAGCTATTCTGTGAAAATTTGGATTCGATGGTACTGCAAACAAAATTCTAAAGTAATTTTTTTTAACCACATATATTATATATACATTAATGTACAGTTATTTCACCAATAAAAGAAGGAGATTTGTATTATTAAAATCACATGTCATTCCAACCAAAAATCATTTTCTTTAATTTCATAATAGGTGTTATCTCTGTCTCTCTTCCATATCACTTATAATATTTGATTCAAAGTTTGGTCTGTTACCCATATTGTTAAGTCTATATTTATTTATTAAGTATTAGTGCTTGACTAAATAAATAGGCATGAACACCTGTGAATACAAACTTTTCCTAAAATACTTCTTTTTTGAAGTCTGAGAAAGAATTATTCTTCGCAGTATCATGACTGTTAATTTAGTAATAGTATTGCGTAGTCTATATTACATAGCCTTAATATAATATATAATAATAGGTTATCGAAAAAAAGCCGTTCATTTTAGAAGTTTACTCTTCAAGTTCATTTTAAAAATGAACTCTACAAAACATTTAGATAGACATCATTTTAAAGTTTTTGAAAAAAATTAAGAACTAAAAATGGATTTCTAGCAACTAAAAAATTAAGCAAGCAAAAACCCTTATCGATATAAAGTTTTTTATAACTTACCAAAAAAATGATTATTTAAATTTTTTTGTAGGAAAAACATTAGATTTTTAATAAAATACCGGGTCATGTTCATAAGGCATCGTGTGAGTACTTGCTTAGTTTCTTATTTTATTTAAAATATCTATGAATTTGTTAGCAATCATTTCCAAAGATTATTCTAGATAGTGTAGATATATCACTGATAGATTTTAAAAGTAATAAAACTTAAGAGACTAGTTCAAAAAATAAAAGTATATAATACTCTTTCTTTGTATTGTAGAAAAAACAATTTAATTACAATTAATGATAAAAAATATTACAACAATGAAATCAATAAGTAAAAAACATGTAATTAAAATTTAGGTTTTGGTCACCAAAAGTTGACTGAGATGATTCCTTTAGGTTTTTCAATATAACCTGATTTAATTGTTTTAGAAAGAAATGTTTTTAACCGCTGAACTGGACCTCCACATCCAACTGGTGTGATTTCATCAATTTTATTCATATATCTGCTCTCAATGAACCTTAACATTTTAATGAATTGCTTACCATATGCTTGTTTTAAATTATATCCAGTAATTACTAACATTTCTTGTATTAAAACTGCTGTAACATCTAACTGAGGAACCATATTTACAGTTGCTGCAATCAACATCCAAGCATGGGCAATTCCTAATGCTTTACCACTCTTGGTTTCAGAAACAATAATGGCTGCAAACAATCTTATTATTCCAGTCATTCGTTTTACATACTTATCTTGTTTTTCAACAATACCATTGGTATAGTTATATCCTAATGATTTATAATATTCTTCATCAGTCTCTTCTTCTGTTTTTGCAGCGGTATATGGAATGAGACTCGGGCATTTTTGTTTAAACCTAGCATATAATATAGTGCCAAAATCTGGATGAGCCTGCCAAAGTTCTGTAACAATTGATGCTACTTCAAAAGCGGTTTCTGTTTTAACACTAGTTACTTGTTCACCAATGTTTATAATTTTTTTTGCTAATGTGTCCTTGCAAAAGGCTAAGGCATCTTTATGACAATTTGCTGAAATAATAGAGTTGCCAGTTTTTACAGTTTTACATTTCAATAACGCATCAAGTTTATCATATTTATCTTTCATATGCCATGCTGATACTGAAGAAATACTATTAACAGGAGTATTGATTGATTTTGTCAATTCTTGCCTAGCAGATTTATAGTTGGAGTCATTTAGAAATGTTGAATATAAATGTTCAAAATTCCTTAGATGTTTTTGAAGAACTAAATGATTTTCTAAGAATTGTGTGTATTCTTCTTCAAATTTATAACATGTACTTCGAGTAGACTGTTCAACATGGTTATCAATCTTAAATGAAAAATGTTCAATACTTGAGCTAGGTGCTTCTTTGTCAACTTTAAAATTAAAAGTAAAAAACTCATTATTAACTTGTTCAGGCTGTTCAACAACTTTAAATGTAAAACTATTTAAATTGTTGTCGGATTTATTGTCATTACTTTCAATGTTTAGAGTGTTATTATGATTATTAGATTTATTCTTTTCATCTATTTCATTAATTTTAAATGTGAAGCTATTTAAATTATTGTCGGAGTTGCCATTGTTACATTCAGTTTTTAAAGTATTATTACAATTATTAGATTCACTCTTTTCATCAATTTCGAATGTAAAATTTTTTATCTGAGTTTCACTTCTATATTTTCCCAATTGTTCAATAAATATTTGAATATTTTGAGTAAGTTGATTAATAGTTAAAAAATCATGCTCGCTGAAATTAACCAACTTGTTTTGAAATTTGTTATAAGCAGTCTCTAATGAATTATATCTATCTATTTCTTCAGTACTTGAATTTGAAACTTGATTTTTACTCAACAACTTTTTTGAATCACCAAGTAAACTATATATTATCTTTAAAGCTAAAACACATTTGACATCTCTTGATTTTTGATCAAACTTAATTTGTTCTTCGCATAGTTTAGTTTGTAATTGAACATCATCTACATGCAACAATTCATTAGAATAATTTCTATCTATAATAAGATCTTTACGACGCAAATGTTTTGATTTATCAGAGTCTGTATCTAGCAAATAGTTATGATTTCTTCTCTGTCGTTCCCAATCACATGCTTTTTTGTTCAACACTTTTCGAACATTGGTTTTTCTCATCGACTCAATTTGGTTCATAGTGAGTTTATACAATTCATCATAAAAGGCAACGGATTGATTAATAGGTTCTTCTAATGTGTCTTCAGATGATTTATTTTCAATTGTTTGTAAGTTATTTTCAAATAGTTCATAATGTTGTGGTGTATAGTATTCATTAACAAATTCAAGATTTTTATTAATTCTACAAAGATTTTTGTCAAAAAGTGTAATACCATTTGTGTTTTTATAACAATGGCTGGAATTTAAATCTTGATGTAAGAAATTAGCTGTAACGGTGTGCTCCATTTTTATTCGGATTTTCAACAAGCTAAAAACAGAAATGAATTATAAATTTTCCCTAAAATATTATATTAAACATTGTTATTGAATGCTAAGTGTATACTACTTATTATAAGGTGCATAACACACCTGAATCAAACTTTTCTAATATTTAATATATACCTGTACCTTAAGTCTAAAGAGCCAATCTCAATTTTAACAAAATTAAGTTAGAACAATAAACATGTAAATTGATACATCAAATAAATTGTAAAAAAAAGGCATTTACATGGTAAAAAATGAAAAATGTATGATCGTTTTTGTAAAAGAGTAGCATAGAACCTATTATGGAAATACAATTGCAAAAAGTGAGATTGACCTTTTAGGTATAAACATAAAATATCAGACGATGACGGTGAAGAAAATATATTTGATCAAAACATTATACCTATTCTTGAAAGTAGTTTCAAACAAGCCCCACTAAAATAATAGCAAACAAGTATAATCATTGATTATGTATTTCTAGTAATATATAATCAATAGTATAATTTATGTAAGTTCGCACCAGTTTGGCAATATTTAAGTATAGATCAGTCTATAATTGTAGTATTATAAAACAATTTATTTTTTAAACTAAGCTGGTGAATGGCCAGATGAGTACTAGATTGTTTTGTATTTTTAGCTTTGACAGGGAGCTTAATTGGTATTGGTTATACAATGATGTGTTTTTTTGTGTGTTGAACCACAATTTCTTCATATAGCAAATCTAGAGAACAGATATTGTACCCAAAAAGTAGTTGATAAGGCCAAAAAACTAAAAAGTTTATCTCTACCCATTAGATTGGAGAAAAACACCCAAAAATGTACAGAACCCTAGAACTTTTTGAAAAAAAGCCATTTAAAGTTTTTCTATACTTCATATTCGTTTTTAATTCAAGGACAATACAAGACTGTAAATTAAGGAGAACAATAATTTATTATTCTCTTTAAGGTAATTGAAAGAGTAAGTTTACCTACTGTACCACAATATTAATTATTGATGTAAATATTTAATATTTCGTTCATTGGATGACACATTTTTCAGGATTGTAGAAACGATTTTTGGCCTTTAAACGATGTATTAAAAAAATATATATATACTAAAATATTAAATACACAAACTTGTACATACCTAAACAGAACTAAAGGTTAACACTTAACTAATTAAAAGTTTGAGGTGAGAAAAAGAGCAAACAGCTCAATATACTATACTTCGTTAGTAAAAAAATCCCGAATACGTGAAAATTAAATGATAAACATATAAGTTATTACATACGAAACAGTTGGCGCTTAAAAGTTAAAACTAAAAATATGGACAGCTGATATCAAATCTCTGTGGCAGATTTCCGTTGCTATATAAAAGTTTATAAAGTTCTATAGATAATATTATCTATAGAAGACCTTGATATAAAAGCACGATATAAGATATACGATTTTATCTATAACCGTGGTTAAGTCAAACTATGGTTACTAGTAGTAACTTTAAGTTTATCTAGAAAAAACTTGAGCAACTTATGGTTGTATATAATAAAGCAATATTTAAAACCCTTAACCATAAAAAATTATATACTCTCCGCGTATACGACATATTTCGGCAACAGCCAATGAGCCAACAATGTTGTCATCTTCAGCGCTAACGACAGTCTCAGTTTTATGGTTAAGGGTTGTAAATATTATTTTATTAACTTTAAGTTTTCCTTCTGGTTATTCTTTGCTACTATGATCACAGAATAGACTAAATTTAATCTATTCTTTGATTTATAATTTGAACTTTGAATAACAACACTGTTTAACCTCTAGCCTTGGAACCTATGGCAGCTTACCCAATGACTGTGTAGCGCTATCTACTGATCAATTAATTAAAAAAATGTACTACGCATATGACCATAGAAACGTATCAAGATAAACGGTTTGCATGCAACTACATGCGGTTAAAATACAAACAAAACCTCACATTTTCTCAAATTAACATGTTTTGAAGTAAGCGGCGCGGTCTGGCATTTATATTTCATTTCAAACAAATTAAACATAGCTATATTACAGTATATCATTCCTATGATATTGTTGTGTTCATGTCTTCGGTTATGTGATTATTAGTTAGATTTTTTTTAAATAATATTCAAAATTTCGACAAATTGTAAGTATATTTGTATTAATTGATTGTTTTATTTTTCCACTGTAATAACATTTAACATATGAAATTATTTGTTTTAAGCATTTTAACTTAATGTTTCATTCTTTACACAATCGTGTATAACGAAACGCACGTGGTTATGTACTTAATTATAATGATTTAGAATGTGTTAGTAAGATGATTTATTCCAGTTAGTTTGTATTAGTATTATAAAATCATTGTCGAACTTTATAGTTTAGTTAACATTTGTTTTTCCCACAGTAAAACAATGAATGAAAGTTGGGGAGAAAACTAAATTATCTGATTTACATAAAAATTAAAATATATATTTTATTTTTTTTAAGTTAAAAACGTACTATCTATGTAATTAAATGATGTCTTTAATAGATATATTGTATGAAGGCAGTACTGAAAGAAGGATGTTGATGGAATTAAAAAAATCTATATCTGATTTCATCAATATTTTCATTCAGTTGTCTTTTTAATTACATTTGAATTTATCGTTTAACTTAAAATTAATAGGTAATTTAAATTATCTATTAATTATTTATTGTCATGGGTTTTAGTTTTTATAACTAATTTAATTATTTTTTATGAATGTATTATGTCTACTGTATTTAAAAACGATGGTTTTGTTTTTTAGATGGATGATCAAGGAATTACTTTGGATGTGAATCCTAAAGCGTATCCTTTGGCTGATCCACAACTGACAACTAAAATCCTTAATTTGGTTCAACAAGCAATGAACTACAAACAACTGCGCAAAGGTGCAAATGAAGGTAACGATTAACCAATATATTTCCTATATTATCTTAGTCCTAAATTTAAGCTAATTATTTCTTGTATTTTAGCTACGAAGACCCTAAATAGAGGTATATCAGAATTTATTGTTTGTGCCGCAGATGCAGAACCTTTGGAAATATTATTACATTTACCTTTATTATGTGAAGACAAAAATGTTCCATATGTTTTCATTAGGTCAAAACAAGGTATGTTGTGTAGTTTCTGAACTTTTAAAAATATTTATTCTGGGACACAGAGCTTAACTATGAATCTTAATTTGTTTCTGTGTTGCAGAATTTATTCTGAAACCCTTGTTTTGAATAATAATTCTATAAAAATACTTATTACAAACATTTTTTTATATTGTTTTAGCATTAGGACGAGCTTGTGGTGTTTCTAGGCCAGTAATAGCTTGTTCTATTACTAGTGATGAAGGATCACAACTGCGGCCTCAAATACAACAAGTTCAGACTGAAATAGAGCGACTTCTGGTTTAATTTTGTACACCTTTTTCATTTTATATTACTATTTTGAAATAATAATGATAATTGAAAAATTGTATGTATTATTATTTTGTTGATATAATGTTTTCATTGCCAATTGGTAATATTTTTATAGTATAAGAATCAAAATAGTTCATACCATTGACATCCATAAACAAGTTTTTCTATATTTCATAACTTAAGAAGCCAATAAAATATTTAAAAACTATCATTCTGTAACTATCAAAATATGTTATCGGGTTGGTTATTTTTTTGCTTTTAGGTCTAATACCTAAAACATAATTTCATGATTTTTGTTGAAAATTTTTTTAAGCTATATAATGTAATGACATGATTTATTATAGAACGGAAAATTTCATTCCAGAAAGACAATTGATTTTTTTTTTTGTTAGTGAAATAAGTTATTAATACCACTGTATATAGTCTTGATATTTTGAACTTTAATTTACTTACTGAAATCAAAAAAGTTGGGCTTTATTAACCATACAACTATTACAATCCTTGTATTTTAAAAGATAACTGTTTTTAGAAATTTTTTGTTGTACAATCAAATTTTACTTATATTATAAAATTTGATTTTACTCTGAAGTCTTGGAAAGTACTGTTTTATAATTTATATTTAAAATTAGATACAAGTGGCAAAAATTGTGTGAACTTAGTTTTATTTATCACTTAATGATGGTCTGTACTTCGTATGGATACTTCTCATGAAAGTAATAAGTTTAATACTAGGCCTCATATATAACGGTAAGTTTGGCTTTCTTGTGTCAAGAACTAATACCTATTATTTTATTCCTTTGAAAGTAGTATGATTTGCAGCTCATAATTCCCGTGGAATCTTTAATTTTCATGGGAAAGAAGGTAACATTAGTTTTTGTCGAAAGTGAGAAACGATTCAAATTTACCACTTGTTTTCGAGTAGGTTGGGGGAATAAAATACTTTACTTATTATAGAAAATAAACAATATTTTGTAAGGCAAATGTACCATATTACTTTAAATAAATGGTGTCATATAAACTTTCAGGAACTAATACATGTCAAATGATATTTAGATACTTAATATTTTTTTGTCATTACTTTTATTAATAAGGTTGAAAAAAAACCTATTACAAATATTGACTAGCTTAATAGGCTAAAGGTAAAATTGTATTTTCATTAAAATTGCAGAACAAAAAGAAACACAGTAACTAAAATATTATAAACAACATAATGTGGAGGTATTTATAACAAATTGTAAAATTTAAGATAAAGCAATATTATTACCATAATGTATCATATTTTTATATAATCGACTATTAACAGACTATTATATTTAATATTTTGTAAAGTATCAAATATAGTAGTTATAACATTTGATTATATTATTACAACCTTAGTGATACAATAAAAATTATAACTATAATACTTGATTAAAGCTATATTTGGTTAAGTTACTAATAAATACTACTAAGCACTTACAATTAATAATAAAGACTTGAAAAAAATAACTAAATTTTAGTTATACTAGAATTTAATAAATTAACAAGTATAATAAAGAATTATTTACAATTTATAAGATACACTTATTTACTAATACTATAGTTTGGCACAATAACCACCAAATTATTGTGCAAAGATCAAAGGTTTACTTTTTGTAGATAAATTGATATTAGGCTTTGATGAATCAAGTGATTGAACACGTATTTATTATAGGAAAGAAACTTCTGAACTTGCAAATATAGTTTCTCCTATTTTTTTAGTCTTGAAAATTTGCAATATTAAGAATAAATAAATTATGTCAAGATAGAAATATTGTTCGACAAAAAGATTTTTTTAAAAGCAATACTGAATGTAAAAATAATAATTAAATATTAATACACCATGTAACATAGGTTACGAAAGACATTGGCGTAAATGTGGAAATATCCTACGATTACATTTTGATTAACTATTACTTCTTTTGCCAAATTTAAGTTTTTATAAATCCAATTAAGTTAAAAAAATACATAAATATTAATTTGTATACGTAACTACAATTTTTATTTATATTGAGTGTACAATATTAACTATTATATTTAGTGAATTGTAAATTTTTGGGTACCATTTTTAATATTTATGCATAAAAGGATGTTTCACGTATAAATAAAACTACATATTAATTTATGTAAAATTATTAAAATAGTGTGAGACACCCTTATATAGCTAATAAATTGATTTACAAATTTCAATATTAGCATATAATGTATACATTTTTAATTAAAACAAGCATAAGCATGGCATAATATTTGTTGTCAAATGACATTGTAATAGGAAAAATAAATTACTTATATAATAAATATTGTGGCCTTATTGAGAATAATATATTCTATAATATAATGTTTTTGACCTCCATAAACTATAAGAGTTATCAAACTTCAGTTGGTAAACTCCTTCGCCAGGATACAAATGACTACCAGCGTACACTTCCTTATGACAATCTCGTCGGTATATTGGTATTACACATGATAATGGTGGACGATCCAATAAACTGCTCTCTTTTAAATCTTTAAATGAAATACCATTTTGTTCCAATTCACAAAGTAAATCTATGACAAATTGTTTTTCTCAATAAAGAAAAATCTTTGTATCATTTAATTATTATAGAACTAAATATTAACATTTTCTAATATTATTTTGAATTTGTTAATATTTTTTATTTAATAATACCACTATATAACCTACCCATTTTAATATAAATCAAAATAAATGTATTACCTGTATTAATATTTTCTTCGTCATCATCCAAGTCGTCTAACTCCTGTTCCATATCAGAAACATGTACTGAAACTTGAGTAGTGTCAGGTTTAACCCATTCAAAATATAAACCAAAACCAATATCATGACCATCGGTTGCAAACTCCCAAAATATGCAATTTCCACCTTCAGTGGTTGGAACTCTAACCTGTAATTAAATATTGAATTATACATAAATACATTAAATTAACATAAATTACGACAAATATTATAAATATATATATTTGATTTATTTATGTCATATTATATTGATATTTGTTTAAAAAATATGTCAAGATATTGTATTTTGATAACCTGTACAAAAAGATGCAATGAGATACATAGTCATATGACTTATAACAAAATGATTTAATACAATTTTATACAACCATAATAAGTTACTCCAAAAAAGCCAAAAGGGCTTCAATTATAGCAAGGCACTCAGTTGTGAAAGATGAGGCAGACGAATGAATATTATCAGAAAATTTGTCAGATAGGTTGGAAATGAAGAACTTTTCACTTATATCAATGCAAAGAAAAAAAGAATGTATTAAATAATTTAACGTCTCAATATTTCCGTCTTAAACAACTGCCTTTGTTTATTGTTTAATAATCTGTTTAGGTTTATTTAACACTTATTGTGCTTTTTTTGTAAGATGGCAGCATAATATAACAATAAATAATTATTAACACTAACAGTTACTGTTTCTCCATGGCTGACTTTTATGATGGCTTCTCCACCTTCCCTTTGTAAACTAAGTTTAAATTCATCAATATCTTTTCTAGTCCACATAGATGCAGGAAACAATGTTTGAACAGAGCCTTTAGTTTAAAAATAAATATTAAACATTTTGAATGGTAAACACAATTATAACAAATAGAAAACGCATACATTCTCCAGATGGACATTGACCATTTCCACATTGTTCTTTACAAACATTATCATTTTCATTCCCCTTTTCTTCAGGAGCAGACATCATGGCATTTGCTATTTCAAGTTCTTTCCCAGGTTCATAGTTTTGTTGTAACTGTTGCATGTACTGATGGTAATGTTGTTCCTGCAATTGTCTTACAAGTACAGCTTGCTGTAAAATTTTAATATATTAATATAGTATTTTATTTAAAATAAAATAAAATATGATAGTTTACTTCATCAGGATTATTTGGGAACTGGTTTTGGGCATAAGTTAAGAACTGACTGTAGGTCTGTTTATTTAAAGCTTCTTGTATTAATTGCCTGAAAAAAAAGGGATAAAGAAAATAATTCAAACAAATTTAAATATTCTTTCATTCTTTTCCTTCTTGAACTTTCCACCAAAGATATCTACTCTTGAAGAAATAATTAGGCATATACGATTGTTTGTATCAGACCAATTGTGACTTCATGTATTTAATTTTAAAAAAAATGGGCCATCGGAAGACAAATGATAATTGATTGGTTATTAAATAATCTGTACTAAACATTTTTTTACTACGACTAACTGTTATTAACAAATATGGTGATGTAAAAACTAGATGATCAAAATTGTAATGTAATCAGTTATTTTACTTATTTATTATACTACAATTATTTGATTAGTTTTCAACTATTTGAAATGTAAATTAATAATTTGTGGATTATTAATAAATAATAATAATGCACATTTTATGCTCATATAGATAGCACAGTACAGGACAATAAGCCAGACTTTGTATTACATAAAAAAAGAAAAAGACTCACTATAGACCACAATTCCGACAAAAAATGTATATCATTATTATCAGCACTATCGACATTTCTCGTTATATCATTTAATCTATTATGATTACTCTTATTAATTATATGGTTGTTGAAACTAAACTTACATTGATTGCTTGATTCAAAAACTAATTTTTTTTTTTGTATAAATAATGAAAACATGGTTACTCCCAAAAGAATTTTAGTATATAGTGACCAAATAATTTTTCAACATAACTATGACTGATATTAATTAATAATCATGCATATTTTTTATGTAGCTGCACATAATACTTAGCAAAATAAATATAATTAGTGACTATCATTTACTTAGTATTTTCTTGTCTGCATCTTTCTTCTTCTTCCTTTTGTTTTAATGCCATGAGAGCAAATTGCTTTTCCATTTCCTCTTGTTCTCTTTTAACATTTTCTTCCCTGTAAATTTAATGATACAAAGCATGTCTTTAACCTTTAAGCACTTGGGTTTTTAAAAGTCACACTATCGCTCGCGTGGCGACATTTGTACTGCTTTAAATCAACCGTGGCAAAATTAAAATTGTATTTTCCTTTGTAACTAGAGAATATCTGTCAGTACCTTCTGGCTGACTTCATGCGTGGCACAGTTTAAAAAAAAAAAAGGTGCAAATGCCACTCGCACAAGCACTCAATAGTTATTTATATTAAACAAAATGTAACTTAAATTATAATTTCACATTACAAACTATAAAAAGATAAGACAGTGTTACTCACGTTATTCGCTTTTGTTCAATTAAATCTGCTTTATAAGCTTCAACAGTGTGTTTAAATAAAGTGCATTCTTTATTAACCAATTTAACAAAATTTATCATGGAATTTTCTGGTGACATATCACCAAGAGCTTGCCAAGCTAATCTGCAGCCCAACACAAGAAAACAATTAAATAACTTTAAAGTATAAACTAAAAATTAAATAATTTACTCACCTTCTATCTCTACCTATGACATCAAATACACCCAATGGTGGTAATTTAGATTCATCCAACTTTCCATGACTAACTTGTCGTGTATAAGCAACAAGTTTAAGTTTATCATCATAAGTAAAATGAAAAGCTTTACCTTCTTTTTCTGTAAACAAAATAAATAGAATACCTAGTTTGTGTATTAGTTTTTAAAATAAATATTATTGTAACATGCTATACTATTACTATTGTAATATTGCATAATTTATAATAGAACAAATCTACTTTACCAAAAACCCTTTTTTTTTAAATTTTTTTTTTATTTGATAGTATTTTTTACGCTGATTACGAATATGTAAAAATTTTTCACCGCTCGCACTTAGTTTGGAAGTTTGCCGATATCGACTTACGCGCGCGCCCAGCGCCGCACGTCTACCTGCGGCCACCGGGTACATCATTCGACGATCGCCGCTCTCGACATAGCAGGCGTTCGTTATACTAATTACCCCCCTCGTCTACTTGGCTCCCGCCCGTCGTAATCTTTTTTTTAGTATTTAGTATAAGTACTATCAAATTAGTCAATTAGGTCAACTTAGTTTTAATTAAAACACTCTTAATTAAATAAAGCAACTCCCTACGCCTGCCGGCTCCAGGAGCCGATACGAGTCCCTTCAGGACTCTTCGTTAGGGTGGGGCCTCACGCCCTCAAACCCCTAGAGGGAAAATTAGCTCACCTAAAGGGAATAAAAAAAACTAACTCGAAACTACCCTGGAAGCAGTCAGCGACCTATTGACACAAAACCTAGCCCAGTGTTGCGCGCCCGCTATGTCAAGAGCGGCGATTGTCGAATGATGTACCCAGCGGCCGCGGGTAGATGTGCGGCGCTGGGCGCGCGCATAAGTTGATATCGGCAAACTTTAAACTTCTGTAACTTCCAAACTAAGTGCGAGCGGCGCAAAATTTTTATATATTAGTAATCAGCGTGAAAAATACTATCGAATAAAAAAAAAATTGAAAAAAAAGGGTGTCCGGTAAAGTAGATTTATACCTTTATAATATACAGTTAATTACGTACAATTGTTGCATTTTTATAAGATAAAATTAGTATTTAAACAATTAAATATAATAAATAGTTACATAAATAGTAAATTATTTTTTACAACAAGTTTATATATCATGATATTTTTGCATCAAGCCTTCATTAAAATTCAAATAGCCACTAAAAAAATATTATTTTGCATACCTTTAAAAAACTTTAACGCGAAGGAGTAGAGTTCTTTAAGAGGCAAGCCCCATTTGCCCACTATATCTTCTTCTTTATTGTTGTTACACATTATATCAATAATAAACAACTCCTAGCGAGGTATGACTTGAATTTGTTTACGAAAACAGAACAGACTTGATATAATTATATTCGTATGTACACAAAAATTATTGTAATTTATGTGGATTACTGATTAAGTGAACAGCTATCGTCAACCGTGATTCTTAATTTTAATATTGATATTATAAAATTCGATGTTGATTATTCTTTCCTCAGCTCTTATCATTATTGCAATGGTAACCAAAACGTTTTGAGGTTAAACAAAATTCAACCATTGGTAGATCTAAAGGTCCTTCTCTTAACAGTTCGGGGTAGGTATTAAGGTAATTTGTTTTTAAATTCAATATTTCAACAAAGTTCTTGTACTCGCTTTGTCCGATTCGTGTTTTTTCCGCTTTCGAGTTCGTTTGAAAAATAGTGACTGTGTTACGGAATTGTTTTTTAAAGGAAAACGGTAGTGTTGTTGTTGTTCTGGTGATTAAGCGATTTGTACGAAGATGGAGAATTCCTAAATAATAACAAAGGTGGGTGTTGATGCGCGTGCGTGCGTGCCCGAGTATGTTTATCTCGCACAGCTGTTGTAGTGAAAAAAAGAAAATAATAAAATGCGAACATAAATACAATAAATACGCTTACATACGCAGCGCAAGATATTATTATGTTTATCGATGCATCGCATTTGTTATTTTAGATTTGATGTGTTGTCGTCCAATAATAGATTCGCGTAGAGGTGGGAAAAGCGTTTAAATCCAGCTATCGCGTAGCAAGACTGGCCTCGAGTGGCGATTCTGATGACGGTGGGCTTGTACCACCACCGTGTAAGAAAAGGCACTTGGATACGGAAGAAACCATGTTGCAGCCAACCAACGGCGTTTTGCAACACAATGGATCAATTGATGAGCCGTCTTCCAGTTCGACAGTCAATGGCACAAGCAATAGTGATGACCAAGAACAAAACAATGGGTGCGTTATTAAGGGAAAATCGAGTCAAGAAATTGTGCGGCTAATTGGTCAACATTTAAAACTCATTGGTCTCAAGTAAGAATTTTGAGTTTATATAATATCTCTTTAATGTGTTCTTATCACTTATTAGTCAATTTGTTATTATCAGTCAAAAAAATTCTTCTATGTTCTCAAATTTTAACACAATATTTATATGGTAGAAGTCAATATAAAAACTACATATTAGTTTCAATTGACTCCCTTCTTTTAAATATTTTTTGTTAGGATAATATTTATGTTTGCAATGGTGAGACGTGAGTACACGTCTTAAGGAAGGTATGACATAACTCGTCAAAACATTTGTGTGCCATTTGTTCCTATTATGAACGTAGAAAATTGATGTAATTTTATGGGAGGCTACCCTTAGTCCCTCCTATTCTACGCCTATGCTCTCCCATACTAAGCAGTTTGTTAGACACAATATTTTGTTGATTCTTTTCAATTAAAAAAAATTGTTTATAATGATTCTGAATTATCATGATTCTAAATTATATAATGATTAATGGATTAATGAATAACTGTCAATAAACAATTTTTTTTAATTTACACTAATTATATTTTCTTAATTGTTACTTGTTTGATATTTACATATCACACCAAATTATATATACCTAATTAAAAAAAATAATTTATAATGACTTGGCTCTTGTCAATAAATATTAGACACCACCTGCACTGGCGGTAATTGCTATATTGGTTATTTAAATATTATTGCTGGACATAGAAACTACACCAATGTTCCTTAACTTCTCTGATTATTATCAATTATTATCACTTCATCATTTGTATTACAATAACAATCAAACTATTAAAATTTTATCACAGTCAAACAGCCGAAGTGTTGATGCAAGAATCAGGATGTCGTTTAGAACATCCTGCTGCTACACAATTCAGACATCATGTTATGGAAGGTGAATGGAATAAAGTAAGTATATCTTCTTTGAAAAATATTTTACAAAGTTTCTAAACTATAACGGTTTGTAATAATAACAGTAAGTTTTTATTGCTAATTCATTTAGTTACGACTATGAGTGATCTACTACAACTAGAAGAGTTGTATGTTTGTTTAGAAAATTGCATACTGAAAGTTAATTTAGTCACCTAAGACTTTTTTAGGTCTTGTTGTGCAATTAATCATATTGTGTATACTGAAGTATTAAATATGTGAGGTTTACCCAGCTATCAAAAAATTTTTTTAAAAAAATGTATGTTTAAAAAAAATTTTTCTTTATTCTTATTTACAATTTTATTTCAAATATCAATATTAAAATAAAAGCAAAATTGCTTTAGTTTAATTTCAAAACTGAATTTCATCTATAATCAATATAATACAATTTAAACATTCAGGTATTTCAACAACGGTGATGCCATCTTCAGCACTAAACATAGACCGTGACAGTCAATCTAATTAATACATTTAAAATGTATTTTATTACAGATTGTGTATTTAATTAAATTAAAGTTAAAATTTTTCTTACAAGTTACTCTATTTTATTATTTCACTAATTTAATAATTTTTAGGTACTAATAATTATAGCTATTGGTTAAAAAAGATGAAAATTTGTTTTTAATTTTAATTGGAGTAAATATAAATTGTTTGCATGTTTTTTTTCAAGGTTAGCGCAGATTTGAATGAACTTCAGGCCTTAGTAGGAAATTCATGCAAATATTTTTTGGTTAGTTTATTTTGAATTTGCTTTGAAAATATTGAATAAAACAAATTTTGTATAATTAGGTATATTTATGCCGTATAATTTATTATTTTAGGATATGAAGTTTTTAATATTTGAGCAAAAGTATTTGGAGTATTTAGAGGATGGCAAAGTTTTAGATGCATTACATGTGTTGCGCAATGAATTGACACCTTTGCAACACAATATTGACAAAGTTCATATTCTCAGCAGGTAATTTCAACAGAAAAATATTTTATTTTTATATTAATTTTAATTATTAAATACTGTTATATTTTTTTTATCTGTTGTATATTTGTAAATAAGTATAAGTAAACGTTTATTTCATATCTGTACCTTGGGCTTTGCCTGTGACAATTGTTAAATAAATAAATACTTAATCTTTTTTAAATTGTTGTTATTTTCAGTTATATGATGTGTAGTGGCCGGGAAGAATTAATGAAACGGGCAAATTGGGAGGGAAAAGGATTAAAGTCTAGAACTTCTCTAATGGATATGATTCAGCAGTTTCTGCCTCCGCATATTATGCTGCCACCAAAAAGGTAGCTATTTTTTTTATTACATAATGCTAATTGTTTTACATAACAAAGTATTTTATTTTAATAATGAATTCATCATAAAATGTAAGGTGTGTATTTAATATTCATGTAATTAAAATAAATGAAAATTACTTAGTGAGTGTTCATAAATTATTATGATTTGTGGATATTTGTGTTATTTTAAATTAAATTTATTGAATAATAAAAATTACTCATTAGTATGAACATGTTTGTTAGGTTGCATATGTTATTGACTCAGGCTGTAGAATTGCAAAGAAACCAATGTTTATTCCATAATACATTATTTGATAATTCTATCGAAAATGTTTCATTACTTACTGACCATAAGTGTTCATTGTAAGTAATTAATTCACAATATAGCAATATATTTTTTTTTAAAAAAGGAATTGTCATTATAGAGAGCAAATTCCATGTGAAACAGTTCAAATTTTGACCGAACATTGCGATGAAGTTTGGTTCTGTCGATTTTCACCAGATGGAAAAAAATTAGCAACTGGCTCAAAGGACGCATCTATTATTATATATGATGTTGATCCAGTAATAATTCAGAAAAAAATTAAAATGTGGATTCCTATGATTAATGCTAATTAATTTTATCATAGGAAACTTTAACTGTAGAACAATCAATTACTTTGGATGGTCATTCATATGGGGTTAGTTACCTATCATGGTCCCCAGATGGTGAACTCCTTATGGCCTGTGGCCCAGAAGACTGTCCTGATCTATGGGTGTGGAATGTTAATACTGGTGTACTGCGTTTAAAACTATCACATTCATCAGATGACTCACTTACTGCCTGTTCTTGGCATAAGGATGGCCAAAAATTTGTCTGTGGAGGAATTCGTGGACAGTTCTACCAATGTGTAAGTTATTTTTATGTTTTGTTAATTTTTATTCTTTTAACAGCTCAACATTTAACAATAAAGTTACTACCATATATTGTTAGGATCTAGAAGGCTCTGTGTTAGATTCATGGGAAGGAGTCCGAGTGAATTGTCTTTGGTGTCGGGCAGATGGAAAAACAGTTTTGGCTGCCGACACACGTCAACGTATACGTTCGTACAATTTTGACGAGCTAAGTGATCAAAATTTGTGAGTAACTTAATCAGATGTTATGTTAAGTATAAATTCAGTAACAAATTTAATGTAAATACAACAACAGTATTTCAAATAAGCATTTAGATTTACGCAAATCAAGTATTTTGTGAATTTTTGATAACTTTTGTACTATGGTGGAAAGGTTAATTAATTTACTATTAAGGTGTGTTAAGCTGGATTTTATTGTAATAAATACTTTAATACTTCCATGAGTTTTTAAAATTAAAATGATCCAACACAGAAATCACTTTGTTCATAGAGACATGTATTTGATTTCTAGAAATAATACAAAATCAAATTTAATGTTCCAAAAAGTAGCATAATAATGTGGTTTAAGGTATTCTCGTACAATGTACCTTAATTAAGGTACATTGTATTAGAATACCTTAACCCCTATTTAAAAATAAGTATAATTATACTTATTTTTATTTTCTATTTACTATTTTTTATTTCTTTAGAATACAAGAAGATCATCCTATAATGTCGTTCACAGTAAACAAAACAGACCGTTTAGCACTGCTTAATGTTGTATCTCAAGGGGTCCATTTGTGGGACTTGCAAGACAAATGTTTAGTTCGTAAGTTTCAAGGAGTTACTCAAGGCCATTTTTCAATACACAGCTGTTTTGGTGGTGTCAATCATGATTTCATTGCTAGTGGAAGTGAAGGTTTGTAATTCTAAACTTATGATATTATTTTTATATTGCAAAATAATAATTAATTAATTATATATTTAATTTATTTTAATAATTTAGATAACAAAGTGTATTTATGGCATATTAAACATGAATTGCCAATAGCAACATTAACTGGTCATACTAGAGCAGTAACATGTGTTAGCTGGAACCCTGTTTATCATCAAATGTTAGCTTCAGTATCCGATGACTGTACTGTTCGTATATGGGGTCCTTCTGCTAAATATCGTAAGCAAAAAACCAACAAAAGTGGTAAGTTTTCTATTGATAATATACTCCGATAAATAATATGTATTTGTTAAGAAATAAAAAAAATCAAATATAAAACTAGTCAATGATGTAAATTTGCATTACATTCATATAATTATTTTATCTTACATATTAACACCATAGAATTAAAAATAAAAATAAAGCTTGTTTTTATAATTCTCCTGTTAAATATTATGGGAATGTTGTAATTGTTATTATTTTGTTTCATTTGATTTAATTTTTTTTTTTTTGTGGAAAGTTTAAGCTCAACACACATTATTAATTTAAAGTGTGGTATCATACATTTTTTCAAAACTTATTCTAATAAGTTAAAAAATCTAATACAATTTTCTAACAACACTAGTATTACATTTAACATATGTACTATACCCTTTATTTATATTAAGTAATTGAAAGCTAAATGTTTCTTCCCATTCCCGAGTTATTACAAGTAAAACATTTACAATAAAACTTGTAAGAGTGTATCATTACTATTTTGAAGTGAATGATTAAATATTAAAATATTTTCAACTTGCGATAAATAGTCATTCTTCTGTGACTTCTTTATTGTATTTTGATGCTGATATTTTTCTATTGTTCTCTAATAAATATTAAAACATGCACTGCCATAAATTGTTAAGTATGTATGGTCATAATTTTGTTATCTAAAAAAAGTAAACCTGTATATTATTTCAATTACTTGAAGTACAGTTTCATAAAATGACTATAATTTAAGACAATAAATTCCTAAATAAAGTAATAGTGTATTATAATTTTGTTTATTAATTCTACCTTTTTTATTATTTGGTTTGTTTATTTTTTTTAAATATTCAAGCAATAAAATAAGAATTAATGTTTCATCACAGTCAAGTATGATTTTAATATATTTTTTTAAATTATTAACGCATTTGAGTTATTATTTTTATAATAATAATAACACCAATTTAACTTTTTCCTACTATAATTTAGCATTAATAATTATGATTTATTTATAATACTTATTGATTGTATGTAAATGATATGATATAGTTAATATTTGTATATTTATTAATTTCATTACCAAAGTTTTTAAATTAATAAGTGCAAATTTAATAAAACACAACACTATACTTAATTATCGTTATAATATATTATTTAGTTCATTACAAATTGCAATATTGTGGTTTTTTATTGTCTTGATTACTTTCAAAATCTAATCTACATTTTTTAAAAATAGATGATTGTGTCATTGATAGCAGTCTTATGTTTTTTAATAGTTAATTATTTGATACATAGATTTAGAATTTATTTTAGCCTATTCTGAAAACCTAACTACAAATGAATGAAACCTTATCTAATTGAATATTGTCTTAGTAAAATCATACAAATACCCAATTTGGGTAATTTATTGAATTAGGTCCATATAAGAATATTTTTTTTAATAACATCATTAACATGATAAAACACACTTGTTAGAGTATAAATTCAAATAAAATTTACACTTTTTTTTTGTTTTACACAGATATTAACAACGATTCGGGGTCACCTTCCAAACATAATATGTAATAAAATAAATTATCATTTAGACTGTTTTGGTTACGAACTTATATAAATTGTAAATGTTGTTTTTGCCATTATTAAACCTTATCTGAAAATCTTGTATTTTGAACAATACTTAATTCTTTTGTTGTCTTAGTGTTCTTTTACTTCTTTGGAAATAAGTCTTCAAATGATTATGACACAACATTTTTGTATAAATAAAATAAATAAAATAAAATGAAAAACCATTAACTGTATGACTCGTATATTTTGTATATAGAGAGTAATAATATATTAAATACAACAGCAAATATAGCATATGTTGTAAATATTTTTACTGCAAAATCCTTAGTAATTAAGTTGTGTATTTTCTTTTATTATTATAAGTATAATTTTTCATGTATAGAACATAGACCTTTGTTTTACCAATAGTTTATATTTTATTCATTTTTCTAAATATAGTTTCATAATTATGCACTTTGATTTTACTTATAAAATAATATTGTTAAGATAAATATATATATACATTTATATATGTGTAATTCGATCTAATATTGACTTAAAATTATTAATAAACAATGTAATTTTTTAACAATATGTACATGTCTTTTTTGTAAATAATTAAGTTTTCACATTTAGATCCACATGTTTTACCGCTATGTAGTATGCACAGTAGCAGCAGCCTTATAATAAATAATTAAATGTTATAATAATTTTCTTATCAAAATCTTATACTAAACCCGTTGAACTCCTTCCTGGCCAAGTACTCAAAATTCATTAGATCACAACGTTCTACCTTACTGCCAGGACTTCCTTCATTCGACAACCACGCAATCCTTTATAAACATGATATGTATTATAGTATAATAACATGTATACATTTAGAAGTTAACATTAATTTTAAAGGGTATAAATGCTATCATGCATTTATGCAGGTTTATTAAAAGTGTTGTTTCTCATTAATGTTGTGTATGTCAATGAGGAATTCGGCGGTTCTTTTTATTTTAATTATTTTTTTGTGTAGAGTTTTTATGGATGTTTTATTAATATTGCTACAACATTATTGATTATTACATTTTACCAAAATAAATCAAAAGTACGCTACTGGATCATTCAGCCTGAATATATTAAAATTTTCAAATAACTTTATTATCATATCATAGGTACGAAAAATGGATATTATGTTATATGAAGACTTTGAAGAAAGCGGGAACTTACATTGCTTCAACATTCGATTTTGGTCCTTGCATTTTTCCCATAATCGTACCGCGCTTACTGTTTTTCACCCATCCGACAATGTTGAGTTCTGCACATTGGTCTCTACAGTATTTGGTAAAGTACACGCCTGAATGGGCAGCCAAGAAAAATTATTAGACAGCATATAATAAAACTAAACAATATACCGTTGAAATTAAATATAATACAAGTGTTTAGGCTTTTATATATATTATATTAAGTTCTTCTCGACCTCTTGATCAATAGACAACTTTGGCGAGGGCAGACGTTATGTTCAAGGAATGCAACAGCCTAAAAGGCGGCCCTTGAAAACCCGCGAAGTAAAAATTTAGCTTAATTCACTGTCCCCTTAAAATTCGATTTCTATTTAATTAGATTGATAAGAGGTGATGCACAAAATTTTAAATACGTTCCGTTTGCTTCTGTTGGTCAAGAGAGAATTTTTTTTACAAATAGTCTATGTTGCGTTTAAGCGAACGTTCCCCTGAAGAATATGAGCGGTTTAGTTAATTATATAAATTGATGCAATAAACATAATATTTATGTTCATACATTTTCAAGACGTTGTCTTATTGTCGAATTTTTAGACAAAAAAAAAGGGTTTCTTTATTGATTTTTTGTCTCGTGGGCAAACGATATACTCCCCTGCCTACTGTGAAATATTGTTGAAACTGCGCCGGGTAATACAAAAAAAAGAGGAGATAATTGTTGACCACAGATGTGGGTCTCTTCCACGATAATTCTCGGCTTTATGTTTCCCGTGTCACAAATGAACTTTTGAATCAGTCCTAGTTTAGCCTTTTCGATTATCATTTGATTGCCAGATGTGAGGAGTCATTAGGGGGAGACAGAAGTTCCCTACCAAGACGACGAAACATGTATTGAGGCCAAAATAATTTTAATAATACTTCACAAAATTAGCGTATTGGTGTTGGTACACACATTTAAAAGAAAAATTAAACAAAAATATTTCCCCCGCTTTAAGTCAAAAAGTCAATATTTAGTAAAATTATTTAGATTTTGTGTAAAGTGTAAACAACTATACACGTGTCTATATTTTGAAAGATTAACCTATTTGAGTTTTTTCAGAGGTATATTAAGTTCTAAAACACAAATGGTAACTTATACTGATAGACATAAACCTATCTTATAGGTAGCACTTAGTCATTAGTTTTATCAAAATATTATAATTATTTGGTACCTAACGACTGTTTAATAATATTGACGTGTAAAGAGGAAAGTTTATGGATACTCACCATGAACATATATTAAGTATGGTTAAGAAAAAAGCTGATTAAGAAATTAAGATATTAGGAAATTATGGCCAATTTTTTTGTCAGAAAAATAGTTTTAATACCAGTTCGTTAAAATGATTTAAACTTTTAAGATGATTACAACGCAAAGTAAATGTTCAATTTAGTTGGTTAGCAATACAAATCTGTGATAATTCCTATAATCTGATACATCATAATAAGAAAATTGTTTGTGATTAACACTATCTAAAATAAATTGTAACAAATTATATTGTCTATTATCATTTTATTAATAGAAAAAATGTCGGTATTTTTCCTCGAAAATATAATTTGTGATTTAATATTAGTAAAACTTAGGTGTTTCATAGTAAAGGCAAAGTTCTTGTTTATATGAAACTAAATTGGTTATCGACTGTAAAATTGTTCAGTAGACTAACAATTATTTTCTTAAGTGACAGACCTTAAAAACCGTAGATGAGCGAGGAAGTTTTATGAAAATCTAATATCTATAACATTGTAAAATAATAAAATTAATAATATTATAACACTACACAGTACACATAATATAGTAGATCCCTATTATAATTTTATAATAAATAATGTAATAAAATAAATACCAAAGTTTCAAAGTAGAAGTGAACTTTATTCTACCGAAATAGTCAAGTGCACACTTATATGAAGTTTAAAATTGTTTTAAGACTACAGAAATGTATATCAATAGGATTGGAAGTATGTATAAGTATAAATATTGTATATTTTATTATTTACCTTGTACTTTGCCGAACACTTCAAATTCGACCGAGACGTATGAATGACCTGCGTCTTCCTGATGGTCCATGGTTCATGCCAAATCGCATACTAAGCGCAGTGCAGTCTAACACTTATTTTTTCTCGCACAGATTCTATTTTTGATAACCGTTCTATATTGAGCAACGCAGATGTTTACCGGCCGTCAGTCAATATTACACATTGTCAACGTCACCTTGGGCTATCTACCCTAGGATTACCTAACTTGGACCAAACGCCATAAGTCATAGTAAATCCATAACGGCTTCAAAGTAAAATTGGTTGTAATGGTGAATTGTACGGTTAGATGTACGAGTTTCCTAGATATTTCCATAATATGTCGATTAGAAAATTCTGTGCCAGAATCGAATGTCACAAAAAAAAAACAACGAAGACGGAAATTATTATTATTGACATTCATACTTCTGCCAAACTTCTGGTTTTGACGAAGGGAATAAAAACATATTTCAATTACAAAACAAAAGCCGAATTAACCTTGTGTCAGTAGCGTGTGTTAGAGAAAAGGAACTCGTTAATTTATTAATGGCATAATGGTACTGAATATAGACAGTTTTAAATCAACTTGTGTGCATATTTAAATTGTTTAGATACCTACACATATAGTATGTCCTATGGATATCATTTATTAACACCTAAAATAGACGTAAGGACCTTTTAAAATGACGCGCAACTTGGCAGGAAATAATGTCAGTTCATTCAAGTGCATATTAAAGTATTTTAAACAGTAATTTTCGATACTTAGCACGATGCCAAATGTTTAACCATTTGTTTACTCAATAATGAATACGATATTAGTAAAATATATAAATCTATCATACACTGTATAGAATATTTTATCTTTCCACGTGCAGTTATAATTTCATAATTTATGGGTTAATTTATAAATGAACTATATTACGTCTTGAGGTCGGTATATTCTTTAATCCCGTCTCCGTGTGTGTTAAATAAGCACAATAATTATGAAATTTAACGATATTTTCACATTCCAATATATATATTTGTAATACCTATATTAGTATACAATACTTATAAAACCATGCTAAAAAAATCCACTTAATATTCACTGCAGGTTTTATGTTTCAAACCTGGAGTATTCACATTTTGGGTGCATTCAAAGTTTGATGGTACCATTTACCAACGACTGTAGCCTCAGGTTGCGCCGGTTTCTTTAACCGTTATGCTAAGGATAAAGGATTATTTGGTACCACATTTGGAAAATTATAATATTATTATGCAGTGACTATTAATATATGTAATCATTTACATGTACCAGCGTACTTGTATAACATTACAAACCGGTGCGATGGACGAAATAATATTTTCTGCTTGTGATTCTACCTACTCACCCGTTCATCCTGTATTGGATAAAAGCATAAGCAATTTGTTGCGGGACAAATTTATTAATTCGCGGCCATTGTTCTTTAATTGTCAACCGCTAACAAGTGTGTGGGACCTATTTCCATCCCAAGGGTTAAAACAGCTAACAACAAAACGGACGTTGAGGAACACACTCGACTGGAAGTATAATTTACGCGACATCCTCTACAAGTATTAATTGTAATATTTTATTTCCTATTCAGGCGAAAGTCGGCGTTTACAAATCAAAAATCAAACATTGTACTACACAGTCGTCAGTCATAATGACATAATTGTTTTACCGGAAGTGGCGATTAAAACATAATGAATTTTGTTTAATTTCGACACAAGTGATAATATTAAATGTAAAAAAGGAGGTAATTGAAGACATTTCAAAGAGGAACTTGTGTGTGCTATAGTGTAAGTGAATGATGGGTTAAAATAAATTGAAATCCAAAATTAATATAAATAGAGTTTTCTACAAAATTTTGTTATTTTGTAATGAAATTTGATTCAATTAAAAAAAAAAAGTAATAATACATTTTTTTTATACATAAATTGTATGCGGTGTGAATACCAAAACAATATTTTAATTTCATTTTTAGGTACTGTATTTGATTAAAGTTTTAAGGTTTATTGCCTCTTATTCAATTTCTTTTAGGTTACTAAATATATAATTGTTGTAAAATGTTATTTAAAGTTTATTCTATAATATACTGGTTAATTTTCGTAAATAATACGTTTTTCGAGAAACAATAAAACGAAATGGATTGGAACTAAAATGTTTATTTTAAAACCATCTTAATATTAACAACAACATTCTATTTAAAATCACATACATATAGCTACTACTAATTAACACTACCTTATATTCGAACTAAATTTTAATTATTTACAAAAAGACATTTGAATAAGGTATCTATGTACAGAGTAGTTTACTAAACAAGAGTTAACGTTTGTGTTTGCAAAACTCGAGAGAATTATTTAGAGTTACTTCACAAAACCTAAGGAAAATATCATTGCCAACAAAATTTAAACAATTAATCGACAATTAGTACAAAATGTTAACCCCTGTCAATCTTTATTCATTATGACTTGTTATTTTTACTAATTTTTTTTAAATTAAAAAATAATTAATTGATTAGTTTAACATTTACTTAAGATTAGTAACTGTTAAGGTTTTAACATTTTTATTAACGTTTAAAAACATAGGTGGGATGAATATTGCGCGGGTGAATAGGTAGTCCTTACTTCGTACACTTATATTCCAAGACGCTTGAAACTAATAAATTATAAGTAATTACTATTAAAAATCGCGTATTAAACTTATAAGGAATAATTAAGTGGTAGGCTACAATTTGTAAATAAAAAAAAAATGTTAAGTGGAGCCAAGCGCGTTGTGACATTCTAAATGACCTGAAATAATTTCCATAAGTATAGCGCCTAAAAAAAACTAAACGTTAAATCTTCTAAGATGACCGGTCGTCCGTGTTTAGTATATTGTACACAACCCTGTACATTAATACATATTTATAAAAAAAACAATAGATATATATATATTTATATAATAAATACAGTATAAGGTAACGAATAATAATTTATTTACATGATTTTTAGTTGTAGGTATACCGTCAGCGATTTCGGAGTGCCTATAGAGTAGAAAAAAAAATTCTATGGCAAGGCATTTCAGGAACAATATTACGGTGTATAAAATAATAATATACAGTCGTTCTTTTGAAACTGTTTTCGTACCATCCGAAAAGCACAAACTTAATGAGCGTATACTGCTGCAGTTAATTAACTATCTCGTGTCAGACTATTTTGTTGTTGTTTGGTAGAGTGTCCTCAGCCTCGTCGCCGTTCATTTTGCTGGTAATAACGCCGCCATTTTCATTTGTTGTCGACGACGACAGGAGTTTGCCGGTCACGGTTTCCGTGGTTTCATCGGTTGGCTGTACCTTGATTTGTATCATTTCTTTGCCTTCTTGCTCAGCGTTTCGGGTTTTTTTTCTTTTTCTTTTCTAAAATACAACAGAAACTTGTTATTGGTCGTCGTCCGAATAATCGGCACCAGAGGCGGATTTAAAGAGTATCCGCCCAAATGGAAAATTAGATTTGCCTCGCAATAAATAACTTAATGTATCAATGATTCTACAAAAAAAAAAAGCTTCACCGAAAAAATGTGTAGGCCATCATAAATATTACCTTTCATAAATTCATCTTAAGAGGATTCAACCAACTCGTAATTTGGGATAGAACTAAATTCACCAAATTTGTATAAAAAATCTATGATCCAAGAGTGAGAATTGTTTAATAGCTCAAATCATTTTTTTTCTGTACATTTTTTAAGATGTTTTCTGTGTTTTTCAATTAACTTTTAAAAGTTAGTGTATCGAGAAATCGAAAATTTAAAAATGTTTAAGTTCAGATAATATTCTCCTCCATATGCTGTGAAAATTCGGTGATTTTTTAATAATTCTTAGACATTTTGGGTTTACTCCCGCAAATAACTGTAATGACAGATTTTTAGCTTCGAATCAGAGCTGAGAAAGTATTGTTTTAACAATGACGTGTTTTTATTTATTTTTGTTATTTTTAATTTTTGTGTTTGGACTCTAGACCCATGATATCTTCTAAATCGCTGAGCCGACTTCTTCGTGTAGCAACTTTATAAATCAGAAATCGTACCTGAAAGGTATTTTGATAATTATTATAGATAGTCGGTCGACCTTATTGTATTCGCTCTTATACTAAAAATTTCATTTTTTAGCATGATATATAATTACAATGCTTTTATCAATATTTGTGATTCTACTATTACAGATTCGCATCGAAGCTTCTATTTGAAAGTGATTTTATCACTTTTAGTGGTTATAATTTATATAGACCTCTGGCCTACTCCGACCCAACTGTACTGTTTATTTAAAATTGGCCATAATATAGTTTTTTTTGTAAATATTGTATGCCAGATTTGGGAAACGTTAAATAAGATAAGAATATTTATTTTTTAGTACTTGTTTGTAACTCAATAAATAAACAAATATTTATTTATTTATTATTTTTAGATGCAAATTTGTCTCAGATAATTTATTTTTATAAATTTCCCAAGGTACCTACGTAAATAATTTTGAAACTTGACCATTTTTTCGGCTTTAAACAACAAAAAGTTGGGTAAGATATAAGTATGGGTTTAAAAATCTGTTGTAATTAAGGTTTAAACCAATTTTTTGGAGTATTCAACGTATTTAATTGGGCGCATTAACTTCAAGAAATACTAAACTACTCACTTGTACTAAAAGTCTGAAGTAGTAACACGGGAAATCAACGCATTGAGTGCCATCCTCTTCAGCGTCCATGTAAACGCCTCGAACCAATATAGAGTTGGAAGAATTTAAGGCAACTAAAATTGCAAAACACGCTATGTGAGATATCCAATAACTGGTCATTGGGGCATCTGAAAAAAATTATAAAACGAAAGATAGCGAAAGCCTTTAGGATAGGCAGGGCTTAAAGTGGGAAAAAATTACAGGGGGGACTAATGTCTCCATATAGTTTTAAGCGTTCCATATATAATTTTATGTATAATGCATACAGTATATGTAATATAGAAACAGTGATTGTGTAACATACTCATCCCACTTTTATCCCTGAATAATGTTCAAATTTGTAATTTATTTCATAAAAAAATGTAAACTACAAATAATACAACATTTTTTAAGAATAACTCGTGCTTTATACAAATTTAACATTTTGAAAGAGAATATTTTTTCTTTTAATATTAAGTTGTAAGTAGTGGTTGTCTTTTAAGAAAACTAAAAAAATCACCCAGACAAAAAATATATAAATCATAAAAATGTAATGTTTTTAGTGCTTTAAATTGTACAAGAAAAAATTCAAATTCTATGCATGATCGGGTGAGTATGCTTAAAAAAATCACACATTCACACTTTACCTATATATATATATATATATATATATATATATATATATGTTATCACTTATGGGTTAATCGAATACCTATTTATCACTGTATAGCCACTTACAATAACTAATAAAATCAATTATTTTTACACATATATTAGATAGTCCATTATTTGTATTAAATACATTTGATAAAAGTAAAGTAACAATTGATAAAAAAATAAAAACCAAGATTTAATCTCAACGGAATTCTGAATTATATTGACTAATGTTTGGTTATAATTGGAGCGGTACAGTGTACCTTACGAATAATTTGTTAAAGGGGACGCTTTTTAACCACCATTAGAGGTAGAGGGACTGAGTCCCCCTGCGTCCCCCCCCCCTCACTTTAACCCATGAGGATAGGTTAGAGTTATATATTTATAGTCGGTTATTAACGAAGTCATATTGCAATATATTATATAATATATACACAAGGGAATCAATATCCAATAATGCTTAAACTAGCATTTCGATTATGATATTGAGTGATTATTATTAATTGAAAACATTGTCAACACTATACGAGTGTGCTTAGATTTTCTATGTTTTGACCGTAAGAATGTATAAAGAATAATTCCACCGTTGTTCAGAATTTTCTCCTAAAGGAACACCTAAATATTTCAAGATTCGCTAAAATTAGCCAGTAACCCGATATCAGAATTTAGACTAATATTTAGGATTGTCTATAATGCCAGAAAAGTGTTTATTTTATTTTTAAGTAATTACCTGGAAGAAAGTACACATCCAACATAGTCCATATTCCTCGCCACACATTAACTGCTCCGAAAAACGAAAACAACAAGTAAGTGTCCACAATGAACATTCGCTTGATACCTCTGACTTTTTTAACTATACTTTTTACTGTGGGTTGTAAGGCGAATGCTATTAGTACTACGCCGTATCCTATGGCCTGTAAATCATTTTATATTGTTAATAATTTCATGTGTCCAGTAAATAATTACATTTTAAGCCTAGATGTGTTGTGTTTGGCTTATTTGTAAGATAGTGCATGTCTCCGCCGCACTCAAATCGCAATAATATTGAAAATTGAAGTGTAAAGTCGTCATAATTTTATAACACAGTAACCATAAAGTGACATGTTTTTATTATCACGAAGTTCTGAAGACTTTATAAATATATTATACTAAAAAGTGTATCTGCATGATTAAATAATTTAGACAACCCTTGCCCTTGCTTCCCATAAAGGACTATAGTGATTTTATATACGGTTTGTATTCGTATTTCGTTCAACAAATGGATGTTTTTTTTTGTCCACTTAAATCTTAATTAACAAGAAGGATGTGCACACTCGTAGCGGTCAATCGACTTATACGTAATTACTTAAATAGATCTCAAGAGGTTACTTGGATAGCAGCGTAGGGTTGGCATAAAATATGCCCCCCAGGGTCCTTCTAAGTTAGATTTCTTATTGATACTAATTCATTTAAAATGATTCAGTTCCGGTTTGCGACTGTAAGCGGTGTCGTTCAAAAGTATTCGATATATTTAGTTAACTGATTTCTTGGGTACATTTATTAACCGCTAGTGTACCGCACACGTGTGGGCCATTCGAATAAGTCTACAAGTGTGGTCAAACGCAATACGGAAAAAGCCAATTATCATAATTATTCGGAAGATGGCGGTAAGAAAATGAGCCAAAACAATTTATCTGTTAAACAATAAAGCTTTTTTTATAATAAGAATGTGTTTGCGTAGGAGCATGGCAAATTGCCGAAAATTCGTTACACAGTCATATAATAGGCGAATTAGTTTGCGTTGGCAATTTTCGTAGAGTAGATCTCTTTTCAAAGCAATTCCATTGCTTTTTCGTGTCGACCCACTATAACGTATGTATTTATAACATATGAAAAAAAAAAACTTCTAAACGGGTGCTTTCCCACTTTTTTCTTTACAGGTCAAAACTCGTATGCCGATCAATCAATGGATAAACTAATTGGACAATCTCAGAGACCGTTTGTTGAAAAACACAAAAAATAACGTACGTCTGTTACTATATTAAAAGCAAACCTAGGCGCATCAGGCAAGTAAAGTGCAACTGTGTAAGCCAAAAAAATGTGTTAATAGGTCTATGGTATAAGCAGAACTTTATTTTCACATAAGAATGGGCATTGGACCCATAACTCATAAGATTATTACCAAAATTAAGAGACCAAAAGAGGGGTTTCATCTTCTCAATGAGGAAAATATAGTTTTATAGTTATACAATGATATAAAGCTACTACAACCCACAATAACAATACAATTGTTCGTGGTATAATATATCAATTTGGAGTTTTGTGGGTTAAAAAATAAACTATCAGGTTTTCTTTTGTTCCCCTTTCCATAAAATTATCGATACCCACTTAAATGTATTGTACTATTTACTTTTCGTTAATTTTGAGGAGCTAAAAAAGGCATGTATTTAAATTTAATTTTTTTTAAATGTTGTACATACACAATTGACAATCCGACTATGGGTAAACAAACTTTATTTATTATTTCACCATTTTTAATTTAATAAATTACGTATTAAGTATATAAAATTGTCCATAATGAAATTACCTATCTTAAACGCCATTTAGTATATATGCAACAATTTTGAAAAGTCACTTTTTCATATAATAAACAAAATAAGGATTTATTTTCAAATTTTGTGAGCCGCCATTAAATATCCCACTAGGCCGGGGCATATCCGATCCACTCTGTATTATGTAAACTATAATTATTAATTATACACACCAGTGATAGCCAAGCTGATATATCTTGCATGTCTGGATATAAGTATTCATCCATGATATTCCAAACGCCTCGCCATACGATCACTACAAGTGAACCAATAATGCACACGCTAAAAAAACTATCTAGTACGTACAAAAACGATCCCGTACCCCTCTGCGAACAAAAACAAAAAATACACAATTATATGGTTAACAATTTATTATTGTGGTTTAGAAATAAATTTAACTAAATCTAATACTACAAAATAAAACGCGTTAAAACAAACAGTTATTTAATATTTGCCAATGAAGTTTATATTCTTCGGCTGATTAGATAATATACAATTTTAAGTTTTCAGTTTGGAGCCAGCTGGCCTTAATAACCACGTGCAGCTGTTGTCCAAATTCTACACTACTATTAAGGATTTTGACGGTCGACATAGACCGGGTCGGCGGGGTATTTTTAATCGTCTCTAGACAAATCGTTTGACTTTTCGCAAACGGATGATAAATGATGGGACCTATGATTCTACTGCTTACCTAACTAACACACAATACAAAGTTTTAATAGACGGGGGAAGCGTAAACACTGAAGAATGCTGATTTACACACTCGACGACTTTTACATAGCTACTTACTCGACAAGGTACATAGTTTTTACACTAAAAAAACTACTCACATGCTTAACACATGTACTTGCTCACTTACTCACATGCATCATAAGCTTTTAAACACAAATGTATAGGTATCGTTATGACGTTTTGTACTTATAGTTGTTATGCAATTGCCGCTAACGCAGTTAAAATACATATATATTTTTATAAATTCACCATGAAAATTACCTCACCACGTAAATATTGAATTTTTTTAATGTGAACAATCTCAATAATACATCAATATTGAGGTAACAAATAGGTATTAAAAGTGTTTATTTTAATATTTTTTATTGTATTTAATAAAATGTGTTACAGCAGATATTACCTAATATGTTTACTCTAAATTTGAAGTACGTTGTTATTGCAATACTTTATTTAATATCGGACTATCACAATGAAGAAAAAATTATAATTGGGGAAAGTATTATACCTACTAATCTACCTGTGAAGGTAATTTCAAACAGGCCATTCTAAAATAATATTTATCAATTTATTACCTTGACTTACAATGTCATTTATGACAGTTTTCGTCAGTTTAGCTTATCATTTAAGTATAGTTTAGCTTTTAATTGTAGCATTACATAACCTTTTATCGCTTATTTTCTTAACTAAGCTTGTGAAAACGGTGATATGAGTTTTACTAGGTTTTTTGTTCGTATTTTTAGCTACAATGTAGAACCGAGTTGGTAACTTTTTCCTGTGACTCGATTCACATAAGTAATGTGTTTATCAATCCGAAATCGAATGAGGTTGGTACTTTGGTGAGGAAATATTGAAGACGGTATCTGATTTATTCATGTGTCTAAAGTTTAGCATACAGAAAACGTATGAATCGTATACCTACCATCTTTGCCCCTACCGCTTTCCGAACATGAGGTGAAGGATAAGGACGATCGATAAATGAAGATAATAATTTTTTATTAGGTTATATTAAAATGTCTCAAAAATATAAATTATAAAACAGGGTTTCGGACTCCGGATAAAGTTAAGGGCAAAATTCACATTTTGATCTCCAAATAAAAATATCCCTGAAATAAGCAATGAGTTTTCCTGAATCAAATCATTGACACGTGTATAAAATGAAAAAATCATTATAAAAGTATACAATTTTAAGCACATAATTTTTTTAACATTATTTTAATCATTGTTTAACATGTATTTAACAAGTACACTTTGAAACGTTTTTTTAAGAGTGATAATTCCCACAGTCCTTTGACTATACAGACCTCACTATATTAGAATTTTTGTATTAACTACCTCGTCAGACTATTAATAAACTACAAATAATCGGTTATTTTTCAAATAAATACTTACGTTTAAGTTCAAAGATTAAATTGTTTCATAATTAAGTCATAACACACATATTACGTCTCAAACATATTTTAAACTGTGTTGTTCTAAAAAAATGATTAAATTAAATTAAACATATATTATGTTCATTATAATGATCCAAAATCCTGTTTCGGTTACTAAATATCTAAATTTTTGAACTTCATAAAATCTGGATTATCGTCATCACTAATATACAAGTCTACATGTTATAATATACTTCAAAGACTAGGCTCAAAAGAGAGATATTTTGATATTTTATAGGTTTTTGACTAGTCTGATAGGTTTATTTCTAAATAGTAAAACAAACTCGGAAGTTATATTATTTTGAAATTATACCTTTTTGAGTTACATATTGAAGACAAAAAATAAACAGCAATTAAAATAAATATATATTGAAAAATTATTTGCATCCAATTTTAAGCTTTGTTTCTGTTTTTTCTATCAATTAGTTACTTTTTAAGTGTTTTTAAGATATATTTTGCAATGGCGAATTTTATACAACTATAGCATATTATTTTGTATTCGTATTAACTAACCTATTATTAATCCAAAAAGAAACCTGTGCAACACTTGCAGTTGTATAATATATAACTAAATAACAATAAAATATTTCAAAACATCCTTTACCACAAAAAATAATACACTTCAGCGTATACGCATATTTTTTCGGTAGAAATGCTATTATCATCAGCACTCCCAACAGATTGAGTCTGATTTATAATAAATTATTATTAATTAGTATTATTATTATTATTATAGTTATTATTATGAAAGTTCTATAGTAAATATAAAAACAGTTATATCTTAAAAATTAAAATATGAGTCACTGAGACATAAATAAATATAATTGTATTACAATCGATTAAAAAAAAATAAAAAATTGCTTAAATTGAGATATTGTAAGAAATATATGCAATTATGAATATTACTAAGTAATAAGTATACGGGTGTTAATAGTATGAACAACTTTTTAAGTACTTTGATAATATATTAGAACGTTCCAATTATGATACATAATGTAAGAAATATCTGATATTAAATTTATCTTTTGAATAATTCCCATTCGTTACTATCTAGCATTGGAAACCTAGTATAAACTATACTAATAATTATCATGATGTTTTAAATTTTTATTGCCGACTAATAGAATTATGCAATGAGTGTTTAATGTACAGTTTTCTTTTATCCGCAGCTACTTCTTAGATTGTTAACTGTGGTCTGATCTCATTTTTAAATTCGATAAAACTAACCAAACATTAACGAACTAACAAAATTATACTATGAAATTCCATTGTAGAGCTTGAAAACTTAGAACAAAAAAGACCTAAGTTTTCCATTTTTATGGTTATTTTGACTTTTGTCGAATAATTTTTTCTTTCATTCTATCGATTACTACATTAAGGTTATGGAAAAGTAAACCGAAACCATCTTACTTGGCCTCGTAAGCGAAACAACGTGGGCACCTCGAAGTACCCGTGGTAGTGATCGGACAGCGTGGACACCGGTGGCGCGACTACGTTACGGAGGGTGCCCATCGCGATCAGGGTGCCGAAGGCAAGCACCACCGTGGCGGCCACCACGGCCGGGTCGGAGCCTGTAAAAAGGTCCATGGTCTCCCATATGCCGCGCCACGAGTTGATGCACGCGCACCCGAACAGGGCCGTGTAGCTGCGGGTGATCACATAATAGCCGGCCGTGTCTCTCCACGAATGCAGAACGGTGTCGAGTCGGTGCTGGGCTAACGTGAACAGGGTGACACCGAAAAAGCCGATGCACAGGGACGCGACCACGCTGAGTTGCTGGTGTGCCGGCAACAGGTAAATGTCGAATAGCGCCCACGTGACCCGCCAGTACACGATGACGGCGGGTGTTATGACAGCCGCGCATAGGGCGAAATCCAACACCACGAGTTTCGAATGGGCGTCGCTGACGACCTCACGCCGCAGCGACGGCACCGACAACGACGTCTTCATTTAGGCAAGACCGCGGGCCGGGTTATTATCCTACGGCCATGGCGGTGACCAGGTTGGCTTGTACTACGGGCCTTTGCTCGAGCCGGATATGTTCGTTGTAGACACGCGTGCCCAAGTAATGCGGAACGCGAGCGTGCACGGTAACTGACGCCACGGCTAAATGGAACAATGATTTTCGAGCCTTGTCGCTTTATCACCCGCGCACATCATTACGGTAGTCGTTATTGTGATGTGGATCCCCCTTCCCACCAATTACCCCCCAACTACACCCACCACCCAAAAATCGTAGCTCGGTAGACGGTCGTGCCTTTGACTGTCCCCTCCCTGCTGCTTGTCCAGAGTTTTATCTATATATGTTCAATCTCGAACTTACAATCCCATAGAAATCGACGCACATGGGCCGTTAACGAAAGCGCGTCACTTACAGCTGCGTTGCCTTAGTACAGTCATGTTCCTTCCGACTGTCGTTATCGGTGCCCCGTTTCGGGATGTAACGGTTGTTTGTTCAACATGTTTAGTTTCAGCGGAGCTTGGGACAAGAAACTGTATATTTAAAAGCTCTCCGTGCAACTTTTTATACAACAATTAATAGCCAAGATAATAATTATTTTTTTAAACATAGGCATTCCCTTCGTTTAAATGTTGAATTCTCAGCGTTGTTTATTTTGTCTATTTTGCTTTGACAAAATAACTTTATTCCTTTTCCTAATTTACCTCCACTGTACTATTAGATATCGGGGAAGGCAATTTGGTTCCATATATGTTTGATTACAAAATAAAATTCTTATTTCTTAAATATTATATTCACATGTAGGCTATTTTGTCTTCCTGTCTAATTTCTACCATAGATACTCTCTTAAGAAATTACTACAAACACTATACTGCAGTCGTTTACATTTCTGCGATGGACAAATTTTTCTTCCCTTTTGATTTTTAAGAAGTTTAAGTTATTGTATTTTTGATACAATTGCCCACTACTTTGTGTAATAACTAGGTAATTAAAAAAAATCTCTTTATCTTTAATATTATTAAGGTTATAGAAGTATTGTATATTTGCTTTAAAACAGCTTAAGCAGTCCATGTAGAGTCATTTCTAGCCTCTTTTAGGGAGGAGGTTTCCTGATGCACTGCCTTACCTAACGGTAAAAAAAGAAAAGAACGAAGAGGTCGTGGGTAAGAAATTGCACCGAAGATTGTAAAACTTTCATTTGGCCTTTAATTATCTGTCTCTATATTATTTCAACAATTCCAAAGTCCAGGAAACGATTCAATGAGTTCTATTGATATGTTTTCTGTCCCACACAAAATCACTCATCGTACATTCAAAAGAAAATATTAAACAATACAACTTGAAACAATTACTTATAATAAAAGTTACAATAAAACTTATATAAACAATATCGAAAAAACAACTGTACATGTACAGGTCAATTGTTGATATTTGCCTGCGCTCTATTTACTCTATGTTGAATAGTGTTGAATAGAGTTGAATAGACCTAGACTAAACGTAGAGCTCTAGTTAGAGTTACTCTACGAAAAAAATCTACAGTGTACAAGTACCTTTAGAGTTTAGACTGCAGACTTTTGCATCAGACTATTTTCGCCGGGAAAACGGAGCGGCAGTGACCTAGTATCGAACCGGTGATAACCAACAGGCACCGCCAAACTCACTAATGCCTTATCCACTTGGTCACTCGTCCTTCTATATATCTGATTTAATATTATGTCTAATCAAAAAAATCAATTTATTTTTGTTTTGCACGTAAAACCAAAATGTCGACAATATTTTGTTTTGTATCTCTCAATTAGAGTCCTGTAAGAAACAATTTGATTAATTTTCAAGTGTAAATAATATAACTAAAAATATATGTTTTTATTTTTCAATTTTCGTATCTAGAATAGTAATATTTCTTAAGCCATTGGACCTATTTCTTCATATAGCAAGTCTATAGATCAAAATTCATACCCAAAAGATACTTTAAAAGGTCCAAATTAAAATATTAACAAGGAAACTGAAAAAAAATAAAAACAAGGTTACAAATACAACAACTTGTATAAAATTGTATATTATTCTAGTTGATTTTACTTATTGAGATTTTTGATGAATTTTCATTAATTTCTGATTTATAAAAAAAGTATAAAACGTGGTAGGTAAGTTTAACCTAAAACACTTCTTTCGGAAATAACAGTACTATAATAATAACAATGAAAATTAATAAAATAATTTTAGACTTTTCAATTTTTGAAAATATTTGTTTTTCTTTTATTACAATATTATAGATTTTTTAATAGATCAGTCAAAAATTTCATTAGATTACTCTGAACTTAAAAAGGTAATATCATACATACTATACCATTTGTTTTAAATGCCATTAATGTAATCGCATATTTTCATCGAGTAAACTGCAAAAAATAACCACAATATGCGCCAATGATCACACTGTATGTACGAGTAAATGATAATAAGTAAACAGCTCGAAATTTGTTATTATTTTTTAATGGGCTGATTTGTGCAGGTAAACTTATGTTTATCAGAACATTAAGTAATTATCTGTGTAATTTTTAATGACAACTAACACACACTCATTGATTATTTATTTTTAGTTTATATCTAATTGTGCAATATTATTATATCCAAACACTTCTATTAATCATGTTTAAACTTAATGTGAACGAGATTAAATGATTTATACTCGAGTTATGTATCAAAGAACCTGAGCATATTTGTTCCATATAATTTTATCAGTTAGAATGTTGGAAACTTTATTTTATTGAAGAGATCGTTTTGCGCAATTCACAATTTCATTATTTTATACTTTTACATTTAATTAAATTTAATTGCGTTGTTATTTATAACTAAACAGTTTTTAGAAACATAACTATATTATTGCATTATGAATATATTAGATAGAAAAATATTTAGATATTATGTATTAGTTTGATGCAGCATTTTAAACATCTACTTCGCTATTAAATCATATTAATAATAAATATTTACGTTTAAAAGAACATAATATGACTCCTGTAGTTTGATCCACTTGATTGTGTACAAAACTGAACTCTAAACTGTTTTTAATAAACAGTGTTTAACATTTAACAATATCTATTACAAAATTATATGTGTTAATAATTATCATGGCACTGACGGATATTACCATTGGAGTTATAATGTATATACCTGTTAAAATGTATTTTTTTAATTTGTTTACGATAAGAACAATTGTATATTAGTTCAGTTATTGTAGTTTGTATTCTACCTAAGTCTTATCACAAATCCAATACTCTCTTTAAAATGTAGTATTTAGTGTCTGACGTCTGTATATAATAATTGTATCTATAAAAATATCTTAAAAAATTTAAAAAAAAAGCCTGACTGATTATTAAAATAATACTATTTTTTAAATTTTTTAAACTGCATTATCTCTGTATTTAAATTGCCATCGATTTAATTAAGCCTTTTTAATTACGTACCTAATGAGAGCTTAGCATTGGTGGGACAATTAAAATCAACTATTATATAATGGTACAATAATACATGTATTTAGTATTGTAAGTCTGATAAAACATAATAAATTCTACATTTTTAATTATTCTAATTTAAACTGTCCATTTGATTTAGTCAATAAAATTGTTATGGTGAATCATTTTTATTTTAGGTATAAATCTAGTTTAGACTTACTTGTTTTAATTACAATTACAATAACTACCAGATAACGAACACATACAACTATTCGAATACGAACATTGTATCATTAGTTTAGGGTTCTACTGTATACAGTACTATTTAAAGTTCATATTTATTATCTAAACAAATATAGTACCTAATCCTATATATTTTAACCGTTATCTATATTTGTGTTTTTTATTTACTTTTATTGAGAATGATGCACACGAAGTGTTATCAATAAAAAAAAAAAAAAATATTCGAATGGCGTATTTGACCGGGAGGGCTATAGCTAAATTTATGCCAGTTCGGTCGCCGGAGGGTGCATGGCATTTCTGCCATGCATATCGGGGGTTGATGGTGTGGGTCGCCGCTAAAAATCCGGGTGGTCACCCATCCGAGTTCAAGCAGCAACGGCCACAGCTTAACCTCGAGTGCCATGCGGCAGCTGAGGGGTCCACTGCGTCACACCGCCCCCAGACAACACTATATTGAATATATACAGTAATCTGATTATAAAAGTGCGTAAAACCACCTAATTATTTAGAAGTAAAGTAATTTTTATACAACATTTTTGGATAAAGCTTAACACAAGCATAATTTAAGTTATGGCCTATGGGATATTAAACTTTGGGTTTTATGATAAATAGTTTTTTTTCGTTCTTTTTTCTAGGATTTAAGTCAACTTTTTATGATAACGAAGTTTCATACTTTTTTATTCATAATTTTATTCGAAGTTCAAGTGACAAGTCTTATCGGCAATAACTATTTTTTTAAGAGCTTTGTCTAGGGCGTATTGATTAAGCTGTTTTCCGTTACCTTCCGCATTCGAAGGAATGGGAATGATGATTTTTCCATGTCAATTTGTTTAGCGAAAGAAAATTATTACAGTGACCTAGTTTTGAACTATTATGCAGACTAACTCCCGCGTTAACACTATGGGTCACGTCGTGGAGAGTATGGAATGCATAATCATTGTGAAAACTACATCCCTCCAAAAATTTGACCATATGTTTAATTGATTGGTAAGTACAATATATATATGCATTATATGTTACTGGTAATATTTGTAATTATTCTGTCGTTTGCATAAAATTTCGAATTAAGCAAAATGTTTTTATTGTGTAATTCGCATAAATATATTTCATGATCATTGATCAGTGTAATTGTTACTGTACATCTTATATCTATAAGTGCCTAAGCAGTTATACAATTTAATATTTTAAACATATTGTCTACGCTGAAAAAGTGGCAACAAAATGCTGTAATTGACTAATCACTTATACGTGCAATTTTTTTTTTTTTTTTTAGTTGTGACTGTATGTTTTTTTTGTCTACATATGCATCATATAAGATGGCAAACTTATGCATATTACTGGTATTATATATGTACAGGATTATATAATACAGTAATAAATAACACGATATTGTACTGTGAAATGTTACATGTTAAGTTTGAATACCCCTGTAAATACTGGATGTGTATTAGACCGACAATATTATATTTCAACTTTCAATTAGGCTGAAAGACTTCCATCTGGGTCCTGGAAACGGTCAAACATCCGGGTATAAGCGATGGTCAACACCAAACCACTAGACTGTAATGCATTAGGCATCTCACCCACGGCACTCCATACCGTTAACATGTTGTTTAAATGTTATATTTTACTGGTTTTTTTTTTTTTTTTTGTATGTTATTTACAACATGATTAGGAGGCTCACCTGATCGGACCAAAACATTGTTTCGAACTGAAATATCTCTTCGGGTTTTGGATCGAACTCCAAACCGCAAGCGGGCGGTGGCATGATGATGGCCACCATCCGGAACATGCACAGTATGCCGATTGCGACAAAAGTCACCATGATTTGGGAAATGCTGTGTTCGATATGCACTATCGTTATGTCCAGCAACCATTCCTGATACGTATACACTATCATGCCACTCATGAAATGTGCGTAGATATACGCTCTGGACGTCACCCAAAACAGTAATTTTGAATGACTGGACCTTTTGAAATATTTTACCAAAGGGTCGCTAGTAAAAGACAGCACCTGATAAAAAAAAAAAAATACCGTTATATCAAAACCGAATTAATTGAATAATGAAATTATATCCGATCAGACTTCCTACTTCCTAGTGTTGTAGTTGTCATTTTTTAATCAATATAATCAAGTTTCCGGGTGTACGCTTTATTTTTACATTTCTAGTTGACGTCAGACAAGCCAAACCCTTTTTCGGTGATGGACGATTTTTTCTTACGTTTTTCAGAAACGCGTACGATCATTTAAAACAGCTTATTAACCACTAGGCATATTTTACTTAAACTTTCAACACAGTACACAATTGCGTAATAGTTTAATTGCATTTAGATTTAAGTCGAAATCGTTTTGTATCGTATTCTTAAATCAATTCAGAATTCACCGGTCACACTTTAGACCAACATCTAGAATGTACTAGAAATTAACGAGCACGCATTTTTCAAGCGTTGGTTCATCAAATAATATCACATTATTATGTGTTTGTATAATATTTTGTATATAATTTATAATGCTTTATCACATAATAGTTGAAGTGCGAATTAAGTGGCTTCCAAATAAACGTTGGCTTTATCTGCCTAACCGCATGATTAAAGCAAACGGCTGTTTTGTTAGTTGATCCACACTTCTGTTTATTATATTTCGACATGCTTGGCGCTTACAGTATGTACTATTTTATGAACCAAGGTTTATGAACTACGAAAAACATAACCTTACAAATCAGTTTAACGTTTTATGGCCGCGTTCGTTGTTGAAAATCACACGCGTAGTCTTCTGAGCGATAATAAAATACTTGAGAAAAATTAACGACCATTTTATTTTAAACCGAACAAAACCTAACCATTCAATTGAAAAAAATACCTAAGGTTAGTAGCAATGATAAAAATGATAATAACAACAACAACAGTACCGTAGAATGTCTGGGTGGGGTAGTTCGTATGCGGAATAGTTGGTACTTACCAACTGGATGATAATGCACAAGCCAAGAGCTAACCAGGGGTTGACTGTGTCATGATAGTGGGAGAAGAGTTCGTAGGAACCTCGCCAGATGCCGATGACAAAAGTGGACACGACGAAAACGTGCAGGAACACGTCGATAACGGTAAGTGTTCGATAACGCCACAGTTGGTCGCGGTCCGCGAACGATCGTCCATGGTTGGACTGGTCGGTCGGTCGCGCGACGATGGACATTCAAAGACGACGGCGACGGTTGCGATTGGATCGAGCCAGTTACGATGGCGTACAACGTTAAAGTAGTGGATGACGACGTGCCACAAACAACAGTACCTGATCCGCGTGCCATAACACGCGCCGATTGCACACCGTTCACGCGGTGTCGGTGTTTCGATGAGTTTTATCTTATTATAATCTTATCGCAATTAAAAAGACACTACTGCCGTAAGCGGGATACGAGCACTGCCAACAGCCACACGTGCATTTGATAGTGGGGATTAGGAGGGGGAAATGGGCTAGAGGATAATTTGTTTGAATGCAATTATTTTGAAATAATTAATTGTGACGATGAACACTTTAAAGATTAAGGTTAAATAGATTAAAGCATATGAACAGGAAACGATCGTGTATGTTTTTTCTGCACGTACCACTTCAAAGTAATGCTTTTAGAAAAGTAATTATCTATACCAACCTTACCAGTTTTTACAATAAAACATAGTTGAAAACTTTTATAACTCTATTTGTTATTCATCAAGTAGTATCAGGTTCATCAGGTAAGAGATCTATTATAAAAACGGATGTTCCAAATCAACAACTATCAATTAGAAATAGTGTTGATTTAATATTGATATTCAGCAACGTTATTAAATTTACTTGTATCCATGAATGGGAATGCATAAAAAACTTTTAACGATACAAACAAAAATGTATCAAATAATTATTTATTTACGGATCATTTATCAAATAAAAAAAGTTAATACATTAATAATTAATGAAACGTAAATGAGTTAACGTACATAATATTAACTAATATTTCTATTACTTTTAATATTGTATACTACCTATATATTATACCTACAATATAAATTTCAAAAAAAATACATTAACAATTTATTAAAATTCATATTTCAGAATTATTTATCAAGTAAAGTGAATCAAGTATCATTTAATATTGATACATGTATCAAAGTTTAAAAGGATTTTTGATCTTGATGAACGTATATATAATATATACATTTTAATGTATATGTTGCGTTTGTGTATTATTATTATTGTTGTTATTATTATTATGGTTAAAACCGGTTGTTGTAGTGTTGAGTCCCTCCGCGGACCATGTATATAAATTAGTCGTCGTTTCGCGCCGTAACCGCCCGGTTGTATTTAAATTACAATAAATGCAATTTAACCGTAAGCGAAATTTTGTTTTACAATAAAAGAATTACAGTCCACCCGCGATGGGTTCAAGGTCCCGTACAATATATATTGTAAGTAGACAAAAAAATATCAGTCTGCCCTCTTTTTTATCTTTTTAATTCCCATAATCTTATCGTCAAACTGTAAGCATATTTAAATGTTTCAGTATCACATTATTATAGGAACAAACAAATATTTAATAGATTTAGGTATGTATTTCAAACGTACGCACGAGTTTTACCTACCTCTTCGGCAACAGTTTTAATTTTGGAACTCACAAGTAAAGTAATTTGTGTAAGATTGTAAAACATAAGAAAATATGATTATGATGTTCAATCAGATCTATCTATACATTATCATTGTTGACGTATTTTTAAGAATTATTTGAAAATCCACATAATGTTTTCATTGTTTTTAAAATTTAAGTTATAAAATTAAAATGTAATACAACAAAACTGCTATTTAAGTTAAGAATACAAATTATTCCCGCGATCCCTTTCAAATTTTTTTATCAATACACCTAACAAATTATTATTAGATTTTGAATAATGATATGATTTTTTTAACTAATCACTACTGAGCAAAAGTTAGTTAAAATAACTAATTTGGAACATTACACATCTCGTTTAAGTAAACAATTTGTAGGATAATTAATCATTCTTATTATGAAACACTGTATAGTATAATAATGTCTGTCTGTAATAACTATTATTTGTTGTCGTTGTTTCCCATGTATTAACAACATAATGCAAATATTTTTTAGATTCATGTTGACCATTGGCTAGTGCACTCACAATATATAATAGTTAATACACAATAAATATTAGTAATAATTATAATCACTTAGTAAATCCAATTAAAGAAAGACTACATAAATGGATTAGAGTTCGTTAAAAAAATTGTTAAGTGTTAAATTGGAACGTGCTCCGTTGTGTGTGAATTTTTGAAAACGCTCTTTCACCACGTGAGCTGCCATTTTTGGTTGTCTCTCTCTTGTGAATAAGCCTTTGACGCATAAGCCAGGTCTTATGTACTCTTTAAAAAAATAATTTACACAAATTAAAAATGGAATTCACATGCTAGGTAATGGTGATGACACGGTATTTGTGTACAATATATACATACCTTGGGGGGTTTTGAAGTCGGCGAAATTCCATATCATTTCTCCGAGCAACGGAATGCCGTTAGCTATTAGTAAGTCAAACGTATCGAAATTTTTTTGAAGCAACAGCACGTGATATTCTTCACTCCACATAGTTTCCGGAAGCTTAAATTAAAATAAGATCAAACAATAGGTACTAGTTATTTCCTTAGGATATAAATTAAAACATAAAATATAATAATAGGACCATTATTTCGGTGTCAGAAAGATAAAATATCAGATATGCAAACACCGGGTGTATATTATTGTGTAATATGAAATACCATGCATATGTGGCAAGTCATACGTTGGACAAACTGAAAGAGCGATAGAGATCTGGATAAAATAAGACAAACGGGATGTCAACAAATCTGCAATAGCCGAACATTCAGAAAACAACGGACATACCATTCAAAGTAAAACTACTAAACAAAGAAGCGACGTTCGGAAAAAATATGTTCTAAGAAGCAATAGAAATTAAAAAAATGGCCGCAAAATTTCAATAGAGAAGATAGTTAGAAAATTAGCAATATATGGAAACCAACATTTTAATAGGAAAGAAGAAAGAAAAAAATTGAACTAAACGGTGACTATCGCGTCGAAGATGGACTGCATTGACTCTGAAATGTCAGCATAAAAGTGAAGACATCCGAAAATTATCCACATAATATTTCAATCCATGAAAACTTTAGTACATTCGAACCAACTTCAACTTTATAAAGGGTGATCAATTTAACGTATTTTTCTCATAAAATAATTGCAATTTTGTGTTTTTTTTTTTGAAACCATTTTTGTTTATGTTATTATACAGTACTGTAAAATTGCTAAATGTTTACCTTTTTGACATGGATATGTCTTATGGCTGGAGGTCATTCTCTTTATCGAGGAATTATGGAGGGTCATTCTGAAAATAAAGTTAAGAGTATCCACACTTCATGCAGATACATCAAGTTGCAGGATATAGAAGGACATAACGATATATATAAAGGTAGGCAAATTAATTTGTTAGGTAGGCACTTACTTACTGGCCAACCACGGAACTTGATTTATGAGAAGTGTTAAATATTGATGAATGTTGCCAGTAAATCGATTAAGGCCAGATATTTAAAAACTACTAAAAAACGTATGTACATATCCATGTACTGATGTATCTGCATGAAGTGTGGATACTCTTAACTAAGTTTACTCAGTTTTCTTGAAACCGTTTTTAAAAAAATATTTTCCAGAGCTCTATAAACTTTTGAAACTTAAATAGTAATGTAAGATTTAATTAACTCTTTAGATTAAGAAAAATTTTCTAAAAATGTTGACTGGTTTATTGGTTTATTACTTTTAAAGCAATTATAGTTTTGAATTTAGGACGCGAGAATGTAGTATTATTTTTATCTGCACTCATTACTCTACCTAACTTCACCTCCAGTTCTAAAATTTAAACATTAGTAAGTAATAATTTTAAAAGTAATTATCCAAAACTGGTTATCGACTAATCGATATTTTCAACAAATCATGCTTAATCCAAAATGTTAACTAAATATAAACGTTACCCTTTTAAGATGGAAGAGCCTTGAAAAAGTAAAAATTGAAAAATTGTTTAATATTATAAAATAACATAAATAAAAGTGTCCTCAAAAAGAAAAACTGAAACATTGCAATTATTTTAAGATAAAAGGAGTGCCTATCGTTAAATTGATCACTTTGTATATAACATTTATACCGAGTGTAGTCCCGATAACGAACCAGCTCCGTATTCGGTCATTAATACTGGCTTTCCGTATTTCAAACTCCACGCTTCTAATTCTTTGTACGTTTGGTACGGTATGAGTTCCAAATGTCCTGAATCGCTGTACCAACTACTGTATCGGTTCACCGTTAAGACGTCCATATATTCAATCTATAATACAATAAAACAAATTTTTAAAATTTTAAACGTTAAATTCTGGTAAATAAGTAATAAGTGATATGTAATAATATACACTAATAAATTAGATACCTAGTAAAGTTATTATAATTTTAATTTACATTAATAGTTGTAACATTTTGTAACGTTATATATTTTATGTTCTTTTTGGGCAATGGTGCGGCAAGAAAACATTTTTGACTTTGATATTGTTTTATGTTTTTGTACATGACAGTAAATTTCCTTTAATGTTGGAAGTTAACAACAGTGTTTTTGGCAATGTCTTTGGAATAAATCTATACTTACACCTTTTGCTCTTTGAATCGGCTGACTGTTAACGAACGTTATAGGTCTTGTTGGATCCATTAAACGAACATGCTGATAGAGAGTCCTTAAAAAAAAATAGTTTTAAATTTGTTTGTTGTCATAATGTTAGTGAAGTGCGAAGTAATATTTTAATTATAAATCGTCATTGTCAGTATTATTGCTAGGACTAAATCATTTCTATAATGAAGTCTCACTGGAAGTACGATGTCGAAGTATTCACATTGTTGGTGGGTTCGTTTGCTAGAGACCACATAATGACGCTGGGGTGATTCTTGTCGCGGTTGACAATTTCCGTCATGGTTTGCTTGTGAGATTCCAGTAGTTTCGATCCAAACGTGCTGTTAAAACATTTTAATGGTACATAAACAGCAATATTAATTAAACATATTGAATTACACCGTGAAACAAGTAGTGTGGTATGTACGTTATTTGACAAGCAGCACTTTCTACGATCACGAGGATCCCTTCGGCGTCGGCTTGTTGCAATGTCTCTTCGGCGTAAGGATAGTGTGAAGTACGGAACGAATTAGCGCCCAGCCATTTGATCAAATAGAAGTCTCTGGCACTCACCACATCGTTGTATCCTCTGCCCCGTAACTGCAGACATATATAGTTGAGAAATGAGTTGAGAGATTCTACCGAAACCCCGTTAAAATTGTATTAATTATCCACTTGTTTTCATTACAATCGAATCTTCGTGTTTTCCAAAACCCCTCAAGTATAGTGGTTCGCCGTTCAGTAATAACCCTTTGGAGTTCCACTCTAGACTCCGAATACCGATCGGTAGTCGATAAACGTCGGTGTTTTCGACGAGGGTGGTTTTTGCCTTGAACATATTCAAACGAGTCAATACAAATGACGAAGTGCCCACAAATTGACGAGACGACAACAATTTCAACCAACTTCGAATGTGTATAAATATGCTATACGCCTTTTTCCAGACATATAAGGCCACCACGGCGTAGGGTTCGAAATCGTCAGCCGTCCAAAACACAACTCTGAGCTGGCGACCATAGTCCGATTGGAGTCCAAAAGCTTGACCTGACATTTAACGGCATTCCCTCCACAAACGTCGACTTTGAAATCTACAAATCCTAAAAAAAAACCATATCAATTTAGCAATGACTGTGGCTTAAAATCATTCAATATAATATCCATGAAACATTTTTCTTTTAAAATTGGCATAATTTTTTTTCTACAGGATTCTTTAGTAATTAAAATTTGTTTGTATTAGATTATTACAACCTCATTACAGACGTTTTTCTTAAAAAGAGTCTCTCGCTTTCTCATTACGAATTTACCAAAAAATTAGGATAACAAATATTATTTTAGCTTTTAAAAAAATTAAGAACTTAAACTGAATCATGTCGATGAATTTTTTCATGGATTTTTAAAAATCAAGTCTACATTTGAATTTAAAAATATAATTTTATTCATTTTTTTTTTAACTTATGTAAGCCAAAAACTAATTATGAAAGTCGTTTTGAGAATTGCGAAGTTACAATAGATAACTCAAGTAAGATACTTCCCTAGACCCAACTTCGCACGTAAAGCAAGATAATTTGTTAATAATCCTATATGTTGTTATGTATTATAAATAGGAACTATTGAATTTATAACTTAATTTATGTCTTCCCACCCCTTAATGCAATTTTATACATATTATTTATGAAAGCATATATAACTAAAATTTCAACGTTTTGTCATTTAGAAAGCTTTACTTTTTTAAAACATAATTATTATATTTACTAAAATAATTGCTTTACACAATACCTTCTCCATTTGTTCCAAAACTTGTAGTGACGTTAATGTCACAAATGTGAACTCTTGGCGTTGTATATAAATAAACTGCTCTATTTATTCCAGCGTAATCGAAGTAGTCGAAATTATGAGAGTATTTTCTATAACCTTCTGGATACCTAAATTAGTTAACTATACTTTATTAGGTAGCTTACTCGCCAAATGTGAAAAAATAATATTTCTAGTGGGATAGCTAAAGACAAATGTAGTAAGTTTAAATGCAAATTTTTAATAAAACATTAAAAAAGTTTATGTTGTATTCAATTTTGTACAACATAAGCCGCTCAATTATTAAACTTATAGTGGATAATTAAAAAAAAAAATTAATTGGCATTTGTCCCATCAGCTTATTACATTTATCATGAATCATGTTCATAAATATTAATAATTTTAACCGCTTTAATTTTTTTCTTAACTTCAAATAAAGCTATTTAAAAATATCAAAGATAAAATAATATATTATAATATATTTTAAATAAGATACGACGTTACTTATCAGAATTAAAACGGAATCATTGATATTTTTAATACTTTAATGTAACCTGAAATCTAAACAACTATGCTTATAAATCAAACAAATATAGTAGTATTAGATAAGGGTCTTAGATATTTATATTTATTACTTGTATGTATCGTTTGGAAAATTTATAAAGCCTTGCGGTATTGTGTCTAGTCCCAATGTATTGTTTGCTGCAACAACTATTAAATTGAGTTCGCCGTATTTGAGTAAGAATGTAGCATTGCCCGTAAACGGCAAATGGCCACCTTCGTGATCCACACACCACTCGCCATTTAACCACTAAAATATAATTATACAGAATGTCTATCAACAGTATCAATGTGTATAACTTCAGTTATCGACCCTGTAAACGAGACGAATCGAAATCTACAATTTTTTTTCAGAATAGCGACTTAAAAGGTGACATGTGGGTGTTTTCACTTTTCTTTATTTAATTTATTATTTCAATGGTAAATATATCATTACATTTTGAATCATAAGATTTAAACTTATACAATTTAAAAAATCTCTTATATTGACAAGTCACTTTAAATTTATCAAACCTCAAAAGCCTTTTCACGTGTACACTATCATTAAAGAAACTTAATGTCATTTGATATTTTTATTTAGGTATTCATTTTTTATCAAAATAGCATTCTTTAACACCCTTAAAAGTCGGAATTCAAAAGTATCCTCAATAACTTGAATATTCTATTATTAAAAATATACATTGTATTTATGTTTTTGTACTTACAATCATTTTTATAGTATAATCATGACTCTTAAATATTATGTTTGTCTATAAAATGTGATAATTACGGATGTTTACTTACTTATCAGTTATCACATACTTTGAACCTAATAAGTGTAAACATACGTCATGGTTTTTGAGTATAAAAATATTTATCATGTATAAACGTTTATTTGTAAGTAAATAAATCGAACCCATGTTGCGTTGTGTGTGTACATCACAAAATTAATATACACGTTTATCACCTATAACTATAAAGACGTACCACGGTCGAATTGAAATGGACACTTCCAAAACGTATGAAAACGTTAAGTTGATCAGTAGCCCATCTTTTTGGAACGAAAAACTCATGTTGGTACCAAGACCAACCCACATAATCTCTTAAAGTCGCATTGGCTGTTACGTCGTTGTAACTAGACGGTACGGGCATCTTCCAAAAGTCTCCCAACTGTAGGTACAAAATAATTATTGTATGTAATGTATTAATAACTAGATATAAATTAATTGTTTACGACTATAAAACAAGCTTTAGTCAGTTTTATTGTAATAATAAATCAAAATTCTAGTCTTATTTCTCAACTTTATATTAAAATGAATCATATTTTAATCAAGTGGTTCAAGTTACACTTAAAAAAAATGTTTTTGTACAAATAAATATTGGTAGTGTTAGTTAAGATGTTACATTAGTTATGTTATCGATTAAATGAATTAACGGTTCAATTAATACGCTTGTCTTTTAACAGTAAAACAATTAATTTTATCTTTATCAAATACACATATTACATGTCTTTATATAAGTACACTGTGTTCATTAGGGTGGTTAGTAAAACCTTACTTTAGAATTTTGTTTGTAGCAACCCACCCCCCCACCCAATTTTTTTATGATAAAAAAAAATTATTCTGTGAAATTTAAGTTCGATTACTCAACTCCTTCACGTGCCGCATCGGGGTTGAAGTTTAGATAAAAAGCGTCTATAACAGGACGCTTTCTAGCTAAACTTCCACCTCCACAGGGGGGAGGGCATGCTGCAAACAAAATTCTAAAAAAATGTTTAAGATTTTTTTTAATTGCTCTAGAGTTCATATTTATCGATAATATGTGTAAATTAAAAAAACCTTATAAATAAAATAAAATATAAAACTTAGTGAACATAGTTTTCATAATTATCGTGTGAAATTACTTCTTCGAATCGCTTCGTGTACCATTTTTGTTTGAATCCCAAATTTTGAGCGGTAATAGGCGATATCTTAAAGTTCCAAAGGCCGTCCAAGGAACGCAATTCTCGACTTTCACTTTCGGCAGGAAATAGCAAAGCATGTGAAACCGGGAAGATGAAATAAATTAATGTCACAGTGATGACAACTATCATTCTTGTGACCATTGTTGGAGAGTAACGAAATGTTTTAACAGCAAGCCCATCAACATCATCGACTGGAGATCATTTTAACTGTATTGTAGACATCAAACTGATCAGGGGCAGAGTTGTACTTAATAACTGGTTTTTAAAAACTGTAATGAAATAGCCACGAGAGTTCTCTCGTGTATACCGCAGAGCGTCGACATGACATTATGTATGCATAATATTGTAATTTATAGTTATTAGCTCTTAGTTGCCGGCAAAGGTCAGGAGTTCAGAATTCCTTCTTTTTTTTTAATCAAATGTTTAAAATGTATTATTAAGTACCACCAAACAGCAACAAAAGACTTAACAAAATAATTATATTTTTTTAATAAAACTTTTATTTATCAAACTCAGGTATAAAAAAATATTTTAACACGATGGAGATTATAATCTTACTTTGGCCGTTTTCTGAAATTATTTATAAATTTTTAACATATACGTATTACATACTTAATTGATAACCTCGCATAACCTAACATTACAGCCGAAAAGATGTGATAAGCGTTTTTTTTTATTTTTAGTAATTGAGTTATGTATAGAAATAGATACCGAATAGCCCAATAGATATTGTATATAGCTGAATTCGGAAACCAAAGACTCAATTTTTTTTTTAATGAAGAGTCACGTTGCTCTTGAAATACTTGTACTCGTGAATGATAAAGCCTTACATATATTAGAACGAAGTTTTCGTAAAATGAAAAAAGTGCTTTTAAGAAAATGTGTGTGCTATGCTCTCGACATGCATTTTTTATTTGTTTCTAGAACAATACACAGTATAATACAGAGTGGTTCAAAAAGAATGAACCGATTCCATGATCAAATATTTTGTAAGTAAATGTATGAATCAGAATGATGGAGTGGCTGTTTGAAAGATTAGGTTTTTAAGTTTCAAATGGTTGTCACGTGACCGCACCAGGTGCATCGGTCTCCTAAGGTAAACGTTTTCTGTGCTGTATTCATTTTTCTTCAAGGGAAACTCTGTTACATTTAAAAATGCTCTAACTGATAGGCTCCAGTGGGGAGGTGCCCCATCTTGTTGAAAAATGTATTTATTAAAATCAGTTTCCTTTTAAGGGAAGAGCCCTTTCGTAGCATATCCTCGATGGTTTGCCCTATAACAGAGTTTCCCTCGAAGAAAAATGGGCCATAAACCTTGTTGCAGGATACAGCACAGATAAGGTTTCCTTAGGAGACCGATGCACCTAGCGCGATCACGTAGCAACCATTTGAAACTTAGAAACCTAATCTTTCAAACAGCTACTCCCTCATTCTGATTCATACATTTACTTACAAAATATTTGATCATGGAATCGGTTCACGCTTTTTGAATCACCCTGTTTTATTGAATTACCTGCGCAATTTCTGAATTGTAAGAGAGGGGCTAGAGGCTATAGCCACCCTGAGTCATCTGAAGCCCCAAAAAGATGCTATATACCCTGCGAATATTTTTTTATTAATACTTTAGTCCCCCTAACAATTTGAAGTTAATTAGGCCACTAATAAGTGACAATATACTTACAACAGAACAAATGACAAATTATTACAATACACAAGTATTTATAAAATTAAATAATGTATTATGTAAATTATATATTAACGAACGACCGTTCGATTTAAGTTTGATTCAATGACAATAGACAGTTAAATAATATATATTGTATATTATACTTTGATATTATTGTAATGACGACACACGCCCGGTCCTCGCCACCATTCATTGATGTCGACATAATTCTTTGGGGGATGGGTTTCGTCGTGTAACATAGCGCAAAGACGACAGTAAAACATTGCGTTGGTTATATGTAAAACCACTTCACCGGTGCCTTTCCATTTGAAGTATTCGTTATAAAGGTTGTCGTTCTTGTCCAGTTCATGTAGATAAGCTGCCAATTGCTGAGCTGATTCGAAGTCGTCGACGTGTATGAAAGAATTTTTGGGCGCCACCAACTCGTAATCTTTTTTGGACGGTCCCAAAACGATGGGAATTACGTCGTGGCTAGAAAGTAAAACTATGAAACAGTATATTCAACGTTTGTAGATAAAAATGGATAAATTCAGAATTGTTGCAATATATATGTATTACGCTTACTAGTACGAGGTCATGAATAATTTTTCGGTGATGTAGTACGAACAGTGGGCGTTCTCGAAAGCCAAGTAAAACTTGTAGGTGGTTTCCAACATCTTAAAACACGCATCCGACTTGGGACATTCCAAGGGACCGCATTGGCCGTAAATATCGACCGTTATGTACTTGGACAATTCGGTGGCGTACTCTGACCGATTACTGTTTGCATGACAGTTGGAGACGAACCAAGCGACCTGTTTGGTTTTGCCTTGTGCGTAGTTTCTGATGGAAAGCGACGGGGATCGTTTTTGCATCTCTTCTTCGTCGTATTCATACCAGTAGCCGTAAGGGTTCGGTATGTCGCTATCCATTCGGTAATGCGCGGTCCAGTTAAACATGTCGCGGTCGGATTCCGGAATATAGGCCGTCGAGTAGGGTGCTTCGGTGTAATAAATAATCCAAATCTAAAGAAGTGAATAAAAAAAAGGTTAGAAAACAATTTTAAAGGTTTTACTTTCCTTTCACTCTTCCCCAAAATTGACCGCGTCCCCTCCCAGTTCAAGTACAGAATACATTAAATTGTATAATATAGGTATAATAAAATAAGATTAGATTTAATCTGTTTCATGGTTTATATATATATATGTAGTTATCCATTATTTTGTTATCTATAAAATATATTGTCTGACACTTTCAAAAAAACGCTTCCATGCCACCAATCTGTAGATAATAGAAATACAACTATCGATAAATACAATATGAGAATAATGCGATTAAAACTGAATATATTATTATTAAGGTGGATACGATTAGGGTTGATCGTTTGTCTTTAATAATTTATAAAAGCTAAAGGCTGATTTTTGATTTAGCAATGGAATAAAAAAGCTTAAGCAGCACATGAAGAGTTAACGCTACCTCTCCTTAAGGAAGATGTTCCCTGACAAACTACCTATTGTACACAGAAAAAAATGAAGTAAAACACCTCATTTACTTATGCTCTAAAATATAAGACTGTGTTCAATAATAAGCGTAAATTCAATGTACGTTTTAACTTTTAGGTTACCATATTATGTTTTTTGTGTAATTGGAAGTAGTTATGAGCAACGCCTAATATTTTAGCACCCAAATGGATGCATAACAAAATACTGTACATGGTATTAAAACTATTACTAACTTGATCTGGTTCTCTTTTATGTTGAGGTCGTTCATAATGGTGTCTGAATATTATAGCATCAACGGTTGGAGCCAAAGATTTATCTATAGTGAGTGAGCATCTGCTTACTGGACAATCTAAAAACTCCCCTTGGTTAAGTCTAGGTGTCTCCCAATCATTGCCAATTCCGTTATAGAGCAAAATAGTTTTGAGTTTTGATGTTTCATTTTTGTATGTTTCCGGCACGTATAAAATTTGTTCCATTATTCGGTCACCATAAGGCAATTCTTCTGGCCATATCAAACGCTTATTTGTGTTTTTTGCCCTTAGTCTGTTTGCCATTTCCTCTGCAAACGTTAGTGAGACATTTTAATGAATGTTTACTAAAAACGAGATAAATACGATTCAAACCAAACCATTTAATCTCCAGGGATTTTTGAAAGTGACCTAGAAACCAAAAAATGTTTTAACTCGAGTCAATCAAAAATGTTTTAAATATTTTGTCTATTTCATCGACAATGAAATTAATTGTTTGATTATTTATAAATAAAACATATAATTATTTTCCTAATTATGGTCTATATTTAAGTGGGTATAGTATACTATTTAATATTTATTTTAACGAAGCTATTAATTTTGTATGTACAAGCTGTATATTTAGACACCTGTTTATAATGGCAGCCGCACGCAGTCTAGTACATTTTAACAAGTATAACAAATAATAATATTATCATCTTAAAACAACTAGAACAGTATATATAGTATCCGTTTGATACGATGCTCACAAACACAATGCTATAGTTTTATAAGGATTAGGGTTATAGTTATATTCTATGTAAGATACACTTAAAATTGTGGAATACAATTTCCGGTTTGAATCTCGATTAAAAAATTGATAGTAAATCTTGAAAAAATGTCTAAGCATATTTTCTGTATAATACATGAAAAATGTATGTATTCACTTTAATACTTTATTACATTTTTATCATGTATTTTTTTAAAAGATTCTACAGTTTCAAAATACAAAAAAAAAATGGAATTTATAATTTAAAATGAATTTATGGAGCTTCACGTTAAATGTATTAATTCGCCTCTGAGGACGTCAAAGTAATGACCACCAAAATATCATACTATAATTATAATAGCATATCATCTATAATTATTAATTGTCCTACATTTTAAATCTGTGAAAACCGGTTTTATTATTCTCTCTCCTATTTCCAAAAATATGAGGTCGGCTAATAAAGTTAGTCAAATAAAATATTTTCTTCTTTTATATACTCATTTCGTATTATATTCATTCTAGTCACTTCACTCTCTATACATCGATCTCATTATTCTCATATGCTTAAAAGTTAAAATAATAACAGACAACATTTGAAAATAATAACAACCATAATAATACTATAAAAACATTTTAGAAATATAATATGAAATCAATAAAAACAATACAAGTGTTTATTTATTATTTTCAAAATACTCAACTTGTATTAACGAATAATCCATTTTCTGTTTACCGTTTGCATCATAATTAATCTTAAAGGTTAAATATTACACTACATTTAATAAATGAGTCAACTACCTGACCTAATGTGAATCGCCGTACTCGTTAAGCTAAACTCTTATAATGTAGGAACATATAGATTATATAAAATATTATACACCTCTTCATTTTAAGAAAGCCACTGTTAATAAAATCATTCTAAAGTAAAGTTGGAAATTTTAACTGGGAATAAGATTTATGTACTTCGCCGTAAGGTTTTTATACAATATAGTTACTAAAATGGTTAGTCATATAGTTATTAAAAACATACATTCCGGGGTTGGTAACTCATTAGTTTTAAAGGAGGTAAGATTAAAATAAATATTGAAAAGTATATACTTCATTTTGTGTTTCGACGGTAGGTGGCACCGTAACATGTCTTGGTAAAATGTCTATGGTTTTGTTTATGGTCTTGTCTATTGTCTTGTCTATGGTCTTGTCTGTAGTCTTGTCTATGGTCTTGTCCATGATAGAAGGTTTTTGGTGTAAAATCACTATAATTACTAAAAATGACAAAGTCAATACACCGATACTTAAAAGACGTCGCACTATTAATGGCTGTTGGGCAATGCATTTACAAATAGATCCCATCGCACTCCACTTGTAAATAAGTTAGCTGATACCTAAAAAACGGAATATCGGAATAAATATTTATATCAACATTCCTATAGAATACTGCAGTTGAACGAATATGCATGCAAGCTTAAAAACAAAATAATTTTTTCATGGAAAGTTTACAATATTAGGCCTACGTAATGTTAACGTGGCGCACGTTGTACTCATTTGCATTGTTTGTACATCTGTGTAATATGTATATACTGCGAACGTTGAACTAACCTACACACTGGTGGATTTTGTGTTACAGCAGGATCATTGCCGTTTTAAATGCGAGAACAATTCATACCTATTTATGTTAGTCCGCATTTCACAGTTGGTACTCACAGATTACAATGTCAGCAATTAACAGAGTAAAACAATACATAGTTAAAAATATTTAAAATTGCATAGTAATTTAAATACTTTGTAAAAGTTGACTCATCTGTCAGGTAGTGTATACCAAGTGATAAACTACCATAAAATGTCCTGTATTAAAAAAACGCTGTTCAATTAGTATAACTATTATTTACTAACTAATTATAGTGTCTGAACTTTTAGTAGTCAAATAAGTCACTAAACTTTGGCTGTTAGGAGATGTCTTAAAGATATTCTAAAGAACTAAGAAGCAGTTAAACTGTAAAAATACATATATAAAACTAAAAAAAAATAATATACATTTTGACACAAGCGATTGTTGATAATCAATTTTAAGGTAAATATATAAAGAAAAAAAAATATTAAACTCAATTACTAATAATATTTTATCTATAAGTGCTCATAACAAAATCAAGATATATCTTAAACTTTTTTACATTGCCATTAAAACAGCTCAGCTTCTTAAAAAATTGTATCATCAAAAGATATTTTTACACAAAAATGTTAATCAACTACATTGTTAATATAAGAATATTAGTCGCATACAATAATTATTAAATATCAAAAGGATTTTTTTTTATTATGATAATAGACGATTATAAAGATTTTATACCTTACTGATTACTCGTTAATAAGTATGTCGCACAGTATCCTCTTAAGGGGATTGCATGTGGTCGGTTTTTTTGAAGTTTTAGACCAAAATGCCAGACAAAATTTCGACCACTTTGGATGGTCCTATTTCAATTCTGTAAAGATATACGAGTTCTCTGGCAACTTTACTGTAAAAAAATTGGGTTTGAATATTGAAAAATTGCAAATTTAATTTTTTATTTAGTTACAAAAAACTGAATTGTTTAAATGAAAATCGGCTTCCAACATAACATAGTAAAGTAGCCAAAGAACTCGAATCTCTTTACAGAATTGAAATAGGACTATCCTATGTTTTTGATATTTTGTCTGGCTTTTGGATCTAAAATAAAACAAAATGGCTTTTACTTATGGAACAAATTATTTCAAATTAAAAATAACACCTTGAAGCTTATACAAATTAACCGGTAAATTAATGGTCGAATTTATTAAAACCTCTTTTTTTCTTAAATATTGCCTATACAAAACTCCTTAAAAACAGACCGCATGCAATCCCCTAAATAAGATAAAATTTAAGTTAAAATGAGTTAAGTGAAATTCTTTCGGATAGCCTGTAGTTCTTCTAATGATTCTAGGTCGATGTTTGAAAACTTCAGTTTTGAGGTATCCCCATAAGAAATAGGAGATCAGGCGACCAGGAAAAATTTCTTGCAAAACAGCCCGAGAACGACGGGACGTATGAGCTGTGGCTCCATCCAATTGAAATAAAGAAAACGTTTCTATCTCTTCTAGGGTAAAGGGTTTATGATATTTTTTTTTGGCTTGTCAATGTTTATCGGTACTATCTACTGTATTTAGAGAATATTCCATAAATATGTCACTAATTCGACTATTTAAAAAAAAATTTAATTGGAATATATGTAATTGTTTTTCTCGATTTTGAAGGGGAAGGGGTAAATTTTTTTTTTTTATATATTTTTTCCCAATATAGTTACCATTTCAGGTACGATTTCTGTACTAGAGAGCTGCTAAAAAATTAAAAGCCATCATTGTAAAAACAAATCTAGTAAACACAACGTACAATTTTACAAGTATTTAATTTGGGTACAACAATTACATGATTTACATTTCATTTACGAAAAAATATTTTTTATAACACAGTATTAGGTACACAATACACATCAACACATATTGTAAGAAAAGATAGAAGAAATAATACATAACAAAACAAAGAATACATTAGGTACATTACAAAAACATTATAAACATTAAACAATGTAGTTTATGTGACGTCACGAACGTATTTTAGATGGGTGGTAATAGATGGTGTAAAAATTATTTTTAAACGTAGTTTATTAGCGCAGGTACTGAATATACTTGTCGTCATCGTCACTATAGTCTTCATTAATTCTCTGATCGGTTAATTCCGTATAGGTCACCTCCCAGCTGGTCGAAGGCACCCGATCGTCCCACTGACTCAGGTGGTATTCTTCGTCGATGACTTCTTGCTTGATAATTGGACAGGTAATTTCGGTTTCCGAGTCGTCCGAGTAGGTAGTCCATTGACTCAAGTACTGGTTGTACACGTTTTCATATTCGTCGTCTATTACTTCCTGTTTAATATTTTGTACGTCAATAAGCCCAGCATAGGTTTCTTCACTTGGCACATGTTCAGCCGACTCGGTTGACACATCACAAGTTACATCGTCGACACTGCCGTTACTGTTCATAAATAAGAGGGGATGGGAATGGTGTATAGGTGTATTTGAACGGGTTCTATATTTCATACAGCCCCTACCCTAGGAAATTATATTAATTGATTACTTGTTGAAATCGATAATATTTTCATCAATTGGGATTAACGATTGATCGACGATAACCATACTAGGCGCTTCGTTTTCGTTTTCCGACGTACCATCACTGTTTGTAAAATTATAAACATCTTATTAGGATTAATAGACGATATTCTGTTTATTTATTTACTCGATTTACAATATTAACAATAACTTCCTGTCCCACACAAGCATAATATCCCAAACTAGGTATATTATAATGCTTAATGGTGGGCACAATATTAGGTGTAAATGTGTAATTGGTAAGAAAATAGAATTTAAAACAGTTGAATTGTGTTCAACATATTAAATAGAGATTACATTGAACCGGACACTGGTTTGGTTTGTGCTCTGGGAGATTTGTTTGAAAGCGCCACATCTCGACTTGTTAATTATTAAATAGTTGTTGGTCTAAACATTGTTAGACATAATCACTTTTGTGGGCATTTGGTTGAATATAGAGCAAAAATGCAATTATGGAAAATTATAGAGGAGAAAAAATTATCTATCAACTCACTTGGACCGTTTCCTATAATATTTTTTAGAATACTTTAAATTTAAGGTGGGATGATAACAATTATCATCAAAAATATTTATTTTACGGCAAAAATACTTCTGTTCAAAAATTTTGCTGACAAAAATTTAAAAAAAATATGATTCTTGGCTTTTTTCTGTGACTCCATATCTGAAGCTATGGACATAATTTTTAAAAATACTGAAGAAAGTGAGGAATGACAATTTTCGTTAGTTGAACTTATTGAGGACTTCCATACAAGGTTGGACTGCGTTTATGGCAAACATTACAAAGAATAATAATTCATTTTCACAAACACGCATAGTTCCTCTTCCATTTGTAAATTTACCTCCGAGCAACTATGACACTATAAATACTGTATTAAACTTTACATCAAATAAATGTTCAACATTAGATCAAAACACTTGCGTAGTGACTTTTGACCAACCACTGTACATCAAAGCTCGAGAAATAAGTTCTAATATAATCGAATGTTATTGTTAGTTTAGGCTTTCATTTGCTAATATTATTTTTTGGTGCAGTTGGATACATTATGCCCAGTAAGTGGGTTAAAAGACATTTTCAGTACAATTTATGCACTTGTAACAGCAGATAAAATGCTTACTGGCCACGCATACGCAACGTCATATGTTGGCAACGATTTATCAATCCAATTGAATTTGACCAAATCTGTAAGGAACGTGTAATGATAGAAATAAGTAAAAAGTTTCAAAATCAATTGAATGAAATCAAAGCAAATGGCGCTACTTCAAAATTATGGCTACAATATTTTGAAATCATGTCTTCAATAGACCACATTCCTTACTAGACAATATTTTTAGAGGCGGTGAAAAACATATATTAAAACTATATGGTGCGCCAGATAAACAAACAGAAATCAATAACTACAGATTTTTTTCTTTTGACCAAAATACAGCCAAACAAAATTTTAATTTGGAAAGCTTGCCTCCTTCAATAGAGGCTTTAAGACAGCATTTATACGGTATACCGGGCATACCATCAGGTTCAAACTTCAAATGTGGTACGGTAATGAAAAAAATGCCAAAGATTGGGGGTGGCAAATCGCTACAAATGGATTGCAACCAATATTTTCCTAACATAAGCCAGCTCCAAACTGCATTTTGGAAAAAAAATCATGTGCGTACATGAAAAATTATGGACCAGCATGCAGCTGTCGAAAACAGGGTTTAAAGTGTAAAACATGCTACATTGAACAATGTGATTCGGATGAAGACTGCTTAGAAGATAAGTAAACGAAATACCTAAACATCCAAAACGTAGAATTTAGTTTATAAAAATTAATTAATAGTTTAAATGTATATGAAGTATTGTTCAATATATAAAAATGTTTTATGATAATTATTAATTAAAATCATTTACTAGTTTATTTCGAATAGAACTTTATTAACCAAAAATCCCATCTATTGTAAAAGAAAATTATTAAAAAAGTATGTTGAATATTGTTATGTACAGTAGGTTACAAAAATTAAATGCATGGATACTTGGATAATTCAGCGTATTTTTTTATGTTTAGGAAAAACACTGTATCTCCATCAGAAATGCTTTAAAATGCATTATAAAATGTCGCACCAACCAAAATATTGTCAAATACTAGGGAAAAACACAGTATGTACATCTAAGTAGCATGTCCTAGGGAATAAAGCAGTATATACAATGGAGATACTGCTTATTTTATTAGTAATCAAATTTCTCAATGCATATACTGGATATTTACCAAGTAATCTTAGCTAAAACGGCTTTGCAGTATTTACACTATTTGATCTAGAAATGGTCGTGGTACTAGTCAGACACGACAAAATGTAGCAAAACATTTATTGAGATTTTTCAGATACCTTGGTACTAACTATAACCATTATTATACTAAAAAATATCTTTATGGAAATACTGCATTTTGTTAAGTTTATTTTGTTTTTAATACACGATAATACTTGAAAATAATGCAGTAAAGCAAAAATAATAAACCAATAAGTACCAAAAAAATCTTTCGAAAAATTGGAGACAATGCTGAATAGAAGTGTTTTTGTTGTAAAATTTATATTTTTGATGATAATTAATATAAAAAAATAATATATAGATATATTATAATATACATATATAATATTATATATAATGATATATTAAAAAAATAAAATGGCGGACACTTTCGGTCTTCGGAGAGGTGGCGAATTTTTTTTTGGTCATTCAGATCGTAAAGAAAATTTATGACAAGTTTCAAAACTTTCCTAATTTTTTTTCAGGTAAAATCGTTTATTGACAGCTATTTGGGGTTACCTGACTCGCTTGGACGTCGGCCTTCACATGACCTCTTCAATCCGCGTCCACGACCGGAGTCCACTGTGCAACGGTTGTCTACTAATAAACAAAATTGGTTTGGTATAAATACAAAGTTAAAGTGAAGACAAAACAGTTATAGGTTACAGATAATAAGTTCAAAATTACACAACAAAATATTTGTTTATTAAATAATTATATAGTAACAGTAAAATCTAACGTGTGTACTGACAAAAACCATACAATATATATTTTTTTATAGTTTTTTTTATCTTAAGTGTTTCTGTATATAAAAAAAAATATATTTATAATCTATTTCGATTTGTATGTAATTTCCACTTACATTTTTGAACCTTTATTAGGTTTTACTTCGTTGAAGTTTGAAAGTTTTTTCGGTGGCAAAATAGTTTTGATACTTGTTAATAGACATTTTTATTTTAACTGAGATTAAGTAAATAAATTAAAATTATTATTATTTTTGAAATAAAATTCAAAATTGGATTTAAGTATGATGTTCAATAACAGAAACGTCAATGGTATTAGTATCAAGTGAACTCATAAATAGTGTAAAAGCTAAGCAAGAAACACAAAACCGGGCGGTAAGTCAATTTTTTTTTTTTTATATATAAATAGTGTTATATTTTTATTCTATGCTATACAGAGGAGATACCGGCTTTGGTTCAAGTCGGTTGGGACGTCCACTCGACACAGGCACAAGGCGAACCAAACAGCACCCCATCCACAGAATAACTTGCATGCTAACCATAATCATATTTTAAATTTTGCACACTAAATACTCTCATTTTTTTTATAAACTAATTATTATTATTATTATTATTATAACCTCTTATTCTAATCATTTTTATATTTTCTTTTTTTCACCTTTTCTTATTGGGTTGTGTGTAGACAAGTGCACTAAAACGTTTTTCAATAATTGAGTTTACTTTCATATATTATCATCTTTATAGATTTGTGAATTCCACGACTGACCACGATGAATGGTCATCGAATAAAGTTCTATAAATACAAAAAATTCTATAACTACAAAAAAATAACCTTACAATGGTGTAAGGTTATTTTTTTGTGTAAATCCGAATTTTTGGTGGTTTTCCGACATTAGTTTTAAACTCTGGAGAGAATAACTTGGTGAAAACAAATGTGTTTAAACTTAGTTTTAAATGTACAAGGTTGCTATATTCTAGTGGCCTATTCTAGAAAATTAATTTATTTTTTTAAAGTTTTATTTAAAAATGTGAACTTTGCCCGGAACTATATCTGGATGCTTGAGTCTTACTATAATAATTCAAAACCAACATTAACCTAAGCAGGTTTTTTGTAATAAGAGAAGGGACTGGTTATTAAATTATGTCAAGTCGAGACAGACATGGCTGAATTTTCATTAGGAACTATTCGTCTTATAATATAATATATTATTATATAATAATAATAAAATCATAAAAGATTGATTATCATTAATATTCCGGAGAAAATATGATGAAGGAGACATTAATTGTTAAATACCGTACGAGGAGTTTTAAAATTCCAGAACAAATAAAGGAACTGAACTTTTAAAACTATACTTCCTGGAACAGTGAACACGGTTATTGGAAACTTGCATCTTTATAATTTGGGAACAAATAATAGAAACTGAGCTCCTTGTAAAGAGAAAATAAAATTGAAAAATAGTGGTGATTAAGAAGTTTATATAAACAAAGTACTAGTTTAATCCAACATATTAATAACACAAAAATGTATTATCATATTTTATAATACGACTAATAAACACAAACTAAATTTTAGTTGGTAGGAATTTCTTACTTGCATTTTAATGCAATTGCTATTTGCTAAAACAAATGTAATTGCATAAATTACTAGGCAATACTAACATAACATTACCATAAAGAACTTAATTCAATAAAATACAAATAAAAAAAATTAAACTTCATAAAGTGTGTACCCTGCACATGGTAGTGTAATACACACCTATATATCATCAAATTAGATAAGTTTTGTTGTATGCATGTAACTTTGTATTATAAAATCAAAAATGTACATTTACTAATAGTTTTAATTAATAAAAAAAATATACACATGCATTATATAAATAAATAGATGAACATGGATAATACATATGAACGAAAAATGAAGAAACTGGTTTTATTCAATAAAATAATTATAATAAAATAAGTAATATAAATAAATTTATTGAATATTCTTATGGAACTTTTTATTCAAATAATTTTGTTTCAAAATAGTGCTGCTTAATGGTGGAATGCTTTTACTAAACATTAGAGACTTAAAAGTTCTACATAAACAATACACTTAAACTTTAACACAAACCAAATTAGCCTATTTTATTTATTTGTTGCCTTATACAACACTATTTTTTTGTATGATAACTAATCCAAAGATCGTTTTTATTAGATTCATTTGAAAATTAAAATATTTAACTTAGAAATAGTACAATTATAAAATGCTTAATAAAATTCTGTCATAATAATGATAATAACATATGGTAACTGAAAAAATGGTTTTAATTAGGTGTACAATACAAATCTAAATTTGATTTTTTTTTAAATTATCTTATTAAAAATCGTGTTAAAACCACAAATTTTCTTTTGTATACACAGAAAAAAAAGTTTTACATCTTAATACAACATCTAGTTCATTAATTTATTTGGAATAATAACACACGAGATATAACTTTTTAAAACAATAAATCTTCATCACCTTCATCTAACATGTTTTGAACATTTTCTGCTTCTTTTAATTCTTGCTTTCGGAGTTCCTTCTTTTTATTAGCAATTTTTTTCTTGTCTTGAATTTTCTTTAATCTTCAAAAACATTAAGATAAAAAGTAAATTACACTTGTATGCATAATTGATTCAAATATAATATAATATAATAATTTATAAATTGATTGTCTTCCAATTTTTTTTTATTTCAACTATTTATTTCATGTTAGATTCTACATTTTATGTTATATCCACTTTTGACAAAAAAGAACTAACTTCCAAAAAAAAAAAAAAAATTGTCAGCGTTAAGGGGTTAAAAAATTATAGCTGACTTCACATTACTATACATATTTTGGCTCTTAGTCTCGCAAAGCCTGACGGCTCTTTTTATATACTGTTGAAAAAACACTTAAAATGATCAACAAAATAATTACACTATGTATTACAAAAATATAAGAAAACTAAGCAAAATAGTTAAAGCAACAATTAAATACCTGTAAAATTCTTCTCGTTCTAATTCGTCAAGTTCGGAAATTATATAAGCAAGTGTTTTTTCAATTCTTGGGATGATAACTAGAAAAAAAGTACAATTTTAAATAACTTCTATGATGTTTATACATATTAATACAATATTCTTAAAGATTATTATTTATTACCATGTTCAATTGCATTGACTCTTCTATTAGTTATTTTAATAACATCATCAAGTGTTACAAAAGATGTTTGCAAAGAAGCCAATTCAACTAGCAGTTTAATCGCAGTTTGATAATTTTTCTTAAGTTTAGCCAACTGCTGCCCTCCACGGGCCAAACCAGCCAATTCATATGTGTCAGTGCCATCTTGATAACTTTCAAACACCGGTAAAGTTACACCTAAAATAAATTAACTCAATAAATAAAATAAAAATAACGTCACATAGTTTATAATTACCAGCAACATTGTCCTTCTTTGTGCGAATTTTAATTTGAGCCTTAGTGACATTTTGTAAGACAACCTGATTAAAATCACCAGTAGTGAATTTTGCTTCGGCCAAAGAAAATGCAGCTTCTTTCATTACTTCACCCATTAATGTCTTAGTCTAGAAAAATACTTTAATTAGGTAACAAAATTATACAAGAAATTTAGTAGTACAATGTATTTACTTTAATGATTTTGCTCAAAATTAAACGAAATCTCATTTGTAAAGCATCAGCCTTTTTTTTCAATAAACTGTGACCTTTTTGGGCTCCCTTAAGTCGACCTTTCATCAATGTTTGAGCCCTAAAATCATATAAAGTAATATTAAACATTTTAAAATTAAACTCATCGCTATTTATTGTTAAATTTAGTTTATTCTATCTAATTATGTAAATAATTATGTGTTTACGCAATGCCACTTTTAAAACTTAATGGCTGTATGACAAAAATGTTTGCATACAAACGATTTCAATCATTCCTATTGCACAAGACCAAATTAAGTGTGGAAAGTAACTGATAACTTTTTAGACTTAACAAAACATTTTTTTTTTGTCTTGACAAAAGTATGTTGTAGTGAGTGTAGAAAAAAACAGATAATTAAATTGGTATAAATACTTTTCATCATGTATCTTTTATTTTTTTGCTATCTTTGTAGTGTGTTTACACTAATAATGTGCCTAAAGTCAAAAATACGCAGACCCCTCTATTTTAAAAGTTATAGTTACATTGGGCAAGACATCAGTGGTGCTCTACAGTACTTGTGCCACTCTCGTCACCATCAGACCATAGAATTGCTGCGATGTCAGCCATGTGATTGACAATTACAGCAGTTTGTTTGATAAGTGTTTAGGTTTGGTATAATAAAATATACTAATTATCTTCTCACAATTATTTTCTGTGTCCATCACTAATTTATGTCTACTTTCTTAATTTTTTTTATTATTTTGAAGGGTGGGCCAGAAGTCTCAGTTTAGACTTGTTATGTTGCAGAGCAGTATCAGGTTAGCTTTTTTTATTTATTCCTTTTGGGTAAGATATTTTTTTCTCTGGGTTTTTAAGAGTGAGCCCCCGTACAAGAGTCTTGTAGGGGCATGAGTTTCTTTACATAGTTAATATATGACCGCAGTCCCAGTTAAGTCAGTGACTGCTTTTAGTGCAGTGACAGGTTGGTTTTTTTATTTCCTCTAGGTAAGCTATTTTTTTCTTTGGAGGTTTTATCCTACCGAGAGTTCTATAGGGGTTTGAACCGATATTATACTGTAGTAGCACATACATTTTCTTATTGCATGGCTATGGGCTTGTCCGTCGCAGCTCACTACGACTACATGATAAAAGAGCCGTAACGCACAACAATTATTCTCAAATTTCAAGTAGGTATAACTATTTAACTAGTAAAGTCTGCCGATTTCTGATTTAGATTACAACCAGGGTAAAAAAAAAACACTACAAGATGGCAAAAAAGGTGTCTGGTTAAGAACATTTATTCTGAAATTTCATTTAACAGATAAATGTTGTTATTGCCGCTTAAGAAATGATAACAAAAAAATTAGGATTAAACCAGTAATCCTTGGGAGGTAAATTACTGCTATTGCAAAACTGATAATAATATAATAATTTAACATAATATTGTTATACCTACAACATGTTGGCAATAATAGGTATATTTTTGAGATTTGTTTTTTACCAAAGCCAACGCCCAAATATCATTTTTCCTTATCACTATATTATTATATTTTACTTACCCGCGGGATGGAAACATTGGCAATTTGTCTTTACCCGACATTTTTTGGTATTATAATTAAAAAAAGAAGAAATTGAATCGAGAAATTATGCTTATAGATAGTAGATTACTTAAATGTTATGATAATTGAATCCATACAAATTCAAAAAACGTATTTCCCTTGATTAACGAAATACGAACAGTTAAACGACTATACAACTATGCAAGTAAAAGGTTTTGGAACATTAAATTATCTGTTTGGGTTGGGCAGCCCACTGGCAGCTGGCTGTAATATTAAAATATAATGGGGATAAACAAACAGCTGTGCTTTGATAACATGGGGGAAAAAATGCAGCTGAGTTTCTCTATCACTGACACAGCTCATTAGGTGCTCTAAACCGCTTAATTTAAGAAGGCATTTTAACAATGTCATTTTTGTTTATTTGTTTGTATGAGCGTAAAAAAAGATAGTTATTGTTTTATTTAAGGTTTTTTTTTTTAATGAGAGATAAATATTAAAAAACAGTAGTAACACAACTCACAAGGATTTCTGGTTTAGTCAAAAATCAGACTTTTAGCCCCCATAGAAAAAATGGTAACTTCACTTAAAAAAAAAAATTAAACCCATCCAATAAATACGCCAGTAAATGACTTATACAAAAGTAATTTTTTAAACCTTCGCCATAACTCGGAGAAAAATAACAATATCGGAGAATCGGAGAATAATAAATAAGTATTATAATTAGAAAAACTTAATATAATTTTACCTTAAAATTAGTCCGCTTGTTTAAAATAGCTATTAGAACAATTTTTGTCAACTATTGCCAAACCTTTGCCTCTTAATAATAGCGCTTTCCGTTCCCCTTAATATTACGATGCTCAATACATTTTTTAAATGAATTTGCATTAGTTACAAATCTGCATGGATTATTTTTTGGGCATAGTATTGTCGATAAACGTTGATCATCCAAAAACATATCATAAAACCTTTTCCCTAAATAGGTGGAAACATTTTCTTTATTTCTTTTTTTTAAACGAAGTTTTAGAACTTAAGGTCTGAAAAATAGACCGTAGGTAGATCTAAAACTGCGGTATAACATATACGATTTTTATGTAGTCAACAGGTATTTAAAATATTTTTGTTATAATATTATATGGGTAACAACGGCAATAAATTATTTTAGACAGACGATGAACCCTAATCGTATCTACCATAATAATAAAATACATTTTTAATTACATTATTCTCATTAAATATTTATCGAGTTGGATTTCTATTATCTACAGATTGGCGTGGGCGCGTTTACTTGAAAAAAAATTTCTCCTCGACTTGCTCTCATTGTCAGTAGTCACTAGTCAGATAATATATTTTATAGATAATAAAATAATGGATAACTAGATATAATATATAAACCACGGAACACATTAAATATTTTCCACAGATATATAAACATATATCTGTGATATTTTCTTATTATTATACCTATATTATTTAATTTAATATATTCTGTACGCAGTACGACTGTACCTAAACTTGGGGGACGCTGTCATTTTTTGGGAAGAGTGAAAAGGAGAGTAAAAATTAAAAACTAAAACCTATTGGCTACACGAGAGAGACAGATTATTAGGACTCTTTATTTTGTAGATACCTACAATAAAGACTAACTCATAATTGATCACTATAATCTCAAGACGTAAACTTTGTCCATGACGGCATGACCTCATTATTCTATTATGTACACAGATAAATATTGTTGTATTCTGTGTATAATATACCACATCTGTGATTATTTTATGACTTCTCGTTATCTACTAAAATGGCGGGTTTTTCGAACATTTTTGATTAGATAAAAATTGTGATAACAAAACAAATATAAGTCCAATGACCATAGCTGTCGCGGACTATATTTAATAAAAAAAAAAAAAAAAACAAATATAAAAATTAGTTTTTTTAATTTTTTTAACTTTTAATCGAAAATTGGTACTATATAGTTAATAGCAAACTTACAATCCAATACATATACCGACCAAGTACTATAATATCTAATTTGCTTATTGTTCAATTGTTCAAATATATTGTTGTATAAAATGGGTAGCAATCACTTCTAACATTGTAAACCTAATAATTATTAAAAATTATGAAATTTCGAGGAAAAATAATTGATCCTCATTGTATGAGACAGTTTTATAGTATGTGTATTATGTTGTTAATTAACTATAATGTTTATTATTTTAATTTTTTATCTAATAATTTTTAGGCATAGTTATGATATTGTCCAAGCTATGCAAGAATGTAGTAATACGATTAAGTGAAAAAAAACTGTTTTTGATTGCACTACATGAATCAGCTGCTGCTAGCAATCAGATCAGCGTATGGTCAGTTTTGGATCAACAATCATTCTTCAAAGACTATACTATGAGTGGAGATACAGAAAAAAATGAAATATTTTTTAGTTTACCAATTGGTATATGCCGAACTTACTATATGCTTAACTTAAGTAAATATTACACGCTATTAATTGTAATAACTAATATTTAAATTTCAGATATGTTAGCATCTTCTCTGAGTTCTGCTAAGCAAACAAATTCAGTAAAAACACTAAAAATGAAACTTACAGATAAACTTTCGCCTTGTTTAACGGTTGAGCTAGAATTGGTTAGATTTTATATTATGTATAACTATTAAATATTATGATACATAATTATATATTAGTAATATAATATGTATTTTAGGAATCTCTAGTTTCCAGCAAGCAGTTGTGTGTTCATGATGTTCCCGTAAGTGTTATAGCACCAACGGAATGGTCTGAATATAATGAGCCAAATATACCAAGTCCTAATGTAAGTGAAGTTTATTTTAACTAAAAGATTTTATTAAAATCAAATATTTTAGTACGTACTTTATTCATAGTTTCATTTACATGAGATGTATTTTAATCTTTAATTTTTGTTTATAATATTATAAAATATTGGTGTTGTAGATAAGTGTTATTTTACCATCAATAAGAGTAGTACGGCACGTCATAGATAACATGAAACGTATTGGCCCTAGGTTGATGGTAACATTGAATACTTCTGGCAAGATGATTCTGGGTATATCAAATTTGTTGTCCACAGTTGACACTCATTTTAGTAATCTTGAAGTAGTCAACCCAAAAACATTATGTAAGCTAATTTTTTATATTTTTAAATATTCATCAAATACCTTTACCTATTTATAAATTAGTATTATTGTTTAAGATGGCGAAACGAAATATTCAACTTTAGTAGACATAAAGAAATTTTCTCAGTTTTTAAACTGTGAACCCTTGAATTTATCAAGAATATTATGTCATGTGGTAAAAGGAACATTATTGCACTGCTCGATAGAGGAAGACGAATTTGTATTGCATTATTTTTTAAGTGGAATTGATGATTAACAGTAAAATATTATAATTTTAAAAAAATATTTATGACTATCCAAATTCCATGTTATAGTGACATTTCAGTGAAATAATTATGTATAAAGATCAAAAAATTTCTAAAATTATAATTTTGAAATTTTACTGTAGTATAAAATTTCAATAACCCTGTGTTACTTGTTCCTAATATGATGTGAAAAAAGCAATTGATCTACTAACGAATATCAATTAATTTTAAAATATTTGTTTATATTATATTATTAATAGTTTTATTCAGTTTTATATTATAATGAACAGTTAAACTAACTATTATTCTTATGTAATTAAGTAAGAGAATAAATAAAAACATAATGTACAATCATATATTTTTAAATACTACAAAAACTATTATATTTGGTTTTGGAAAATGTTCCCTACACTAAAGTAGGTTATATTAGTTTGTTATTATGATTTTTTTTAAAGTTATTAAAATAGTAATAAAACTTATTTATACTGTATTTTTTTTTTTTTTTATTGTAATTACTTACATTTTATCCACCTACCTGAAAATTAATTTTGCATCAATGTTATGGGTATTGAATATAAAAGTATTTATTCTTAAAAGAAAATTTGTAAATATAAACTTGGGCCTACATCAAATAATTTTTGTGTGCTAATTGTATTGTTTTAGAATTTGTTTATTATGTATTGTTTACGCCCATGACCACTTGAACGTCAATAATAAATAAAAATATTATTAATTGGATAAAAAAAATGTGCCAAATTTTATGTTTCTCTGTAGTACATACTAGTTATAATTTTTTATTAATATGTTGTTCGCTAGAGTATACTGCTAAGGAAATGTTTTGTATCTATGGAATTCAATTTTGTATTTTAATTTTCATTATAACATCAATAATCAATAAGTTGTACTAAGTTATTTATTATTTTAATTTAATTTTAAGTTAGTGAGATCAAGTTTTTTAAAAAAGTAATTAACCATGAACTTTGTGTGCAACACCTGTTTCAAGGTGCTATCGAGTAAAACAATGCGGTCAGTCGAAGATATAATGTAAATAAGTGGTGGTTGTAAATATTATTGTTTAAAATAAAATATTGTTAACTACATAATTATGTATTTGTCTTATTTTAGTAAACCTACACTCAAGCATACTACTTTGATAAAACAGATGAGAACAAAAGCTCGTCCACAAGGGTACCTACTAATTTGATTTAAATATCTAATCGCATATTTTCTTACTATTTTAACAAAATATATTCTCAAGTCTTAACGTAGCTACATAACCTTAGTTTTTTTATCAGCGTAATTATTATTTTTGGTCTTATTGTTTCAGAACTAATTCCTTGATGAAATCCGACTTCTTTATAAACGATACCATGAGCCGGCGAATTAGAATTAACACGATCAAATATCCCGTGCCGAAAAGTATCCCAAAGCCTAATGGGTACATTTACAAATCTCGCGCCGAACCAGAAAGGACATATACATCAAGTTGGATAATAACAATGATTTTAACAGGACTTAGCATTGATACGCTGATTAAAATGTTACACTATTAATGCAAAGATGTGTGTATAAATTATTTTACCGATATAATTTCAATCCCAAATTATGAGTGATACCTAGGTATCATATTTCCATTGTAAATATACGTAGATGTATTGTACAAATGCATCTTGTAATTGTACAAATACTCATACATACAATACATTATACAAATTACAAATTGTTAAACAAAAATACACAATGCCAAATGGCATGATACCAATTACCAGGTTCTAGATACCATGAAAAAGGTGTTGTACGTACTTAAGGATTGTTTTTATTATAACTCTATTGTACCACTGTTCTAAGTTATGAACGATATTGCAAACTATTCTTATACTTTCGATGTATTTTATTTCTTCAGATCATTAGTATTTTTACTTAATTATGTTAAATATTTATATACTTCATATTATCTAGTCATAAAAAATAGTTTTTGTTTTAATTTTGTAAATGTATATAAGTATTACTTTCAGGGGGGGGGGCTATGGGGGCTGAAGCCCTTTCCTATGTACTTAATTTTTATTCATTAAAAGTGTATTTTTTTATTATAACATAATATATTAGAGTATTATAGAATGTGTTTGGACTCACAGAAACTTTATTATCCATGGTAATAATAATAATGTTAAAAAATACTATAATATGTTATGTTTTATTGGCGCGGTCCAATACTAAATATCATTACCCTGATATTATTATTTAACAGGACTGGAAGTGCTTGAACCTGTTAAAAAAGTAATCCTTTGCAATATTGATAAAATATCTATTTTATTTCACTATGTACTGATTAAATGCTGGTACCTAATAACAGTAAATTTGCTATTTGAAAAATTAGCTAATTTTGTTTTGAAAAAAAGTTCTATAAATTTAAATAGAGCTAAGTGTTTGTGATAGGATTGCTGGTTTTTGCGGGGACTTAGGCCCTCCAGACCTCTCTAATTTATAAGGGTGTGATAAAGGGTGATGTAATATCAAATAAGTGACTAAATATAACTAGTTGCCTCCCTGTTATTATTATTATATTATTAATATTTTTCTAATTTAGTTTTTATTTCAAGATTTGTTTATAATATTATAAAACGTATACTTTATGTCTTCATTTGACTAATTCCATGCTCTTTAGCGATTTGCTGGATATTCATGATGGTTAAATGTAAGAGAATGTGTATGAGAAAACATGCATACTTCTTACTCAAGTAAGATTCAAAAATCATGATTTTTAGGATTTATAATTAATTGTTTAAAATTATTAACACTATCCCAGGAGTTTTATACAGGTACACACAATTCAGTGCTGTTATTTTGTGTCAAATTGTATATTTGTTAAAAACCATTTTTTTTGGAAGTTTTCTTTAAATTTTCACGCCGGAATTCCAATCCCTAGTAAAGAATGTAATAATACTATAATACTATAATTTAATATTTATTTATGACACACAGCATAATTATTAGACAGTAGTCATAATACTATATTAGCTGGTCGTGAACGCGAACCCATTTAAATACTGTTGTAATGATCCAACAACTGTAACGATAGAAACGATTTTCAAAAAAAACTTCCTTGGTGGAACCTGAAGGTGAGGTGAACCTTATGTAGAACAGTCCGACTGGAGACAAAATAACAGATAGATATTGTCTTGTAGTTAAATTATTACAGTGACACATGGACTCGGATTTGGACGAAATAAACAACAACTGCAACATGGGTATAACTTCGCTCTTAGTAAGTTCATTAATCAGTCAAATTTAAGACCAATATAATTAGTTAAAGCGTACAAACTTGTTTTATTACTGAGGAAACTCATACAGTTTTCAATTAACTTTCATAACTTCAAAATTTGTTTGTAATGTTATGATAACAATTAAAACGGTTTAACCGACCAGCGTATGTGTAAGACAAATATCAGAGTAATACCCCTGCCCCCCTCTGTATGGTGAGCAGGTGTATAGCTGTTTCTAGATTTTTTTCATTTTATCAGTTTGAATTTTTGAAGTATGTTAATACTACCATTTTTCTCCTGTGCCCTTTTCAATTGTAATTTGTATAGTGGTTTTGATTTTTGTTTCGATTCGCTTTTTAAGCTAAGATATTATATTTTTAATTCTTAATTTAGTTAATAATTTGTACATACATGTATATCACTGTATTTGTACCCCTATGGGGTGTCACATTTAATAATAATAGTAGTATAGAAATTGCCTATGCGAGACGCCGTTTTTTTTAAATAACTAAAATTTAATTCGACTAAAATATTTTTATATCCTTGTGGCATTTAAATCTAATGATAAACACGAAAAAGACCTGTTTAAACTGTGATTAAATTTATCTTAGTACGATATTACTTTCTTGAGTTTTAAAAAAATGAAGTCACTACGGTAACTGGAATGAAACCAAATTGGTGTTGATATATGAAAAAAAAACAAAATGCTACAGATTTTTTTTAAAAATATATACTTTAAATCACTTATAAGTTATCCATTCGTATTTTATCATTATTATTATTTTGTATACAATTTCCCCCCACCCCCCTTTATTGACTCAACCACAAATGTTGTTATCTTATTAATTTGTCATTTTTGGGTTTATAAATAGATAAATAACAAAATGTAACCAATAAATTAGTATATAATAATAATTGTTTAATACAAAAAGAACATAATACGTTAAATCATATTTAAAACAAATAAATTGTTACAAAACACACACAAAATAACTCAATTCAGGTAGAAGAGTATACTTAAAACTATAATAACAATTTACGGAAATGTACACAAAACAAAAAACAGTGACAATATGAAAAGGTTTCGAATAAATAATAAATAATGGCAGTTTTAATTTTTGATTATGTTACCTAACCACAATTGGGTAAAATTTGACGAAGAATAAAATAAGGTGGTTTGTTGGTTTTTACAACAACCGTAGGTAAATAAATTTTCAAACTAATTTCTACATTTATCAATGACGGGGGCAAAACCTGGGTGTGGTAAAATGTGAATTTTCCATTAACGACGCGTAAGGAATCGAACCGTTTCGATCGTATAGCTCTGCCAAGACCACATCGTCGCGTTTGGCCTTTGCCACGATTCTTACATGACAGTTGCACAACTCCCTCGACAAGGCTCGCGTGGCTAAATTATTTTCGTCCGAATCCTTTCTGGTCGCCACGTTGGCCAGTTGGCATTTAATCGCGCACGCCGGGATGGCTAAGAATTCTTGCGGGCACGACCTAACGTGTTCGATGTTGTGCACCGAGGTCGCGATGTCCAAGTCTACTAAACTCACTACGATAGTCGGATCCACTGCAACGACTACGGCCCTCCTCCATAGGTATTTGTAGAACACACAGACCGGAGTGCCGGGCGTGACCGTCCTCGGCCTAACGAGATCCGGGCACTTTTTCTGCAACAGCCAATTCATGTCGTCTATGGCGGAAGCCACGTCAAAGCCGTCGATTTTGTTCACCACCACGGACACTTTGTTCGGGCCCAAAATTTGCGTTACCACGCCTTCGGCCGAAACGGCGGCGGATAAATCCAATTGCGCGAACCCGAGTTTATCTCCGTCGAACCCGCCGTCCTCGAAACGGCTGTCGTCTTCGTTATTGTCTATCCCACATCTATAGTTGGCTTTTTTTAGCGAAATCATGTATTCGAAAAACTTAGGCGCGTACGCCGTGCGGACGTCCATTATTGCGTACACTTGGTCCGTATAAATGTCTGCCGAGATGGTCATTTTAGTCGGCATCTCGACCAGCTCCTTGCAAACAAAGTTGCACACAGACGCGGGCCACACGTTATTTGCAGCGATCGGCACGACCGCGCGGAAGTAGCCTTCGTGGCACAACTTGGGCACGTCTCGGATTCGGCCGCAGTCGCCGGCGGTGTTTAACGCCTCGTACGTGGCAACGTGTCTGAGATCGTCGTGAGAACAGACCTCGATATTTCCATAGTCCACGAACCGGACGGTGTAGTCGCCGGTCAGGTCGTCTGCGCTCAATACCGTTGCGCGATACCACGAGTCGTCCGCGTGGTATTTGGCCAATACCATTTGACCGTCAGCCCACGTGTAGTCCATCGGTTCGGGCACGCTGTCGGCCAACAGCCGGTCCAAGTCGGCCGACAACTTTCGCAAAATTCGCGGGGCGTCGCTCTGTGCGTCGTGAAAGTATATCGCACATCGGTCGTCCACGTGCGTGACGCGTGCTTCGATTAAATCTTTGTACAACGGTTCGGCAGGCAGCCAATCTTGGACCGCAGTACAGTGCGATTGTTCTCGGTCATACGGCGACGGTGACCTATCAAGATCTGGCCTGTATTCGAAGCTATCCAACTGTTCTAACTCGTCGTCGTCTTGTTCGTCGTCCGTACATTCGGCCAGTAACTCGCAATCCATCGACCCGAGTTTATCTCCGTCGAACCCGCCGTCCTCGAAACGGCTGTCGTCTTCGTTATTGTCTATCCCGCATCTATAGTTGGCTTCTTTTAGCGAAATCATATATTCGAAAAATTTTGGCGCGTACGCCGTGCGGACGTCCATTATTGCGTACACTCGATCCGTATAAATGTCTCCCGAGATGGTCATTTTGGTCGGTATCTCGACCAGCTCCTTGCGAACAAAGTTGCACACAGACGCGGGCCACACGATATTTGCAGCGATCGGCACGACCGCGCGGAAATAGCCTTCGTGGCACAACTTGGGCACGTCTTGGATTCGGCAGCCGCCGCTGTCGGCGGTGTTCAACGCCTCGTACGTGGCAACGTGTCTGAGATCGTCGTGAGAACAGACCTCGATATTTCCATAGTCCACGAACCGGACGGTGTAGTCACCGGTCAATTGGTCTCCGCTCAAAACCGTCGCGCGACACCACGAGTCGTCCACGTGGTATTTGGCCAATACCATTTGACCGTCGGCCCACGTGTAGTCCATCGGTTCGGGCACGCTGTCAGCCAACAGTCGGTCCAAGTCGGCAGACAACTTTCGCAAAATTCGCGGGGCGTCGCTGTGCGCGTCGTGAAAGTATATCACACACCGGTCGTCCACGTGCGTGACGCGTGCTTCGATTAAATCTTTGTACAACGGTTCGGCGGGCGGCCAATCTTGGACCGCAGTACAATGCGATTGTCTTCGGTCGTACGGCGACGGTGACCTAACAAGATCTGGCCTGTATTCGATGCTATCCAACTGTTCTAACCCATCGTCGTCTTGTTCGTCGTCCGTACATTCGGCCAATAACGCGCAACTCATCGACCCGAGTTTGTGGTTGACGTTGAACGCTTCGTCTCGCGCACTTTTTACCATTGTCACGCTGAGCACACCGTCTTTGTTCACGGCGTGCACGTACACGTCCAGACTTTCGGCGTTGGAGTAATCGACTGCGGCCATATCTGCTAGGGCGGCGTTTGCTTCCGGTGACCATTCGTTACACTGTTTTCCGTCGTGCGCCGGCACTAGTCCCTTCAACCGAGCTCTAAACGCTTGTGCCGGTATTTCGATGAGCCTCGAATCGAGCATCCGCAGCTGATGCCACGACAGCGTTTCCTTGCCGCCAAAATCAACGTAAAACACGGTGACCGTGCCGGGTTGTAATACCTCAACGATCTCGGCCCTGTACCACGCGTTGTCTACGGACCGTTTGGCCGCCACTGCCATACCGATCTTCGGGGTAAACATCAATTGCCTTTTTTCCGTATCCCGATAGACCGTTTGAAGCGTGTGCGTCATTAATTCGTACAGCGCGGCCGAACTCGGGTGGAAAACCGGTCGTATATAAAACTCGCCGGGCGACACGGTGTGGCCAAGTATAACGTCGTTATACATGCGGTTTTTGTCTAAAGGCGAGGCCCTAGGCAACGTCATCGATTTCATTATTTCTTTTTCCACATCATCGTTTTGGTAGCAACCGTCGGACGAGGCGTAACCAAAGAAGAACAACGCGCTTCTAATGGACATCGGGTACTGGTCATGCCAAACTACGTCGACTTCCACGTGCTCTCCTCTTGCCACGACGGGATATAAGTAAAATGTGCCGGACTGGGCAAACTTCAATGAACAAAATAGACGGTACGCTTCGTCGGACCACCCCTCGGTTTGGTCTTTTGGCTTTGCATCGTGCAAGGCACATTTGAACGCCAACGGCGGTATCGTTTTCAAGCGGTTGGGACATATTCGAATCCGGTCTCGGTGTACAGTTTCTACAAATCCATAATCGACGCTATACACCGTAAGCCACTTTTGTCCGTTTTCTTCGACCGCGTTTATAATCGTACACCGACACCACTGTTGGTTTGAAGCAAAAACCGAGTAAAGTTCGCAATTTTCGTGGCCTATGACGACGTTGCTGTGCTCGGTATTTGTGTTCTTTGCCAGCTCTTCCTTTACCATCGACAGCACATGGGCATTGGCTTGGAGCTGCACAAAGAAGTCCGACGGTGAGTTAACGTCCGTCACTAAGACCGGCTCGACAACGTTGGGCGATATTGCTTTGACGTGCACGGCGGTCTTCGGCAAAGCCATCCTCATGTCGGATACCCACGAGATACCGGTTCGCTCACTCTTCGGTTCTGAAAGAAAATTCACATTGATTTTATTTAACACTTCGAGTGCATGTTGGCAATCTGTTTTTATTTGTCCATTTAGATTTTAACATTCTTAGAAAAGGTCAAATTCACTTTGTATTAATAGGTCAATTGTCAACTGTAGCCATGGGAACCTCAAAATTTGAAATTAATATATATTTTATTTTGTGCGTTTCATAATATTTATGTTCTGATATTTGATTACTATTAATGAAATTAAAAAAATATATATAATTATACATAAGTTACCTGGTTCATATGCGCCCAATATTTCCACAGAGGCCCCTATGTCTTGGGCATTGTCATTGTCATATTTCTTTTCCATCGTATCAAATATATCATCGTCAAAATCCGTATCTTCAAAATCCAAGTTTCCAGTTTCCGTTAAAGTCTTATAAAAAGTCTGTTTTGGCAGTAAAAAATAAATTACTTAAACATTAATACTTTTGTATTGATTTTTATTATAGATATTTCCCCCCCAAAAAAAAAAATCGTTAGACAATAATATTACTAAAACGTGAAATACTCCCAACACACTAAAAGGTTTTTAAATTTTTGTAAGATTACTATAATATACCTCGCTATAAACAGTTTTTATGCTTTATATAGTAGCATAAATTAATATTTTTAAACAATGTTAAATAGGTTTGTATATTAACTAAATAATAATAAATAATTTAAACATACGTCCATTGTTGTCGAAAAATAGTTTTTTTTATAGCGTAAACAGCCGGTGTTTCCAAAAATGTTGTCAAAACACAAAACACAATGTTCTTCGTGATCGCTGTTATGGCGAATTGGCATTAGCCAAAATTCAGAAAAAAAATCACTAGATATAACTGAATTTTAAGGAGAAGAAAATTAGGTCCACTTGACATCAAGAGCTTACTTTATGTAATGAGTATGTACATAGTCGTTTGTTTATCGCCTTAGCAATTTTCCATTTATCCGTTGCTAACCACATCAGCAGTCGTGTGTTACATCCAAACTATTATTACATTATTGTTATTATTGCATTATTTTTAGCCAACAATAAAACAACATATTTTTTAACAAAAAAAAAAATACATAATTCATTCAAATAAAATAAATATACTTCTTACAATATTACCTTTGCAATTTTTTTTTTATATTTCTGATTTTTTTAATTTAAACAGGACTGTCTAATTAACATAAGACACGTAATGTTTTGAAAATAATAGTAATTTTGTATTTTTTTTTCATCTTTATTGCGATATTTGCCAATCGATCAGTCATAAAATGTCCAATAATTATTATATGAACTTGTACTTATCTCGTAAGTGATCTTCTCATTTATTAAATTAAAAAATATCTGTAGAGCCAATTTTTTATTGAAGACAACTCGATTAATTAAATATGACACAATTTATTGTCTGTAAAATTATTTATATCCACAGACTCGTGACCTCTCCGTCTTCGCGGGGCTAGATTTTTCAAAATAATACTTTTTAACAATACCGTCTCTGTAGGATTGTAAACATTAATTGTTACACATTAGATAGAAATTAAAATGCAAGGTTTTTAGCATGATGGAGTCGGTAATTGTAAAATAAAACTTTTTCCTCTCCTCCAAATTTATGCATTTCCCCCTCACATTTAATAGCAGAACACTGTGCGGAATCGAAATCTCGAACAAATCACATCGCTGAAGCTACAAGCGTCTGTGACCGTCAATCGTTTATGCATGTTGAGCACATACGTACCCAATTTGGTGCAACTCGATCTGACCGACAGTTTCCTCCCGTCATTAAGGTAGGTACCTAACTAATTGATTAGTTAGTCTTACTTATTAGTAATTCGAGTCATTTTAATTAAAAAAAAAACCATAAAAATCAACACATACCGAAGAAAATAACCATTCGATATTTTGGCTTATAGAGATTTCGCGTTCAAGTTGGACAATCTGAAAATACTAACGGTGACCTCGTGCGGTCTACGGTCGCTGGACGGAATCTGGAACGTACCGAACATAGAAGAACTATATGCCGCCGACAACGACATAAGCGACATAACGTTGTGCTCGACACTGACCGATCTAACCGTTCTGGACTTTGCCCGGTGAGTAAACAACAACTCGATCGACAGCTTAACAAACCCTAAAAATATTGTCATACATTTAAAAACAATTATTATATTTTTAGTAAAATAATAACTATTTAACACGTACAATGATAGAAAAAAACTGGTTTTAGTATTAAAAATAAAACAATAACAATGTATCTGAAAGTACTAATTACGTATTTTATTTATTATAAATTCAATAGAAACAAAATTATGAACTTGTCAAAACTGCATTTTTTGAACTTCTGCGAACGGTTACGATGCCTGACCCTGTCCGGTTGTCCGGTAGCCAAAATTGAAGATTTCAACAAAAAAATACGAGAAATATTGCCAAAACTGAGTGAACTCAACGGAATCCAATCGCTGGGTAAGGCCGTTTAAAATTAGGTACTAAACAAACTTATGGGACATTTAGTTACAGTAATTCTGCTAATTTTAATTAGAATGTACAACAAAATTTGAAAACCGACTATTGATCGACTCGATTATCTGTGGTAACATAACTGCTGCGTTAAGAAGTAAAAAAAAGACCAATCAAATGATGAAAAAGGTTAAGTAGACAACACACAAATATATAATATACAAATAATCCTGTAGACATAAATTAACAATTAAGCATTTTAACTTTTAATAAATAACTACACAAATGATTGTTAGTCTTGAAAAAACTTATTATAAACGACATTTGTGCATAAATGATGTTACTTGCGCCAGTTTTTCATAATTTTATAAACCATAAAAAAAAACACTTGAAGATAATAAAAAAAATTCATTTTGTGTTGCAGGGTACAGAAAGTTCAGAAAAAAGTATTGAATAAGACAATATATTATTATAAAATACAACTAAGTCACTAGAAGTATGATAAGAAAAAAAAATGACATATTGCTTAATAGTTAACAATAAACTACACATTAATTTAATTATTTCTATTGAATTTTATCAACATCTTAAAAATGCTCAGTCTTTTACGTTTGGTAATTAATAATTACTCCTTTATGATATTTAACACATTTGCTTCTATCGGTAGAGCCGACGGTCCTAGTTCAAGAAGGTTCCCAAATAATAATTCAACTAAGACCGCTGGTAGCTAATGTGTTAACACTATACTTAAATGTACTTAGAAAACTATACTGTTGTAAGTTAGGTACTATTTGAAAATCATATATCAAACTCTTCAGCGCCGTCGTCGTTGTTATCTGGGTCTGGTTCATCGAAATCGGTCTTACGCACGTCCTGGTCTTCTCCAAATTGAATCATATTGTTAATAGTGAGTTGTAAATCTGCAATACTATTTTCATCCTTTATATTTAATGGAACAAATCGGACGAGACTGTAATCTTCAATCATCTGGCCGATTCGTTTTGACAAATATCGATCTTTCTTTCCCCATGCCGTGTTGGTTTTCACTTCAGAGCACGAGGATCAGGCTCTAAATAACTAAAAAATATTAAAGACTTATTATTAAATCCTAGATCAAAATATGTCTCTTCATTTTAAAAAGTCAATAAACCATTTCACAGATTATTGTAGCCGAATATAAATATAGCGGAACAAAAATTGGGGCATTTAATGTCGCAAAATATGTGAAAATTATTTTAAAACTTTTTTTAAGCGAACCAAACATTTATAACGTATAGTTTGAGCTGGACCGTTCTAATAATAAGTTTTTTTTTTGTTTTGACCAGACTGGACTAGTAAGTTAGGATCTGTACTTCGATGTCAAGTTTCAGTGGCAATATTAAAAATGTTTCACGACCAATTATTACCCATTAAAAAAATGCAAACTTAATTACTTGTCTAAATGTTTTCTAGCAGTTTTACTGAGTAGATCCATTTTTGACTGAACATTTATATGCGGCATTCTAAATTGATCATAACAGATAGAGCAGCTATTGTACCTATACATGCATTTTAATATTATATATTTTCCTACCAGAAATAAACTTAGGCCCGTCAACCATAAATTGAGAATCCACTAAAATAACAGAACAAACATTAAATCCCCAGTTTTGTAACAATTCTACTAAATGTTTTATCGTTTTCATACGTGTATACAGCTCTATTTGTCCAGGTAAATCAAAAATAACATAGTCATCGTCATCATCGCCGAGCTGTTCTTTTAGCCAATCCGAGTTCTCCATCAAATACCTATAAAAACAAAGTGTTTCGTATAAAAAATATATTAGTAAAATTCAACCATTCTACAAACAAGGTGTCATCAATTTATCCGTGATCGTTTTTCAGTACCATAAGGAATCTAACATATACAGAAAATTGTATAAGTATAAAATTAAAAATTAACACAAATTCATCTGAAAATAAGTTGACACAGTCTAAATGTATTAAAATTATTTGGTCATGAAATATTGCCTATATTTAGCCACTTAATCGTTTCAGGACAGTCGATGTGTATATTATACATTTGTTGTCCTGCCGTTGATATAAACTGCAACAATAACTTACTCCATGCAAAATACCAAACCTCCATTAGGACCGTAATGGAGTAATTCATCCTCCATAGCATCGTCGATATGTATCCAACTGTCTACAGTTGGACTGTAATCAAACCGTTCAGCAGCTGGATCCAAATTCACGACAGTCACGGGATTTTTTTCATTTTCAAAATGTTGTACTACAGCTGAACAATATGTAGACTGAAACAAACATACAGCGGTTACTAATATCGCTTTAAGATGTATTTTGTAAAGATATATTTTAGAACTATGCATAAATAATTCAATTCAAATCTCAAATATTAAAACATCTTAACAAAAATTACATGACAACTCACTAGCGACTTTTCAAATAACAAATCCATTTTTAAAATGTAAATACTTAGGCGTATAAAATTGTGGAATGATCTAGCCATATAACAGTAATGGTACTTTAATGTTAACAAAAAGTTTTCAATACCGATTGAGCCGTGGAAATTACTCACAATAGTTATGTGTAAACATCTTATAACGGGTTCTATCTGAAATAAAATTTAAAAAGAGCAGAACTTATCATGTGCATGAACTTTATTGAGATACGATAAATATTATTGTATATATTTGATATTATCGGTTTATGATAACTATAATACGATACATAAACACGAGACTGTAAGTTGTTCAATTTTCGCTGAACAACAATATACTATAACTGAATATCTATGATCTATCTCTTCGCTAAACTCGTCTCGGTCACTCAATAGAACTTGTGGCTCCTCTGCAGAAAAGAAAGACTCATTAACCTCAATGTCATATTATTTATAGAGTGGAGTGTCAATTAGATGGCTGAGCCAATCTTTTACTACGCGTTTCCGGACAAACCCTATTAGATAACTTGAGCGGTGAATTTTCTTTTTCTTGATGTGAACGTTGATACTATAATCATCGTGCAGCTCACGAGGCAGTAGGTTGACCATTGTATTTACTTCTACTGGCACGTTGATTATTTGTCCAAGAACCCCATATTGGCCATTTCCATGACGAAGCCTTCTGATTGTCATAAACGGAAGTCTTGGCGAGACCAATCACTCGGTGATTAAATCCAAGTCAGGCAGATGTGGTGGTCGCAATGGATACGTAAAACTATTCGACTTAGATGAAGTCGGTATTTTTAGTTTTTTAAGTGTGGCATAATAATATATTTATATTCAACAAAAACAATTTTCAATTGTTTTGTTACGGCCTTAATGTTTTTTTTTTCTAACTTTGTAATCTGTTTATTAAAATTTCATTTATGTTTTTTTATTAAACAATTACCTATTCAATTTAAGTTACGATCCATATAATGTACAATATATTATAAAATATTATACTAAGTATAGTTCTAATTTTCTATTCTATTCTACTTATTCATTTTATTTAACCTTACTTGTATAAAACAAATTTTCTTGTATAATATATAACTATTATAATATTATAATTTTTACATTGTAATAATAATAAAATTATTAAATAAAACAACTTTACACTTAACCCTTGCTGCGTTAGGTGATGACAATATTACAAAATTGTATTGAAACATATTTTAGCTCGTCTTATGAAAAATACAGAGGTACTGTCAAAATTGGTTCAGCGTAGTTTTTAGTATACTTTACATTGTCATTTCTTCACAAGCTGTCACGAATTAATCACATCTGTCATATCAATATCTGTGTTGTTTCCGTCAAGATAATATACAGATTGTAAATTGTGGGTCCTAGGGTAAGCAGCGCGGAGAGAATATGTATAATATACTGCGGTCAGCCACGGCCGGTGCAGCGCGGCTCGTAGTTGTCAAAAACTAAAAAGGCTAGCCTAGCCTAGCCTAGTTATCAAAATGTTGTCGCGTATGGAGAGGCATTGTCCGATGTGGTCACTTAACATACACCCCTAGTACCATTGGACATATATCCGAAATGTTTACTTCCGTTTACCGGTCATATTCACCTCCGTCAGTCCTACTTCCGTTACCTATTTCCGGTATTTGCACAAATTTACTCCTACCCAAAATATTGTACCGCGTGTTAAGATGTTTACACATCAAAAATAGGCCAAGAAATAAAATAAATGAACACAGAAATGTTATTAATATTATTGCACAAACTGGTATTATTTTTTTAAATAAAATAAAATGTAGTTTTTACACAAAATACGTAACCTTTTTTTTTCTCCAAGTAATTGCTAACCTGGGAGGGAACTGTTTGCACACTAATTCCTCCCAGGCAGCATCGTTTATTAGCATTCACTACAAAATATTTTAGTTATAAAAATCCCGTTTTCCTCTTCGCGAGACGGGCTCACAATTTTAAACGTTTGAATTGGCAATCGAAACAAATGGTCGCGTTGAGTTATGGTTGCGCCGCCCGTCGTCCTTGTGTCAAGGAAAACTGGTTTAGCTACCAGTTGCCTACTTTATTATAATTATGATAGTATTTTTGAGTTTAATAAGGCAGTTTTTATTTGTAGCGAGAGTGAACGTAACAAAACCACATGTAATTTGCTTTTTAATTTGACCAAAAAAAAAAGAAATCTGTGTTAGCAGTTATGTTTAGTGTATGCATATAAACAACGTGCCGCGTGATATTGACATGTGACTCACAAATCAAACTTAATCAAAATATTATTATACCTGCTATTCTATGCTTGGTGGATTTTAAATTTGTAAGTTAATTCTATCATTTTAGTAAGTTATTGTAATCATTCAATTAATGTTATTAATTTATAATCAAGCAAATAAATACATCGAGTGAAGCCTGAACGTACAATAGCATGTTGCAACTTTGGTACATGGTAGCTACACCGCACGTGGGTAAATATCTAAAATGTATGATCAACTGATCCAACCATATAGCTAATTCTAGCACTGACTTTTCAGTTAAAATTTCAAAATCAAGTGAAACTTATACTAAAAAAAAAATACACAAGTAAATAAAAATCGAAGTCTAACTTTATCGACCGCCGCAAGCATCGATCCCTTTTCTGTTCCATGCCTTTCGTTTTTCTGCACATATCCAACTCTAAAACATATCAATGTTAAGAGGACGCCACACCGGCCATTCTTAAGGAGTAAAGTATAGGCAATTTTTCGAAAATCTTAATTTAAAGCTTGAACTATAATGTATACTGTATACATTAATACTGTATAAGGATACTTTGTTGATTACCATTTTTTTTTTATCAGACTATCACAGTCATTTCTGTAGGATAAATTACAATTTTTTTCCCCATCAAAACTTGCTTTGCGCGGATTCATTTTTCTCAGGCTTCATATACAGTTAAGGAAAGAAATCTATACATAATATTATACATGACCAAATTATCTGTGCTCCAGCATCCGTATTTTTTCGATATACCTACCTAATACAACCGACGCTATATCATTTTTTAAAAAGTCAAAAAAGTCCTTTCTTTCTTAATTAATTAATTAAATATTCATTAACTAATTGAAATATTAAAAAAAGGGCCATGATAGAAACACAGACAATGATGTCGTCTATATTATGTGAAAATTTCGTTTCTTAGTTTTGATTTACAGCCTTTGTAAAATTACGCCGCGCAAGGCGGGTTTTTGGAAGAAAATAACGCGTGTGTGACTCTCTCTTAAAAAGTATTGAAGTATATTATCTTAGAAAATTACTTAGAACACGCTGAAAATTTCTCGATCCGTGTTTTTTAAAACGACTTAGCTAGACGTGCCAGAGAAAATCTCAGGACAACACACTCGGATTCGGCTAAAAAAATGCAAAAAATTATATTATGTGTGTTTCGGTTCTTGTTCTAAAATCGTGTTGTACAGTGCTATAAACTGTGGAAACATATTGAAATGTACCGGGCGTATTGTGAATGTAACAATTTGGCTTTGTTCGCAGGTTTGAGACAACACTAGGAGTGCGTACTGTGTACCTACAGTTTACACATAATTGTTAACAGTTTATAATTGCGTCGGCAACGGTCGGTTTCAACGCGCTGATAATGATGTCGGTGCGGTTTGTTTAAAAGTCGCGCGACGCCCTTGCACGTTTTTCATTCGCATCAGTTCCGCCGATCCGGTCGCATAGACGCACGCATTGAATTGCTTGATGATAGCCGCACGGTTGCCAGCTCTCAACACTTGACGTCCGCACACGGCTAACGACAGAGTTATTATCGGCCATCGACAGACACAACGCAGTCGGGCCGTTGACATTCGTACGTGAGCTTGGACTTTCGGTGACGTAACAAACGTCGCATAATCATGTTCAACGGTTATTACGGTTCAACGTCGGAGAGCAGCGACAGCGACGTGCCGCCGAACGGTACGTTGGCCAAGACCATGGATCTCAACTACCTGCTGTTGGACTCGCACACGGTGCAGAAACACTTGGAGGACGTGTGCGCGCACAGCCGGCCCGACACCATCGACACCATGTTGCTCAACCACAACGCCATCATGACCCTGCCGCCGGTCATCGAGCGATTCCAACATTTGCGCGTGCTCGACATCAGCAACAACCGACTGACGGCCATACCCGAATTCGTGGCTCGGCTGCCGCTGCACACGCTCATCGCCAAGAACAACCTGATCGACGACGACGGGTTCCCAAAATCGTTCGAGTCGTCCGTCCACCTCAAAGTGTTGAACGTCAGCGGCAATCGGCTGTCCCATTTCCCCGAGCAACTGTTACCGATCGTCACCCTCGAGTACCTGTACATGGGCAGCAACCACTTGGTCGAACTACCCAAGGATATTAACCGGCTAATCAGGCGAGTACCAATCACCTACGTATGGCAAAATATTTATGCGACTAGATAATAGTTAAAATTAACAAAAAAAAAAAATTGTTTGTCGGCTTATATGCTGCTGTACTATTTCAAAAGAAAATAATAATACGTAAAAAAACTTAAAACTAGGATCAATAAAAATTACATGATATTGGCATTATCCGGATTGGCTTACAGCAAAAAAAAGTATATATTAAGTATATATTCAAATGTTGTACTTTAGAGTAGCGACCGTATGTTAACGGCACAGCTATATGGCAAGTGGATAATAAAACATTCGGTATATAAGTGTGCACACGTTCAATGAGTGTAATCGGCCGATAAAAACCTAATTTACAATCGCCGATATGTAAAAAATTATTAATTAATAAGTTATTGTTGTTATCAAAGCCATTAGATTAGATCCGCGTTAGTCGTATGGTATTTATGATATTAAAAGATTTTGGATCAATGAACGATTAATTATAAATGAGGAGATATGCATATCCTCGCGGTCTTAACTATTTTTTTTTTAACTGCGAAAATTGTAACAGTATGTTGATAAAAAGTTACATCAATTAGAAAAATTCCAATGTCCTTAGACACAAAATAATTAAGATTTAAGATAACAGCATTGACTTGGCGTTTATTTAGTTATTCCTTACTTATTAACGCTTATGTTGCTATAAGTTATTGAAATTTAATTGGGAAAAATGTAAATGTGCTCACTGTTTATATTATCATTAATTTATAGGTTTAAAAATTGTTCAATGTAGATGATACAAATTAGCTTATATCTTACAAAGTTTAAAATACATATAATATAATTAACCATACTTATTATGCAGAACGGCTTATCTATTAGTGGTTTCAAAAAAGTAGATAGGTATAATATAAACAAGTTTTCTATTTAATTGTTAAATAAATTAAAAAATGGAATAGCGAGTAGTACCTAGTAAAGTAATAAACGTTAAATGCTGAATGTGTTATTTTCTTCAGTTTTTACCTTTAATCTATAAGCATTAAAAGCAAAAAGGAGGCTATATAGATGCAAATCATATGTGGGTGTCCGCTGCCATTATACACGAGCACTACTTATTTGGGGAGCTTCAAAAACTAAAATATTAACTGAAAAATATGTTTTCATAGGTATAGACGCCTAAGGTGAATTTATTGAGATGTAGGTGTTTGTTTATAAAATAAAAATACAATTTTAATAATTTTTTAAATACTGTTTAAAAAAAAAATGACTGTATAACTTGTATTGAATGTAGGTACATTTAAGTAATTACCATAGTTCATATTATAATTATTGATAATAAAATATTAGCGTTTAATTTTTAGATAATAATAATAATTTTGAAATTTAACCCATCCGCAACACTGCAGTGTATTATTGTGGTATAGGTATTATATGAAAAAAAAAAGAAACTTAGTCTTATTTTCTAAAACATACCTACATGTCTATATATCATGTATATTTAGACAAATTATTAGTTCAGTATTATATTACATACGATTAATTACCAGTTTTTAGTGAATTATTTACCATTTTGATATACCTACACACATTATAAAATTTTAACCGTCGGTTATAAAATAAACTATTTAGACTAGGCGTGATCGCATGGAAAATAAATAACTTTGAATTGCAACTTTCCAGATTAAAATTCTTATGTCTGGGAGGAAATCACTTATCCGACGTTCCAGTGACATTAGGGCAGCTGGACAACATGAAAGCCTTAAATCTGAGCGATAACGCTCTAGAGGGCCTGCCACAGTCCATCGCCAATCTCAAACACCTCAAATCGTTGATGTTGCACAAAAACCGACTTCGTACACTGCCCATAGAAATCATATCATTGAAGTGCCTCTCAGAGGTAAATAAACTCCATTTAAAAAATCACAACCCAAGGTCCCACGTGCATTAATCAGCTTGAAAATTGCTCTTGTGGCCTATTTTGGCCAATTAAAATTAAAAAAAAATTAATTTGTCTTTCTTCTCACACCACTTGGGCAGACACGAGCGGTGACCACAGTAAATTGAGTGAGTACCCACTACTCGGTAATACCGTAACAAGCAAATAGAAATTATATTTTTAATGTATGTAACGGATTTTTACATAACAGAATTATTATTCGATGAGGCTTGGTAAAATATTTGTACATTTAATATAGTCGTTTATGAATCATTTATTATTAAAAACGGAATCTGGTACACATTTTTTAGTTTCGATTCAAAGCTAAGTATATAGTCTTGTATAGTATTGTAATTGTGCTTTAATTTTTCTAGTTTTATTTAATCTTATTCTACTTTTTTTTTTTTTTGATTGTTTTTTAAGACACAGTAAAGTAATAAGCAACTAATACAAATTTCAATTATGTCTTTTAGGTTCACTCCACGTCATTGTTTATTTTAGAAACTCAAAAATATACATAAATGTAAACTGTAAACAAATATCTGAACATCAGAAAGGAAGTAAAATGATTAAAATTAAATGCAGGCATTATACTTGGGCTCACAAACTTCCGAATTTTAAATTTCACTGTTATATTTTAATCAAGCAATAATTTTAGTATCGACAGAACGTTCATGTCGGTTGAACGTTTAGAGTAATTTCATTGTTTCGTTAAAATGTTGATACATTGGACCTAATCATTGCTATAAGGATGATAACCCGCTAACCTTTATACGGCCTCTTGGCACTGTGTTTTATTATATCTACGTTGTACTTTGAATATTTGAGCAATAAAACTGCACAGTCGGAAAATATTTTATAAACATTGATATTATTATAATGAGGTATTCCCATATCGACATCGCCAGCTATAATAACGCATATTATGCGTGTCTAATCGTCTTATCACAATAGCGTAGGTACCCATATAGTACAAGCGAGTAGTACTTACAAAATCTTTGTTTTCAAACCGACACGAGGATAATTAGATTAATTTGAAAGAAAAAATAAATGTCAGTCTACAATCAAATTCACGCTGTATAAAAACGTTAGTCAAAATTAGATAGGATAGGCAATTTTAATTACAATTATTAATCAGTAAAAAACAAAATTACACAAGGTTATGCCGCTAATATTATAATAATAAGATAACATTATGATTTATGGCCGTCTTGCAAAATTGATTGCAGTACACGTGTTTTATTGATATGTGCGACTAAAACTACAAAAACAAAAACCACCCACATTTTTATGTACCTATTATGTTTAATACAGGTCATGCTAGAACCGCCAGTTTTCTTTTTCAGTTGAGCCTAAGGGATAATCCGCTGGTAGTGAGATTTGTCAGTGATATGACGCACAATCCGCCGTCTCTTCTAGAACTGTCCGCCAGAACTGTGAAAATCAACAACGTGCCCTACGGTGAACGGGATTTGCCTTACAACCTGATCGAATACTTAGCCAGTGCCCATCACTGTGTTAACCCAAAATGCAAAGGTAAGACGTCGTTTGGATTATTGCATTGCGATCGTTCCCGGAAGACCGTAGTATTGACGAAGAAAGCCTTGGGGTCTATTCTAGTCGAGTTGCTGAATTAATGTGTGCGTGTGTGGGAGGGGTGGTTTAGAAGGAGCTCTTGAGGGTTTTAGCCGGTTTTAAATTAATCATACACTCACGTAAGCCTATGGATAGAAACGAGTATCTGAATAACAGAGAACTTATTATAATATTTTTTATGGGCTATTTCTCAAGCATTTATCTCATATTTTATCGAGCTTGTCTTTTTTTTCATAGGAGTATTTTTTGACGATCGAGTGGAGCACATTAAATTCGTCGACTTTTGTGGTAAATATCGAATTCCGTTGTTACAATATCTTTGTTCGTCCAAATGTATTGTCAACCATAGCAACGCGCACGGCGACAGTACCGATAGCAACATGATGAGGAAGGTATTGCTTGGATAGTTTGTCACAAGTCATCACACACGCTATTGTTTATCTAATGTGTAATAATAATATACTTGTATAAAATTGTGTGTACGTCTGATTGGTGGTAAATATATACAGAAAAAAATGTGTTATTTCATTATATATTTGAAAATAGTTAAATGCTAGATAACATTTAAGTGTATAGACCGAAAACGATTTTTTTTTTATCTACGAAAAGAACTGGAAATAATTTTAATGCATATTATTTTAATATTTTAATTGCATATTATTATTACTAGTAATAATATAGAATATACATTATACATAATAATAATAATACCTAATTATAAATAGTTTAGTTATTCACAATTAAAAAATATATACATAAATAGTCTAAATAAAATGATCGTTTTCAATATAAATTTAAAGATTGGTAAAATCGTAATTATATGTTTTATAAGTTTAATATTTAATAAATGTAATATATAATTTGTTCGGCTAGAGTTTTGAAATATCTGCTCAATATACTACCACACTATACATATATTTTATACAGTACAAATAATTTTATGTTATTTTATACAAAAAAAAAAAATATTTGATTTTTCATAACTTTAAATGTGTGTTCTGAATTTATGATTGTTCTGTTCTGTTCTGTATCAATAATGTGTAGGAAGTTTTATGTTGAGTATCTGTTAAAAAAAATGTTGATATCGTTTTTTTTTTGTCAAACCCATTTCAGATTTTTTGTATACAAATATATATTTATGTTTATTGTACTATTGTTTCCTAACTGTGATATTAAAATGATTATTAAATTCTATCTACTTGTGAATTAAAGTTAAAATTGCTAAATAAAATACGTTTATGTTTAATTTTATTTTCGATCATATGTCATGAAATGAGAGTAGAATTATATACTTTCTACGTATTATATTATATTAATCTTATTCATTATTGTAGGAATAGTTGTTTTATTGTGATTAATATTTAAATTTAAAAAAATATTTCCGAAAATTTTTTAAACCTAAATTTATATGCTTGTATATAAACGTGCTAACAACAGATTTAATTTTATTTGGAAATTTCTTTCTTACAGTATTGTTTGCAATGTACAGATATTTTCCCGAACTTTGGCTAGAAGAGACCAAATCAAATTTTTAAAATTCTACCAAATTAAAGTAGCATTATAATATGTTTACATAAAATAGTGTTATGTTATGTCAAATCATAAAAAAAATAGTTTTTGAAAAGTGTAAAAAAAACTAATTTTGTACACTGTGCTCTCACCATCTTTTGTCTTCTTAAGGAATTATTCTGTAATTCAGGCGAACAATAAGGTAATAGCTTACAAAAGCAGAATTACGAACTATTTTATAATTAAAATAATTATATTAGTTATATTATATGTCATTTTGAATAACTTATTTTTTCTAAAACATAAATAAATAAACCCCATCATTGTAAAAACAATACCTTCTCAGAACCACATCAAAGCTAAACTATTTAGAATTGGGTGTCGGTGTTAAATACTATGAACTGGGAAATAGCGGTTAAGCTGGTTTAAATCTATTTTAAATGACCATATTTTTGGTTTATTTTTTAACTATTGCCATATAGATTTATGAGTTGAGTAAATTTTGAATAGGTGAATCCTATGAAAGGAGCTGTGATTTTTGAGCTTTTCAGCTACCAACTAGAAATATTTACGATTAAGTAAGTCGTGCTTAAATATTTAGTTAACAAGATTTAGAATTAAAAACATATTTTTATTGGCTTGTTACTTTTTTCTATAAATGTTAATTCCATACTAAAAATAAACTGTAAATAAACGATATGCGCCCGGCGGAATTATGAATTATATAAGTAGTGATTGGATTCAGTTAAGGTGCAATTCGACTTCACATGAAAGAGCTTACTGATTGCTGATTGACGCTACAGATTGCCGAAAGTATGAATACTTATAATTACTAGTATGAGTATAGCTAAATGTATTTAATAAATTAATTGACTAAAATATTTCAACTATTAAAAATACATTTGTAAAATAAAAATCAATATGATAATAGTTATAATAGAAAATTGTTATACAATTTTTATGATATAAATACAATAATATTTTAATACAATAATAATGTTAATAATAATAATAATAATACAATATAATAATATTAATATTTGTACACTATTTGCTCACTGTAGCGTTTCACTAAAAGTACATCCCTAAAACACTTTAGTTACCTTTTTAGTTAGTTCCCCTAGGTAATTTTTGTTTAAGCTAACAACATTGTAACTAGTATTAATTTATGGGTAAATGCCTATAAATCATGGGCAATATACAGTACAGAAATTATTATGTAATACATTATATCACTTTTAACCGGTAGTCAATTGTAAGTTGTATAATATAAAAATGAATATACTTTATATAAACTCAACTTACAAGCATTAAAAAAAAATGTCTGAAAATAGATATGCTATTTTTACTTATAGGTAAGTTAGGAAATTATGTTATTCATATAAGCAGCAAAATAACAAAGATAATTATCGGAAAAGAAACGCAATGATTTAGAACTTTTATTTTACTATAATTAGGTACTTAGCGCAGACTAATTAACAACAATACTTTTTAATATATTCTCCTGTAAAATTATACTCTTGGTAGGCTTAAATTAAAACAAACACTCCATTGAAATATAGCGTGTTGACTATACACAAATTATTTTATGTTGATTTGAGATTAGTATTATTTTTTTTTTTAATAAGTAAAGATTTGTAATTAGTCATTATCATTAGTCATAAATTAAAAGCATTTAATACTCTTTAATAAACTAATACGTATGATAAATCACTCAGACGACCAAATATAGATTTTTGTATTAGATTTATTTTTATTAAGCTACACAATTGACATAGGCTTGCTCTGAAATAGGATAATGATTTAATCGTTTTAAAATTTCCGTTCATTTTTTAGTTCCTAATTAGCCCTAACAGAACAAGGATAATAGAAGTACCCACGACTTCCATGTACGGTTCTAAAACCAGCAATTTGTCTTTTCGAAGTCTAACCATTATTGATTATTGGTCCGAACTTAGACTTTGATAAGTCAATTTCTTTGTGCTCAATTATACTTTCTAAGGGGAGTAGTTTTCATAGTTCTGTTATTTTACTTGTTACCCTGAAAAGGAACATATTATTTTAAGAAAGAACAGTTGAAGTAAGTGAATAAAGGGGGCAAGTTTAAACCCTAATGTTATCATTGTCATAGAACTTAGAAGCACGTAAGGATGCACAGTTTTTTGCTAGTAAAAGTACAAGTTTTAGTGATATTTTGATATAGTTTGCGACACAATTTTTTTTTCAACAACGCATTTATTTTAATTAAGTTATATTTTATTTTATTTTATGAACGTCGTCGACCAAATAAGGACAGAATAGGATATCTAAAATCAAAATAATATTATGTGTACAGTGTACATAAAGATTTTTGTAAAATTAAATAAAAATAAACTTTGCTACACTTTACCTCTCGTCTTAAACTTTAAGTGATATAGTAAATATTTAAAATAAACTCTTCATAAATTAATGAAGAGTTTTGAGATTCTAGAACAAATAAATAAAAGGCATTTCAAAACGATTAAATCCGGAACAAATAGATGAATAGAAATTTTAAAAGTCTGGATTACGAAACTTTTCTTTTAAATCTTAACATTAGTTCCTTACCTAATTCATTTTAAAATCCTGGCTTATAGTAAAATCTTAGATTACAAAATATAAAGACAATACCTTATTATCACATAATATAAAGATATTTTTTAATTCATTGTTTATAAAGTTATACATAATATGTAAGATAAAATATAATAAGTTATTATTAATAACACTTCTTTTTTGATGTTGAACTTTTGATATACACCTAAAAAATTAAAATGTCAAAAATGTCTCTTCGTGGACACGTAGATAAAGTTATGCTATTACATTTTTGTTTTAATATAAGATATTGCTCTTAACTTTTAAATAGTATTAGTACAAATGCGTTTATTAATTATTTCAATATATTTTATACCACGTGTAACAGACAAGATAACACATTTTCCCCATCTCATAAAAATTAACTCTCTCTCTAAGTTTTGGGTTGAGAGTAGCGGTCTTATGAGTATGTGTGCAAGTTAAGTTGCAATGTGTATGACTAGTTTTTGAAATGTACACCATCATTTTTAAAAAAAGTCAATATTCATGTTTAAGCTGTAATAATAATTTAGTAATGTAGTACTCTTATGTAGATACTAACTATATCTATATATTATAATATTATTGGTATGAAAAAAGTCGCATTGTTAGATTATAAGTTAGTATTACATTTTCCGCAGGATAAATTTTTTAAAATTAAAAATAATTTTTTTCTATAATAATCATATCCGTACTTGACATGTTCTATCCCTAATTACCGTATCGGCTTGTCTATGTTAACAAAGTACCTATACCTACAATGACTGTCAGATAACAAATATTACATCAGTCACAATGGTCCTTTAGGTAAAGCCCAACGGCTTATAACAGTTTATCAGTAGGTTTGACTAATAAATCTTACGAGTGTATCTGAAACAAACAGAATATTGTATTAATAGGCGTACAATAATGTGTAGCATAGATAATGATGACCAAAAATCGGAGATTAAGGTGTATAGGAGATATCCTATGGGCGTTCGACAAATAATATCGCACTACACCATTTAAGATATTGAGTATAAATAAAAGTAGGTATTGTCATTATTTTCAAACTTATAATTTTATCCAAAACTATATAGTTATCTTATCTAGATACGACTTTCCTAACATCTTGCTGTTTTGGCTTTATAATCGGCTAGGTGTGTTATTTTTTACTATGCTGGCTTTACGGTACCAAAAATAGGAAAGTCGCAAGCTATGGGTAATTTTTGAACTATTTGTATGACTTGTAAAGTAGGTATACTTTTTTAAATATTGGTCAAACTTTATTTTTCTTTGGATGATTCATTTAATATGGCCACAGAGAAATGGTCGTCTTATGAACGTGGCTTAAACTTATTTTGTTAGGAGAGATGAAACACATAATGTTTAACTATGCTTGATGCTTGTGTTGACTAAGTTGGTAAGTTTAATTAAAAACTGTAAATAGTTCAAATTTCAATATTCTGATGGTAATCGAATTTACTATATTTCCATACTAATTGAATTTTTTGAATTGGTAATATCAAATTAATAAAATCGGAACACTCGTTGCGGATAAAAATGTATAGGCACAATCAATGTTTGTTTTTTTACTTTTACAGAGAGCAGTAGCGTACTAACGAGGGGGGGGGGGGTTTAAACCCCCCCAGAGCCAAAAAACAGATTGTAAATAAGTAATATATATTATAGACATTTATTGTATAATTGTTACAATGTTACTCTCTGAAGTAATTTAGAACTTGAAGTAAATAAATATAATAAATATTAACTTAATAATTATATTTTAGTGTTTAGTGTTTAGTGTTTTGTATAGTTTTGACTTTTGTTAACTATTAAATACGGCATACCTATTCTGATATTAAAAACACGAATTTATAGCAAGATTGAATGTACGCCATTGTATGAGTGTAACCTGTTAGAATATACTTTATTACTCCACTGACACATATAAGTTATTAATTCAATAAATTATACATTCGTCTTCTTATAATAATAAAACGTAATCATATACAAAACAAATGTTTTCTGAAAGTTAAGAAATCAAATAATTAATAATATAATAATTAAAATACAGAAAAAAATTAAAATAAAACGTTGATAAAAAAAATTATCATGAGATTGTTATTTGCTAAGTAATATATTAACCATAATAGACCATCCAAGTTGTGTAGGAGATCCCAAAATAATGTCTAATTAATTGTTATAATTCGCAAGAATTTTCTAGTCCACTTTTTCACTAAATATTTTTAAAGTTATATTAAAATACAATACTACAATAAACTTATAATGTAATTTACAATTTGTGTTTTAGAAATATTTGGAAGTCTACAAAATGTGTTTGCTAATTAAATAGTAATTTAATACCGTAAAACGGGGAGAATTGCAACGATTTTCACGATTCACTCAATTTTAAACTTAAACTAAAAATCATGTTTTTATCCAAGAGTTAATATGAAATTGTTAAATGATGGCTTGTTATCTTAGGTATAAAATTAAAAAAAAATTGGAACTGCGATTTCAAATTTTTTTTGTCTTTTTTATTCAAGTAAGTATGTTGCAATTCATCTTATTGTGGGGTGAATTGAATCATAGCTAAAAAAAATATGAATGTTGCAATAAAACCATAGAAATGGCGTATTGCAACTTGTATATGGTTTTAAATTCATAACTAGGTTGGTATTTAATACATAACATTTACTTTATTAATAAACATTGCAATACCCTTGGCAAATCCATAAAAAGAAAAGAACAATTTTAACAATTTATAGTTAAAGTATAAAGTATAACAATTTAAAATATGAAATGTATACTATAAAGTATAAATCAGTTTCAACAAGTTATGAATATATTACCTAACAATTAATAAATGGTACAACAAAATGTGTCAGTCTCAACAAATAGTTTTGTAAGTCTTTCAAATAAGATCATTCTTTGATTCTTAAAAAATAAAATTAAAAATTAATGGTAACGTTTTAGTAGTACATTAAATGAAAAAGACAGCAGTAAATCCTCGTCTTAATACTGTAGGAGGATCTATCTATTTCTTTTTCGATATCTTATCCCTCTAGAGTCTGGAACATATTCTCTAGGCATCTATAAAATATAATAAAAACATAAAAAAAAAAATAATTCACAATTCTTTTTTATAATCAAATGTCAATGCAAATCACCCCATTTTTTACAAAAATTGAAAATTTTAACTTCTTTCATTCATAATTAATTTAAAATAGAATATATGACTTTTTTTGATAGTTAATTAAGACATTGACATATTATATTATGAATTAAAATTATTATATTAATGATTATTACATTTTAATTGGATAAGCTGAACTAGGATTTACAAAGTGATAACATGGTTTAGTCAGAAGTCATGAAACAAATATTTTTTTTCCGAGAAGGACATACTGTTATAATTTAAATATCATTTTAGTTGATAATAAATTTCTTGATTAATTTTGTTTGATTTTTTTCAAACTGATAACATACAAATTTGAAATTTGGGAACACTTACAAACTTATTACTCACCGAGTGTTGCCATTTACCTTTAAGTTGCAATTAACCCCGTTTTGCGGTAATAATAATAAAAAAAAAATAACAACTAATGTTTTACAACTTGCAATTTTTTTTGTTTTTGAGATTAGGTACCTAAAATTTTATAGTAACTATTTTAAGCACGAAATTATATTTTCAACTTTTTTGTTCATTAGTTAGATATACCTTCTATTTATTACAAGGTGACCAATAATTTCGGTATTAAAATTGGTCAATAATTATTGTTATCGGTTTATTTTTTATTTGATGCGGGTAACATTTTTAAAACTATTTTTGGATACATATCAAGTATTATTTTGGATGTAATTATATTACATTATTACTAATATATTGAAGTAATTGACTGACTCTTTGTTTTAACATAATTTTATAATGCATCTATTAAAGAGTGTGAATTAATTGTTAAAAGAAAGTGTTTCCAAATACTCTACCCCATGGGTGGTTTGGAAATGAGTATAAATACAATTTTTTTTTATGAAAGATAGAAATATAAAATGCAATTTTATATTTTTAAATTAGGGAAAGGTGGGGGAATCATGGCCACCTAAGCAAGAATTAAAATATCTTCTGAACTAAAAGTCCAAGTTTTTAATGGGAAAATAGTTGTTTATCGTTTTGAAATATCTGGTTAGGTAGTATTATTTTTTTGCAACCCAGAGCAAGATTGAATGTACGCCACTAACTGAGATCCTATCGCTTTGATGCGAATTTAATTATATTACTATATTATTATTTGTTTGTGTTTTTGCAGTACCTAAATATATAATCGATATAGTAGATACCTATGTAATATTATATTACACAGTTTAATTTTATAGGTCCTTAACGACTCTTATTCATTTTACACGACAATAACATAAAAACAAGTAGGATACTCAAGGTGTTATTCGAAATACAAAATATGGAGACGGTATTCTCCGTTGACCGAAACACTTATAAGGTAACTTTGGCGCTATCTATTAAGCCGGGTTCCCACGACTCGCCTAAAAATGAAAATATGTCATTCATTTTATAAAATAATAATTTAAAAACAAGTTTACCATAATTAGATAATTCATTAAAACAAAAATTTCATTGCATTTGACATGATTAAAAATTAAAATTAAATACCTAATACATTAAAATATAAAATATATTGAATTGTGTACAAAAAAAAAAAAAAAATAACTGATGAAATAAATAATATAAATTTAATTTAAAGTATAAATAAAATGATGTAGCTGTATAATATAAACAAAAAATTAATTAATTAATATATTTTATTTATTATGTTATTTTTTTATATATCTACTACATTTATCTTAGATTTTTTTTTAACTATCATTATTTTTTATTAAATAAAATACAATTTATTATTTTATATTATACATCTTACTTGATTATATCTATTTATTATAAATGGTAAATTAATTGTAAGTTTTAATTATGTAGACAAGAGTTAGTCGCAAGAGTCGTCTAACCGACTCAAAAAGGGCATAGACTAAAAAAAAAAAAAATACTTATATTTGTTTAATAAATTTGTTATTTTGTATTATATGATTAATTATAATGCATTTATAATTGGTAGATATTCCCTGTCCATTCGGCAGACAGACAAATAGTGGGAACAGATATACTCGTTTACTTACACGAATAAACGAATATTAGGTATACATTTGGTAAATAGATGAGTTGTGGGAACCAGGCTTTAGATTGTTGAAATATTTCCTCTTTTGTGATATAATATACGAACATCATTATTTTTTAACACAATTTCACAACAACGGTAATCCAAAATTGCCATCATCTCTAGGTATTACAACTTTTACTAATATTAGCTGTCGCTAGGAAAATATATATAAAATAACTGCTAATGGGCAGTACAAACTCCGGATTGTTTTATAAAATATTTGTCAAATAGAGTAAAAGTATATCTAAATAGATAAAGTTACCTTATTTGTATAATACTACTTAAAAAGTTTTGAATTAAATTAAATTGTATATTAAATTACATATGCAAGTGTCATCCTACAAAGTATCATGCTTATACGAGAAATAAAAACAAACCTTCTCTATTGGACGAATTATAATATTTATACCAGTAAACCGTAATTGTTAAGTTAATATGAAATAATAATTAACAACACAATATACGTTACAAGTAACATTGTTTTTTTAAAAAAATATGAATAAATATTATTAACATAATTGAAATTAGGTAAAAAATTAAAATAAATTATTATAATATGGTAAGTTTTGTTATGCAATTATACTTATCGGTATTGGCCAGATCAATAATATTACAATGTTTAAGATTGTTTAAGACTGTAGGTTTTTAATTTTACCAGTAACTAATAAAAAATAATCCCGTCATGTATACAATAGAGAATACTGAAAATGGGCAATAATAAATTTAAATGAAAGTACAATATTATAGCAGACATACATGTTCCTAAATTATAAATATAAATAAATAAACATAATTGAACATAGTTTTAATTGACTACTTATTGTATACATGTATTTTACTATTGGTACATGTTTTTATTTATATATTTTAGTTTCCTTTATCGGTTCACTACCTACAAATTACAACCATATTTGTAATTAACTTACTTAAATTATTAACTTACAATAACTTCAAATAAAAACTGGCTTTTAAACATTTTATAATATCAATACGTATCATAATACAAAAAAAATTATCGATTCCACAATAATATTAAATATTTTGGTTATTAAAAATGCTTCAGAAATTCTTCAGAACAAATTCGTGCTCTAGCATTGATTGCAAGCTTCATTTCACTTATTTCTTTGTCAATTTCCTCCATAAATCGGATAATGAAATCAATTAACTTGTTCCTGTACATTTGTTCCACATGCACATTAGTGATTAAAAATGTTATATCATAGCCAGCAATAGGTTTTCTCCTTAAAATGAAAAAGTTTTCTGCTCTTTTCATCATAAATCGTGTAAATTTATCACATAACAACCGTTCAATTTCATCGCACTGTTTAATTGCTATGCTGACACGTATAGAATTTATTGAGCTCTCAATAAATACACGTTCTCTTTCATTGCGACTGATTAATACTGGCGTTAGTATAAGTTCTCTATTTGTTTGCATTTCAATTTCAGGCTTACTATGGCGTTCCACTACTTGTGAATAAAATTGAGTTATGCATATGGCAGCATCTAATGTATGTTTCACAACCGATAAATAAGGTTTAAGTGTTGTAGTCATTTTAATATGCTGTAAAAAAAAAAAAAACCATTATAAATATACAACATGAATAATTACACAAATACTATCACAGATTAACAAGAACAAAACAAAATATCAATAGATTAACAAAATAAGTAAATTGTAAAAATTAGTAGTAATCAGTGTACTTAATACACTGATAATATTTTACATAATCTATAAAAAAAATCTACGCAAAATAATTATTCTAACCAGGCATCCAGCTTTACATCTAAATGTGAGGTTACTTACGCAACGACTATATTATATTTTCACCCATCCCGATATAAATTATGATGTAGAATGTAATCAGTTAGGCGTGTTCATTTTTTAAGTTAGTGTGCTAGGCCCACCCAAATACTGCCAATAGTCTTAACTTAAAATAAATATTTCAATATCTACTAACATGTTTTATATTACTTTTGAACTATAGCTATACTTGATAAGTTATTAAATCAATATTTTAAATATATACTAAAATGTAAAATAATACTCTCTGCTGATAAACTTATATATTCATTAAAATTAATAATTATTTTTTAAATTAAGAAACAAATGTCGATTTAATGTTTCAATTGTATCAATTTTTAAATTGCCCGTTCAATACTGAATAAAAAATGCATATATTGATAAGATAATTATTAAATGTAGCTATTAATTACTGAAATTAAAAAACTGGCTTACTTATTATATTATTGTCTATTTACTTGAATGTGAAAAACTGAATAAATTATGTTTTTGAGACGTATCGTAGACACCTATACATTCAGTGTAATCATTTCAAAAATACATCAATAATTAAAAATGAACTAAAATATCGAACGTATAAAATAACAAAATACGGAATGAAATATTTTAACTAAATAAATTTAGAACTAGGCGGATATGACGAACGGAAATCTTGAATACAGTCGATTTCTACTTTCAGCAATCGGATGATAACTATTTGACAGCAAATAACTAATGCTGATAATGACGCCCACGTAAATACTACAAAACGCCGACGTTTACTAAACATGGTTGCGGTATCCATGGACGTTTCACGTTATCAGAGGTTATCACAGTTGTTTGTGATAACAGTAAGTTGAAATTTGTATTATAATACTTTGTATCGTACCTATTACCTACTTGTTAGTAAACCACCTTCTAGTGCCGATATTTTAATTTAAAAATAAAGAACTGAATTAATAGTTAGCCGAAAAGTTTGTTGATTTTTAATTATATCCTAGGTTAACGATAATTAAAAATGTTTAAAAAGTAAGTTTAATTAATAATTTGTTTATTAATATTCTGACCTAGGCAGTAATTTTTGTTGTTTAGTAATTAATACCAGCTTTCATCTACTTAGGTACCTACATAACACAATTATCTTATGTAAATTATTATCAATTGATTGTTACAGTTTTCTTTTATCCGTTTTTTTAAATCTAATTGAGTATTAAATTTCATTTTAAAATTACTAAAATTTTGAATGTGTTCTTAAGTATGTGCATGCATATTATGTATCCCTTGTATTCAAAATCGTGGTATAAGATCAAAGAGGTGAATTGAATATTTTTTAAATTTTGAATATAATGATGTTAGCGCAAATAGTATTTCTATTAAATAACTTATAACCGTAGACTTAAATTTACCATTAATCATGGGGTTGCTTAAACACTAGTAAATGTCTATAAGCAACTCTATAAACATATATTTAAAAAAGTGTGAATTATTTTAAAAACTGCATAACATGGATAGGGATTGAGGAAAATATAAAATAACTGTCGGTTTGAATTAATATTTATGAACACTATGAATTTTTTCTTGATTTTTATTTGATAGAACGAAAAGTAGGTGTATTTTATTGTAGTCTTGAAGTAACATCATTTATAAATTAACTTATAAGATAATTGTGTTTCTGATATTTTTATAAATTAATTACTTATTAAAATTTCAATTTTTTACAGGTTTGATGACAAAGATAGTGTAATTGGTATTCAACAGTTAAAATCATCAGTCCAAAAAGGTATAAGAACAAAAATACTTGAGCAGTACCAATCTCTTGATGAGTACATAGATCAGATATTACCTAAGAAGGACGCACTGAGAATTGTAAAATGGTAAAATTTTAGTATTGTAATAGAGCTAAATATATAATAATGTTTAAATTTATTCAAACACATTTATTTTCAGCCAGGACCATATTGAAATTATTGTAAATTCTGCTGGAGACTGTTTATTTTTCCGTCATAGAAATGGACCATGGTTACCAACTCTAAAACTTCTTCATAAGTGTAAGTATATTGATTATATTGTCGTCGCTTAACTATTTTATTTTTCTCAAGTTTACAGAAGAGCGAAAAAATCAGTTTCATTTACCATTAAACAACATCAATTATTCGATTATATCGCTTTCTATTGACTTTTTCGTAAATATGAGTGCATTTTTTGATTCTCTGCAAAATGTTAAATAATTGAGTGTTGTTAACTCAATTTGACCAAAATTTGAGATTGGTATATTTACCTTTAGAATTTTCTTTCAGTATTTAATTCAGATAACAAGTAAACTCCTTTCAAATCTGTTTTAAAATTTTCTATTAAATTGTTAGATTGGTCGATAAGAATAGGTCTTAACAATGTGAAATAGTGTTAGAAAAGAATACTGGTGTTATGCAAATGTGTGTTTAAGACCAGATTGCTCCATGGGATGCAACACAAAAATACGGTCACACGAAACAAAAAATGTTCATCATAAATGTCAACTAATAATACATAGACCAATAATAATTATTGATTTTTATTGTCGTTCTTAATTTGATAAAATATATGCACAATGTAGTTTTGATATATTATTTTGTATAATGAATTTATGTATACATATTTTATTTTTTTAGATCCATTTTTCCTTCCCAAAGAGCAAGTAGATCTAGGTGCAATTAAATTTGTTATGAGCGGGGCTAATATTATGTGCCCTGGTTTGACGTCTCCTGGTGCGAAAATTGAGCCTGTTCCACAAAACACTATTGTTGTATCCTTTTAGTAGTTTTCACTTTAAAATTGGTTATTTCATCATCATTTTTAAATTTCAATAGATTAAGTTTGTTATTTTGTTACTGATTAGATATTATAATATTTAAATTATTAGATCTGCGATAATCTTGTAATATTCAAGTATAATTACAAATAATTTAATTTATTGTTTCTTAACAAATATTTACTCAGGCAGTAATGGCTGAAGGAAAACAGCATGCTCTTGCTATTGGTATAACTAGTCTGTCCACAGATGACATGTAAGTTATTATATGTTTTTTTATTAAAATAAAAATCATGAATTTAATAAGTAATTAAATATTTTTTTTTTCAGATTAAAAGTCAACAAAGGAGTAGGTATTGAGAACTGCCATTACCTAAACGACGGACTATGGCAAATGAAACCTGTAAAGTAATTAAAATATTACTGTGAAATAATTGTATCTCAAGTACGAATTATTCAAATATACTTAAAATAGTATAGTAAAATCATAAACTGACCCATTAAGTTATATTTGTGTGAAAGTAAATGATTGTATACTTTTTTTTTTCAATGATGCATCTACAATAAACACCTGTATAATATTATTACCATCGTAAATTGAGTAATTTTACTTTTTTCTCGCTTTTTTACAAAGCTTAGAAAGAACTGGTTTATTTTTGCATTAATTTTCCTTCTTTTCTTTTAAATCTGAAGATCCTATTTTTAGAAGAACTGATTTCTTAAATTAGTGTTTCTATTGTTTAGGAATCGTATGAGTATCAGTAGGTTGAAGAAGTTTTTTCCTTTAACTAAAAAATGTCCAAAGAAAATATTTACAATTTTAAAAGCATTATTTGCTCAATAGTGAAATCTGCTAAAAGTTACTGGAAATTTGTTTTATTTAAGCGTTTTCTTAACATTTTTATAAAATAATGAAACTGATTTATTATTAGGAAATATATTTTCTTAAGCCATAAATGTAATGAAATTGAAATTATTGAAACTAATAAGTTCTAAGTAGTACAAGTATTTTAGTATCTAATTATTAGAAATGAATTACAAAATTGTTTATTGAGTTATTTATTATTATAATGTATAACAAATTATTATAAACTAATAATTTTTACATGTAGGTTAACATTTATTGAGCATTTGGATTATTATTCATTATAAATTGCTTTAAAGCAATTGTATTCTGAAATACACATAAGAAATAATTATTGATCTGTAAACAACTTCAGATGCGGTGTTAAGTGTACTACACAACAATAGTCAATTTATGATAAAATAAATACATTTTAACTAGAGAAGAATATGAATTGTATAATAGTCATTTCACACTTTTATTGAACTTATTAAAAAAAAAAATGTTTAGAGAAAAAATGATAATTAAAAACTAGGTTTTATTGTAAAATATTCAATTTTCAAATCCGTTTCAAATGAATTCATTTTCTAAGACGTTAAATGTCAATTTTACAACATGTTGTTATAAATAACGAAGCTGACAAATTTTCAATGGTATAAAAAATGAAACTAATTTATTTACTCACAAGAAATAAGAAATTGTTATCCAAATGTACTCCAAGAGGTCAAAAGTTGAAAGTTCGCATTTTACTTTTCAAAATTAAGAAAAACGTCTAAAAATATTTATAGTTTTATGGTATGCAATAACCAGTGCTTGACTTGAGAAAAAAGTAGTAGAGGTATCTAGATACCTTTAAAAAAGTAGCGTCCCTAGCATTTTAATATCCCTCACGTTACCGCGGGGGGCTTCGCCCTCCACACCCCCTTTAACAGTCCCCTAAGCAGCATTGATATAAAACCATTAAACAAAACAGAATAATATAATACTTGTTTAGGTATAACTTGTTTTATTAAAACAATTACAAGCTTAATTAATTTGATATAAATTAATCATTTTTTATTTTTAAAAATCTTTATTAAAAGATTCCCACAGTACCATTGATTAATTGCAAATATAAATACAATTGTACCGGGTGATTACAAAAGAATAAGTCGGTTTCAAAAATCTGTATTTTCTAAATGGTACAGCTACAGAGCTGTCTGATCTCTTAAAATGACAGCTGTAACCTCAAGTTAGGTTAGGTTACCGCTAGGATAATTTGGGATGAACAAAATCCACACACAACCCTGGAACACTTGGAGACTCGCCAAAAGTTAACGTCTTTTGCGGTATGGACCATTTGTTTTTAATGAAGCCACTGTTACAGGAAACTCGTACCTTTAAATGTTGTAAGATTGGCCGTACGATTTTTTTTTTGTGGGGTTGCGTCAAGGGAAAAGTTTGTGCCGCTATTGCCTGCGAACATTGAAGATTTGAAGCCACGCATAACTTTGGCTGTGCAGACAGTAGCTACTGACATACTCCACAGAGAGTAGGAGGAATTTGCATACCGACTTGACATTGTTTAGGTTACTCAAGGAGGACACATTGAACATTCATAATTTTTTTTTATTTTTAAAAAAACTTGAGGTTATAGCAGTCATTTTAAGAGGTCACGCAGCTCTGTAATGTTTAAAAAATACAGATATTTGAAACTAACTTATTCGTTTGTTATCACCCTGTATTTAATCAATGACGGTACACCTTTAAACAGCGTATTTAAAGTTTAAACGGTCAAACGGAGCGATTCGTTCCATCAAATCGCGGTAACGTTTCGCAACGAGACCAGCAACATGACGATTGACGGGTACGAACGGGAAACGATAATGAAATATTGATAGTAAAAAAAATATACGTATCAGATATGAGATATCAAAACATTTTGTAAATATTAGAACAATTTGTAAGATTTATATATTTAACACAAAAATTTAATTTGAGCAACTTTATAAATATAGGTAAGACTAAATAACAACCCGTCCCATGCGTTCCTCTTTAAAAAAGAAGTAGGGGTACGCTAGAATATTCAAAAAATTAGTTGAGGTACTCAGTCCCCCTGCGTCCCCCCCCCCCCAAGTCAAGCACTGGTAATGACTGTTCGTAGTACAGTTCCAAATTTGTTTGTAGTATTCTTTTGGTATCTATAATATTATATTTTATCGAAGGTAAACACCAAATATATAAATATTAAGAACTCTTATAATGTATACAGTCTATCCGTACCTAACTATATTAATACTGTATAATATTATTTTTTGGTTGACAGTAAACGTATATATTATCTAGGTATACTACAACCGAGGTCGGAGGCAAAAGTCCAATTGTTGTTTCTAAGTTTGCTACTGGACACACTGTGTAAACTTCAAACCTCAGATCGTTTTCCTATTGGCTCTTGTTGGCTCTATTATATATTTGACTCGTATATTATGGTTTACAACTTGTGGTTTTATGGAAGTTAAGCGTCTATTTTTGTTAATATTACTATGGTTGTTGAATACACCAATATGTATTGTTTGTCTACTATTGATGAGCACAGAAGAGTTCCTATATGTTAAGTTTTCGTATTGTAAATAATTTATTTACCTGTAAGTTTTTTAAAACAAAATCACTATGGCCTAAGGAAATGGCCAAAGGGGTGTAGCCCCTTGAGACTTCGTTTCTCTCCATACGTATAGTTTTTTAGGTAGAATTACCATTTTAATATTTATTTTTTTTACAGTTAGTAGCTTGTTAATTAATTATTACGCTACCACTACGTCAGTGTCGTTGTTCTTTACTGCTTGCGAGATTCGTGTTGGATTGCGGCTTAATTGTTATTTTAAATAATGTATTCACGCTGTGGAATATTGTTCTTCTCGGAGGGGCTATGATGAGATGCGGGGATGAATTGACATTAAAACGGAAGGATAATAATAAAATCCTATTACATATTATAAAAAAAAAAAGTGGAAAAGAAAAGGAATATCTACCTTTTTTCGCGATTATAATAATTTTATGTTAATAGAAACTTTTGTGGTCCCGGAATCGTAACACCGTGATTAATATAAAGTCAGTTGGAATTAATTCTGGATTCTTGGTCATTTGCCTTTCAATAAGCTACCGTCCATGTCAAAAAAAGATCTCCCTTGTTTTCATTTTGCCTTCGGAGAAAAAAAAAACTTCTCTCACTTTTTATTCTCTTTTCACTACTGCCGCCAACGCGGTCTCCTAAATGCAAATTTACTTGAATGGAGGACTAACAAACGAATCCTTTATGTTCTTTCCGGAGGGATATTTCTTTGTGCTCGCCGTGCGAATTTTCTATCTTGCAATTTTCAAAAACGTAAAATATCAATTTTTCTGTTGTGAACAAAAAAAAAGTATTTGACATTTTTATTATTGCACGATAATTAATACAATACTAGCTACCACCGTGCTTTTTTAAAATGTAATCGTATTACTAGAAATAAAAAAATTAATTTCTTCACGCTGTGAACGAAATTATTGTAAAACGGCGGTTTTGAAAAAAAAAGGATAAACGCGATTGTAGATTAAATACCAAATTCATTTCGAGAGTCGAGTGATATCGAATATTAAACGAAAACTTATAGGTAAAAGACTATCGGGGAATTCTCCAAGTGTTTTTCGGGTGTCAAGGACAATCGTTAGTTTTACTCCATCTTACCTCGTTTGCAGTGTGTCAAACTCGGGTTTCTATCTCATATGTCACTTCCTTGTGCCGTACACCGAGTCAAAAGGCATTTGTCTCTTGCTTTGGCGTTGATCGAATGACCGGAAACGTACATTTTTCTATTCCCATAATATTATGCTTGGATAGTGGATACTGTCATACATTTCAAGACAACAACAATAACAAAGATAATAGTAGTTTGTATTGATGAGCCGCTTCGGTTACGTTAGCTGTACGTAGTCGAGTTTAATGCAACCGTACACTCTCCCTAAGAAAGAATCCAATAAGTACAAAAAGAAGATGAGAAACGAAGGGATCAAAGTAGATGATGTTATACTCACACAATATAACCGAGAAAGAACAGAAGTACCCTTCAAATAAAATAAAATAAAATAAACACGTTTAGTCAGCATTGGCAGGTAAAAAAAAAAAAAAAAACAGTACAAACAAATAATGGCTTTTGTGCGGGCGAATAGCAAACAACAGCGAATGAAAACTTTTATTGATTTCTTAATGTTAACCAGAAAAATTCTAGAATGTATTTTTTTACTTTACAATGTAGATAAAACCAGAAGCCTTAAGAAACACTGAACATATTGCAATCTCGTGTTTTATTTAAAAACAAAGTATCGTTTAATATTAGGTATTCAATTCGTATTTTGCTCGGCAGAAAAGAAAAACAATGTAAGAATGGATAATTAAGTAGAAGAGTTTTATTGGAATCTGCGTTTGATGTATCAAGCGCTTAAGTGATGTTTTTAATTTAATCAGAAGACATAATATTAAATTGCTAAATTTCGTTTTATAGCGCAAAACGCTTACAAGCTATTCAAGACGGAAGTTTTGACTCCCTCGAATATTAATTGAAACTAATTATAATATACTATCTCTTAGAAGCTTATTTACGTAGGTACTTGTTTAAAGTTTGCAGCAATAACAAGATTTGATATACTAAAGCTGTATTATTTATTTCCGGTAAAAGTATAGTACGCTTGTAAAATGTTACACGGGCTAACTACACTTAAAACGAT